TGGTAGGAAAAGAAAAAGGTAAAGAAAAATGACACGTCCCCCCAAACCACGGAAGCTTTCCTTGAAATTTCCTTTTACTTTTTTGGTGGAAATCATTCGTCCTTCCACTTTGTAGAACACTTTTACATTTTTTCTTTCCTTTTTCTGTTTTTGTTTTGTTTTTTCACCTTGACCCTTATCCTGCGTATTGGATGTGTTGAGCTCTTTCTTGGGGAGTTCCTCATTTCTTCTTCGGTTTCTTGCCTTGACTTTTGAGTCTCTTTTCTATGGAAATTGTTTTGGCATCACACGTAATGTAAATTTCCTTTTTTCTCTTGAGAGTTCACATTTTATGGATTGTGCCATGATGTTCATATCCATTCAACTCACTTTAATAGTCATTCAACTTATCTGTGGTTTCAATAATTGCAGTGTACTACAATGTTTCAATAGTGTTTGTTTGTACACATATGCCTTTTTTTGTACACATGTAAATATTAACGCAACTAGACAATTAGGATACATGAATTGTAATAATCGAAACAAATAATTTAATTTTATAATGTCATCTGAATTTCTAGAATTAGAAATCGCTTCATCCAATTAAACCTTTTATAATGTTTTTGAAATCTATTATTCACGTCTAATACGGATAGTAACTACCTACCAAAGTATTGGTACACATCCGTACTTTTCTTGGGTCAAAAAAGAAATCATTCACCCTCTGACAATGCTTCCAATTTGATCACCACAACGCGGTATTCCATATCTCTCCCTCTCTCCCATTATTTGCTTTATACAGAGCCCTCTCTCTCTCTCTCTCTCTCTCTCTCTCTCTCTCTCTCTCTCATATGAAATTGACTTGGGTAAGCTCTTTCTTGGGGATTTCCTCGCTTCTTTTTTAGTTTTTCGTCCTGTCTTTTCAGTCTCTTTTTTGTGCAAATTGTTTTGCCACCGCATGAAAAATTTCATTTTTGACTTGTGCTATGATGTTAATTAGAAAAAAGGAAAATTGGTGGCTTTGTCTTCGGATTGAATAAACATCAGTAAAATAACAACTTTTTAAAACCATATAAAACTAACGCACATAAATACCTAGCATTCAACTGTTAAAGTGGTTAAGTGAGATGCCAGGTGTCAAAAACTAAGGCAGGGACGGGAAGGGACACACAAAAACATGGACAGAGGATCTGAACTCTGCATATAGCTACCTCAACCAATGAGTTAATTAGCACTGATAGTTTCTCAAGTCTTCCATGTTGCTAACAAAAGTGCATAATAAATCCTAATGTATATGCCATAGTTTTAACTTGTGCTCTGCTTCCAGGGAATCATTTTTACCTCTTCTTTAGTTGTTTTCCTAAATTATTTGTCCTTTTACTCTGTTGGGGATATTTTATGAGTGGATGGTAATTACTTATGACTTGGATTAACTTGTTAGTTTCAATGTGTTGGGATAATTACTTCCTACAGGCAGCGAGTAAAAGAACATTTTCAGAGCAACCTTGTGCATTCTACCACACACAGAAAAAAGTAGAAAGCGTGTTCACTACCTCTCTCGGTTTTTTTGGGTGGGTTTTTGGTTGGATTGGTTCTTGTGGTTGTTTTCTGGCCAATTCTCTGGCTTTGTGATTTGTTAATTTGTTGTTCTGCTGAGCTATTGTTCGAGTTGGTGTGTTTCCCTTTCATTGCTGGGTATTTGCTTTCTGCCCTTCTTCTCTTCTGCTTAATACGTTTTCAATTACCAAAAGAAAAATTAAACCTGCCTTTTTTTTTTCATAGATCATTTTCTCTTTACGTATTTACTGAGTGTTTGCAGAACCAGATTTCCAGGAACTGTTTTTCTCCCATGGCCTTGAGCACCCAAAGAGCTTCTACATCTCGTACTTCAGCTGAATGGGCTCCTCCTCGATGGAAGCATGATGTTTTTCTGAGTTTCAGGGGTGAAGACACTCGCAGGGGTTTTATCTCTCATTTAGACCGTGCATTGGCGTACTGGCAAGCAATGAGAACTTTCAAGGACGATCGAGAACTTGAAGTAGGAGCAACTATTTCTCTGGAGCTGTTGACCGCGATCGAAGAATCATATCTTGCCATCATTGTTCTGTCCCCAAATTACGCTTCTTCCACTTGGTGCTTGGATGAACTCTCAAAGATTCTTGAATGCATGGAAGACACCAAGAGAATTCTGCCAATCTTTTATGACGTGGATCCTTCCGATGTGCGAAACCAAAGGGGGAGTTTTGCGGAAGCTTTCACTAAGCATGAAGAAAGGTTTAGTGGAGATGCCGAGAAGCTGAATCGGTGGAGAGCTGCTTTAAGAAAAGTTGCCAATCTCACTGGCTTAGATTCAAAAACTTATAAGTACGCATCCATGAACAACTTGTGTGTGTCTTAACAAGAGCCCTACTTGGATGTTACATTTCAATTCTTCCTTTAATACAACAAACAACCTTGGATGTTATATTTATGGATTAATGGTTATTTTTAATACTTTGTAGGTCAGAAGCAGAGCTTATCGAAGACATTGTCAAACGTGTGTGGAAGAAAGTGAATCCTACATTCACGTTGTTAGATTCTGAAGAGAAGTTAGTCGGAATTGATTTTGCACTTGATCAACTACGCTTGCATTTAGCTCCCGAAGAAAAGGATGTCCGCTTTATAGGGATATGGGGGATGGGCGGGATAGGCAAAACAACCCTTGCTAAATTAGTTTATCAGAAAATTTCCCGTCATTTCGAGCATCGCTGTTTTCTACCTAATGTGAGAAAGGGAGAGGTTTCTGGTCTAGGAAGACAGCTGCTTTCCTCAATCTTAAAGGAAAATTATATCCCATGTTGGGATGAAGGGGAGGGAACCTTTTTCATTGACAGATACTTACGAAATAAGAAGGTTCTTCTCGTGCTTGATGATGTGGATCAACTAAACCAGCTAGAAAAACTGGTTGGAAATAAAAAATGGTTTGGTGTGGGGAGTAGAATTATCATCACAACTAGAAATGAACGCCTACTAGTTGAGCATGGTATAGAGAAACTGTATAAAGTCATTGTATTAAAGGATGATAAAGCTCTTGAGCTCTTTTGTCGACATGCCTTTAAGAAAGATCAGCCTGAGGAAGGTTTTCAAGAACTGTCTCAGCATTTCCTATATTATGCCAACGGCCTTCCATTAGCTCTTAAAATTTTAGGGCGTGCTTTGTATGGGAGAGAACAAGATGTGTGGAAGAGTGCGTTGTATAATCTAAACAAAATTCCTGATCCAGATATTTTTGATTCGCTCAAAGTAAGCTATAATGGACTCAAAGATATGGAGAAGAAAATTTTTCTGCATGTTGCGTGTCTCCATAGATGGAGGGATAAAGAGCAAGTAATTGAAATACTAGACTGTACCCTTGACATTTCCAGTCATATTGAGATAGATATTCTTATTGAGAAATCTCTCTTAACTATTGAGAAACGCCACTTTCGTAGCAACATTGTTGAGATGCATGATTTGATACAAGAAATGGCATGGAAAATTGTTCGTGAAGAGTCTCCTGAGCCTGGTAAACGCAGTCTTTTGTGGCATCACAGTGACATTTCTCATGTATTCATATACAATACGGTAAGAAGTTATTTAGAGATACTATATATACTTGGACCAAAATATATGTCATTTTTCAAATGAGAAGTTATTTAGAGATATTAGACTTTAATGAGATGAGATGAATTAACTTTTTCCTTTTTCTTAATTATATATATTAGGGAACGGGAGCAATTGAAGCCATAGTCCTATGTTTGCCCAAATTAGAAGTAGTGCCCTGGAATTGTACTGAAGCGTTCAATGAGATGCACGGGTTAAGGCTCCTTCACTTTGATAATGTGATGTTTTCTTCAGGCCCTAAATTTCTTCCAAATTCCTTAAGAATTATCCGTTGGAGTTGGTATCCTTCCAAATCGCTCCCATCAAGTTTTGAACCACATTTACTTTCTAAACTAGAAATGAGGAATAGCAAACTTGTCCGGCTTTGGGATGGAGCAAAGGTAAGAATCTTGAAATACGGCATTTTGTAATGTTTTTTAATTATAATTATATTGAGTATGGTTGTATTGTACCTTGTTTTAACTTGCAAGGTTTTTTGAAACTTATAATTCTACAACTTTTATGTATTGGCAGGATTTTCCGAATTTAAAATATATGGATCTTAGTGACTCTGATAAATTGACCAGTATCCCAGATTTCACACGCATTCCAAATCTTGAGGAATTGAATCTGTACGGTTGTAAGAAATTAGGCGAGGTTCACCCGTCTATTGCAGTTCACAAAAAGCTAAAGTTTTTAAGTTTTTCTGAATGTGAAAGTATTAAGAGTCTCCCAAGTGAGTTGGAAATGGATTCTCTTGAATACTTTAGTGTTCGGGGCTGTTCAAAAGTGAAAAAGATTCCAGAATTTGGGGAACATATGCAGAACTTGAAAATGATTTTTATAAGTGAGAGTGCTATTGAGCAAATACCTTCATCAATTGAACATCTGGTTGGCCTTCATTATCTATCTATAAGTAAATGCAAAAGTCTCTTGGGTCTCCCTAGTGCGATATGTAAATTGAAATCTCTTACAAGTCTGAATATGCCTGGATGCCCGAAAGTTGACAAACTCCCAGGGGAGATGGGGTGTTTAGAGGAGCTTAATTTACGTCGAAGTGCTATGAGAGAGCCGCTTGTTGCTATGAAAAATCTCAAAATTCTATCCCTTAGGGGATCAGTTGCTTCAAGGGATGGCATTGGGTGGGGCATTGACCGCATATTTGGAATTAGAAAGAATCCTGACCCTGAGCGTTGGGGTTTGGTGTTGTCTTCTCTAAATCGTTTAGGGTCCTTGACGGATTTAGATCTGAGTGATTGTAATATTGGTGAAGGAGCCATTCCAGATGATATCGGCTGCTTGTCTTCTTTAAAAGCGTTGGATCTTAGTGGAAACAATTTCGTTAGCCTTCCCTCAAGCATTAGATTCCTTTCTGAGCTTCTGTTTCTTCAATTGCAGAGGTGCAAAAGGCTTGAGCAATTGCCAGATCTTCCGTCAAGTAAATACGTATTCGTGGATGTGAACGACTGTACTTCCTTAAAAAGGTTGTCAGATCCATCAAAGTTGAGCGAAGGAGCCAATGTGTATGATTTTAGGTTTAGTTGTCTTAATTGCTTCAGATTGGTTGAAGAAGAAGGCTGGATTAATAGAATATTTGCAATGATAATGAGAGCGGCCGCTGAGGTACACACACTCTCTCTCTCTCGCTGAATGAATATTATATATATATATATATATATATATATATATTCGTGGTTTTCTTTCTCTATAGTAAGTAAATATAATTGTAATTCTTTTGGTACAGGTAAGGTATCCTGATGACCGTATTGTATGCCCTGGAAGTGAAATTCCAGATTGGTTCGATAATCGAAGTGTGGGAGATTCAATAATTGTGGAGCCGCCCCTTCCACCACAAACATGTAGTGACTGGGTTGGGATTGCTTTATGTGTTGTTTTTGAAGATTCTGAACATTTGAAACATCTAGGCTACAATTATTTCCAAATTCGCTGTTCATGGAAACTGTATGATGATACTTTTACAGTCGGGGATCTTAGGTCACAACACCTTTTGGTTTTCTATTTGCCTAATGATCCCTATCTCAGGGATGCCTCAAACAGTCATCAGTTATCATTTGAAGGGCATTATTGGTCAAACGGATCTGCGAACAAAGAACTGAAAACAAGCTCGATTACAAAGAAATATGGAGCTCGTTTGGTGTACAAGAGAGATTTGGAAGAATTCAACCGAATATTGAAAATCCCGATGCCAGCAGCAGTATATGGATACGATGACGAGGCAGGGCCAATTGATAATTGATAGTGGAAGTGGTAGCTCTGATGAGGAAAACTAGTGTTATTCACAAAGTTTCAAATTTATGAGAATGAACCAACAAGAAGTTGTCAATCAGCGAAAACAGTAAGATATTAGTAGCAACCATGAGGCAATACTTGAGACAATGCCAATCATCATTTTTGGAAACAGAGAAGGAAGCTGTCTGTATAATTAAAGTGGACTGCTCTCTGGAGAGTTTGCTTTTTGGGTTTTGTAGAGAATAATTCTCTTGTTTGTATGGTTTGCAGGATGTGCTGTAATTTTCTGTTCCTCTATTTAAACTGCTCTGTCAGATTTTATTGTTTTCAGAATGAAATGAACCTAGTCATCTAGTGCTATTCTATAAACAGATAGCTCCAGATAATGTACTGAAAACAGACAAGTAAGCTTCTTGTATGCCATGAAAATGCACACTGTAAATCAACATGTTTGGTAACTGAGGAGTATCTTCTTGTGCTTAGATGGTTTCTGCTGTAGGTTCAAGTCCACATATTGTATACAGTTTGTTGGTCAGGTTATCCCCAAATTTGAGATTTACTTTAACTATGGGTTCCATAACAATGAAGTTTCACAAAAATTGCTCTTAGAATATAATCTTTTGAAATGGTTTTGTCTGAAAATGGACTAAGCCTTCGTATAGCTACTTGTACAAACAAAAAACAGTAGAACAAATCCTAAAGTATATATATGCTGTAGATTTACAAAACAAACTTGCGCTCTGCTTCCAGGATTTCATTTTCCCTAAATTGTTTGTCCTTTTCCTGCGTTCGAGATATTTTCTGAGTGGATATGACTTGGATTAACTTGTTAATTTCAATGTGTTAGAATATTTACTTCCTATAGGCTTTGAGTAAAAGAACATTTTCAGAGCAACCTTTCAATGCGGTGCTATCAAACTGTTGCTATATTGAAATAATGCGTGGAAATTGTTAGTATAGTTCTGAGTCTTCTGACCAAAGAAAAAAGGGGAAAATGATTAATAATGACGAAAGAATGTGTGTGAAAATCTTGGAGAAAGGATGAAAGAATAAGAGCGTGAGAGAGGAATACTGCTTCTGTAGATCTCTCTAGAGCTAAGGTTACAAGGAATATGGAGAAATGGACAAGTGTAGGCCTGATAGAATCAGTCATTTTCCTTAGATTTTCTAGAGTAATGTTGGGGTCTTGTTATTGTGAGGTCAGCTCCATGCTTTGCTGTATGCTCTTGGTTCAGCTGACTATCAGTGTGAAGGTTAACAATGAGAATAGCTAGGCTAATGGCCAATACAAGAATAAAAATGTTTATGTTTTAGGCATACAGTTTAGAAATAAGATTTATTTGCTACTCTAATTGACAGGACCCGCCCCGAATTTCCCGGAACTCGAGACAAACCTTGCGGAGACCCCGGCATCACCCCCCACGCCGGGTTCACTCCTTAAATCTATGTCCTCTTTTACCAGAGAGGATTAAGGGCACGAGACTTCCTGCCGAAATTTCAGCAGGATCTCCCCTGTAAATTGAACATTCACCAAAATTTCCACCTGCATAAAACACATTTTATAACCCAACCAGCAGCATGCACAATATAATCTCATGCAATTTACATAAATGGCCTCCGGCCTTCAAATGGTTCTAGCAGACTGCCCACACTACTTTCAAAATAACTTAATGCATCAAACATGCATATAACACATTCAAAATCTATCTATGCACACCTTCACTCACTCAGTCCATCGGACAAGCCTCAATTCAACCAAGTTTCGGGACCAACCACGAGGTCCGCATCATACTCGATAAAACCACCTAAGTGGTGTCTAGGCCGTGGCTGCACCTAGGCGTTATCCCAGGCTGCCTACGTACCCTACTAAGGGATCAAGCCACACGTAGCTCTTTCCTATCAATCCTGGCTCCTAATATCAAATAAACCATTACATCCATACAAATTCATACATTCTAGGGTTTATCCATCACAACACACCAAACACAATCACATAGCTCCCCTCATACGACGGGACGCACCCGGCCTCGTATGGGGTCTGTCTACACGCCGGCTAATCCAAAGACGCGTGCGACCTCAACCCTGGGCCTGGCTACATTCTCACCAGCCCTCACACAATCATATCTCCCCTCATACGTCGGGACACCCGGCCACGTATGGGGTCTGTCAACACGCCGGCTAATCCAAAGACGCGTGCGACCTCACACTGGGCCTGGCTACATTCTCACCAGCCCTCACACAATCATATATCCCCTCATACGTCGGGACGCACCCGGCCACGTATGGGGTTTGTCAACACGCCGGCTAATCCAAAGACGCGTGCGACCTCACACTGGGCCTGGCTACATTCTCACCAGCCCTCACACAATCATATATCCCCTCATACGTCGGGACGCACCCGGCCACGTATGGGGTCTGTCAACACGCCGGCTAATCCAAAGATGTGTGCGACCTCACACTGGGCCTGGCTACATTCTCACCAGCCCTCACACAATCATATATCCCCTCATACGTCGGGACGCACCCGGCCATGTATAGGGTCTGTCAACACGCCGGCTAATCCAAAGACGCGTGCGACCTCACACTAGGCCTGGCTACATTCTCACCAGCCCTCACACAATCATATCTCCCCTCATACGTCGGGACGCACCCGGCCACGTATGGGGTCTGTCAACATGCCGGCTAATCCAAAGACGCGTGCGACCTCACACTGGGCCTGGCTACATTCTCACCAGCCATCACATTGTCACTTTGGCCTGGCTACATTCTCACCAGCCATCACATTGTTCACTTGGGCCTGGCTACATTCTCACCAGCCATCACGGGTTTAAAGGTCTCAACATAATCACAATATGGGGGGGTACGTGGGGTAGTGCGTATAGCACTGCAAACTAACATTCAATCTCTTTATATATCAATATACATCCACACAATTAAATATATACCATATAATTTCTAATCCTACAATAACATCAACCAATAAAACATTCCATAAACTCCCCCATTTAAATTCACCAATTTATATCCTAGACCCACAATATCCATTTTACTCAACAACGCTCAAGACCTGTCACTAAGGTCATTCTAACCCTCAAATAAAGGTAAGACTATCTCGGAAGTCTCACAGTCAACCTAGGGTCAAACTGGCCTGCGGGGCCCACCACCTCCAAATTCCGATCCGAAGGTTCCTATAGGTTCTACAAGCCCTAGGATGCACGTCCTGCAAGTTTGGTCCAGATCGGACGGTTAGATCGCTCACGATCACAGGATCGGACGGTTACTAAAACCCTAACCCTGGGGTTGGCATTTCTGGAGTATCCGGGACTCCGTTTTACAATCCGTCGAATCCTATACAATCCTGGTAATACCTAGATCAACATATTATAATCTCAGGACCATCCAACGGTCCAAACCTAGCGAACCCGGAAAATACGCGATATGCGACATCCGTTCGGGACTCTAACGATAGTTCGGGACTCTAACGATATCCAAATTGAGATCCGAGCACACCTACGCGCTCATGACAACCTGAGGATCCCATTGGGACAAAAATGCCCCTCACTACAGTGCCCACGCGCCGCCACATGCGCCGGCAGCGCGTGGGTGTCCAAAGCGATAACCCATCGCCGGGAAAACCACAAATCACGGCTCAAGACTCCTACCCTAGGTAAAACACCCTATTTGGAGTCACTTTTGTTCTTGGGCATACCCCAAAAACTGACCGGAAGTGGCCGGAATCTCCCCTCGAAATCCGGCCGAAATCCAATTCGAAGATCAGACATCCTACGCTCAAAATCGATGCAATCATACCCAACAGGCAGCTAGAGCTCGGAAAATAGGTGAGAAACCATACCTCACTTGCCGGAATCGGTGGCCGGACGAAGGAGAACGAAGCCGGCGAAGTTCCTGTCAAAACCGGAGCTTTTCTCCTCGTTTTCCGGCGAAATCACGGCGGTTGGCGGCGAGACCTGGCCGGGGTAGGAAGAGGACGGCGGCCCGGTCATTTTGGTACCGGCCCCGTCAACTTTGGTGGCCGGACGAGAGCACGGCCGGCCAAAACGTGGCCGGCTGTCTCAGCCGTCGCGAACCAGAGGAGAGAGAGAGGGACGCGCGGGAGAGAGAGAGTGAGAGAGACGGGGGCAATTCCGTCTTTTAACCAAAAACCCACTTCAAAATATTTACGATTATGCCACTGAGCTTCATTTGATCATATCTCTCTCGTTACAACTCCGATTCGAGCCCACTACGTGTCTACGGACTTATCTCACCGTGCTCTACACAACGGTACAACTGGAATTTCCAAATTCCCTCCAGATAAGAAGATGACTAAAATACCCCTATCCCACGGGTAAATTCTTAATTTCGCTCAAATTAATTAAAACATGGGAAAAATTTGGAGTCGGGGTGTTACACTAATTCTCAATGGAACATATAAATCAAGCATAGTATGAGATTGAAGAAACAAGATAGCAGAAAATAGACTTGATTAGTTCTTTATTTGAGATATTGTAAAATTGGTTTTGAGAAATAAAAATAAAAATATTGAGACGTAAAACAAATTTCTGGGTCATGTTGTAGGTTTTATTAGTTAATACACAGAATAACAATAATGTAACTTGAGATGCAGTGTTTTGGCCCTTGAATTGTTTAATATATATTTCAATATTGAAACTCGTCCCTTCATCTTACAATACCCACTTTTTATGCAGATGAATTGGGAGAAACTTATGAAGATGGCCAGTGCAGTTCACACTGGTGGAAAGGGTAGCATGAGGAGGTGGGTGAAATTTCAGCTTGAAACTCCTTTTCTCTACCAAGTTGATTCACAGAGGCTGAAGTATCAAGTTTTAGCCGTACTGGTTTTGAGTTAAATATATGTGCAGTTGATAATTTGTATGTGTGCCAGTTTCATGTCTGATATGCATTATATTGAGCACCTGATCAAGTGGTTTACTTCATCAAATTATTGATTTGCAATTTGAGTTCATTATGTGAAGCAGTTAGCCTGATGGCATGTTGAGTGGATTGTTGTCTTTTGTTGTTTTACCATGTTTATTTTATCTTATTCTTGTAATTTTTTTTTAAGATGAGAAATACCTTAATTTTTAGAGTTAACTGCTTTTCCCGGGGGGACACAGTTTTTTTTAATATTAATTTGTATAACATGCAATCTTTATGCGGTGAATTGCAAACTTAAGTACAATAATCATTTATTGTATGCTGCATTTGGTGCATTAGCTAGTCTAAAGTTCCTCGTTAAACCAGATGATTCCCTAGCTTAAAGAGCCCATAACAGAAAGGTTGTCTCCAATAGACTTAGTGTAATTGTTTTTCCAGTAGAGAGCCTACTCTGGTGGAGAGTGTGATGGGTTCTTCTGCTCTTCTGTATTCTATATTATCTAATGGTGTGTTCTTCTTCTCTTTAGATAGGATTGTTAAACAATTGAGTAGGCAAAAAATAAGAAAGTAATTCAAGTAGTTAAAACTGAGAATTGTTGGAGTTTACCTCAAATAAGCCATCTAGTGCTCTCTGCTGCGGAGAAAATGCTATTTCTGATGTACACAGCATTGTCGGGGAATGGTCATTTGGACTTAAGACTGCCCTTGAAGTCATTTTATGACCAGTTTTCATTCATAAGTTTTGCACATTCCTGCAATTGTTTGTAATTAGCAAATGTTTGTTGTGTGATCTTCATCTTGTTTGTACGTGATTTTGTTTATTAATTTAATTTCCCAACTTCAGAAAGGAGAAGACTGTTCACAAGACAACTACCACAGATGACAAAAGGCTTCAGAGCACCATTAAGAGAATAGGGGGTGAACGCTATTCCTGCAATCAAGGAAGTTAACACATTTACGATGATGTTGTCATCCAGTTCATGAACCCCAGAGGTGAAGCTAACATGCCAGAACTCTGATCCTGTAAATTATTATTTTGATTTTCCTTGTACATTTCAGTTCAAACAAAGAGTATGCCACTATTTGTTATCTATCTTTTAAATTTGAAGTGATTGTTTGACTTGTTAACCATTTTGGTGTCGTCCATATTTTAAATGTAGTAGTAATTTATAAAAATGGATAGAATATTGGTGTTGTGTTCTTCTTTAGTGTATTTACCCAATGATTTTATTCCGAGGTTTAGCTGTCAATATGTGCCTTGAATTGGAATTTTTTTTTCAGTGTTGTATTATCTGGTAAGGCAACGCACATATATACATGTTTAGATGTGTTTGTGCCTGGATTTTCTGCTGCGCATTGAGCCTTTTATTTGGCCTTCTCTGCGCTGTCTTTGTCCCACAACAGCAGCAAGGGCAACGGCAAGTCTTTGTTCACGCAGTCACCTCCCATTACCAATTCAAAAGCCTGTTCAATCCCATCACCGAGGAGAAATACAATCACAATTAAAAAAGGGGGAAAGAAATTGAAATACAGTGGAGGCGATTAAAAGATGCAAACCTTGTTTCTATGTCAAAGTCCATGAATAGATGTAATTGCGCCATTTTGTTGTTATAGTCCTGCAATGCACACAGTCATCAGCTTCAACCAAGCAGCTCCGGGTGCCAATTCAAATCCACCATGAACCAATCCATAAGCTCGAACGTAGAACCCAATCAGATGATAAACCATCACACAAAAGGCTTAATCTTGGTCCAAAAGAGCAATTCGAGGATATGGTTCTTACCTGAAATGCTTTGGTGAGGTTGCAAAATCACCTTTGTCCTCATGCTCAAACCCTTCAACAACAAAAAAGAATAAATGGAAATTTTCATTGTAATTCCAAGCACATGCAAGAAAGAACAAAGACACCAAATTTTCAATCCAACATAATCATAGAACAAAGACTCAAACTTTTGCCTTTATGTCCTTGAGTATCCACAGAAACCCAAGTGATTTCAATAAAAAGTACTAATGTTATTAAGTGGGTGACTTCAAACGCTCTTATAAGAATAATTTGTGAACTCCTACTCGCAAAACAACAGTAAAATGTTTAAAAAGATGAAATTTTCTGTTTTTTTCTTGCTTTTTCTTAGCAAACAAACAGAGGGTAAGTAGGTTTCTACATATTTCATACAGTGTTAAATCTGATTTTTTGTTTGAATGATCTTATATTGAAGCAACCATCTTTGCCTTCCAGCTGAGAGACTGGTCGACTAGTTCAGAATATCAGCTCCAAATCATATTTCCTGTTAGATGCAAATAGATATTAAGCTCCTAGGGTTCATTATCCACATGCTCAAATAGAGAGAGACACAGAGATCTTGCCTGCTTAATAATTTTTTGTTTGAGATCCTCAGAGAGACCACCGGTCCCAGACGATTGATCATGTCATTATCAGATGGTTGTCGTTGAATCTCAGAGGAGGCGTGATCGGGAGATCCAACGGGTGAGGCATCAGAACCGTTCGTTGGAGACGGTGGGGGCGAGTCGGTGCTTGTGATGATGACGGTGGAGGAGGGGGAGAGAGAGGAAAATAGTCGGGGAGAGAGAGAGAGAGAGAGAGAGAGAGAGAGAGAGAGAGAGATATATATATATATATATATATATATATATGGCTGGGATGAAGGGAAGGGTGTGGGGCTGATTAGAGGTTTTCCTTCTCTCAGCGACTCCAACAAGTCCCGAAGAGAAGGGAACAGAGCTCAAGGGTAAAAGGGCAAGCCACTGTTCATAATCCTACAGAAGGAAGAGACCAACCATTTAAGCGGGGGCAAAAACGTCATTTTACTGTTACATGAACTTAGCTCGTTTCTATCTAATGTGAGAGAGGTTTCTGCAAAACTTGGTATTCTAGTTCATCTACAAAGACTTCTTCTTTCCCCAATTTTAAAGGAAATATTTTCCAAGAGTTTGGTTTGGTATTCAGTCAGAAGGCCTTTAAGAAAAGTCAGCCTGCGGAAGGTTTCTTGGAATTGTCTAAGTGTTTCCTACAATCAACAATGTGTCAAAGGTCTTCCATTAGCTCTTAAAACATTTATAGTCGCATTGTGATAGATATTCTTATTGAGAAATCTCTCTTAACTATTGAGAAAAACTATTTTCGCAGTCTTCGTGGCTGCTCAAAAGTTTAAAAGGCTCCAGAATTTGAGGAACATATGAAAAATTTGTTCAAGCTCATTTTAAAAGGTACTGTTGTTGAGAAAATTCCTTCATCAATTGAAGGTGGTTGGCCTCGCTGTAGAGGGTATGTACAGTCACAAAAGTCTCTCGGGTCAAATACTCATGCAAAGATCCTCAAAACTTGTCAAGCTGCCAGGGGAGGTGGAGTGTTTAGAGGAGCTTGAATTAAGTGAATGTGCTATGAGAGAGCTGCTTGTTTTTATGGAACATATATCTATCCATTTGTGGATCATCACTTCAAGGGATGCTTTGGTGAGTTTTTAGAGGAATGTTAAGGTCCTGACATTGTCGATTTTGAAGTCATCGATGCTTTGGGCCCAAAGTGTGTTCTCATTAACATTGGAAGAGGTCCTCATGGTGATGAACCTGCTGGATGGCCAGTTAGGTGGGAATATTCTTCTAAACAAAGAGTTGGGAACTTGCTTGGAAGTTGATTACACTTTGGTATTGGACGTGTTCAGCTCTTTCTTAGGGATTTCCTCAATTCTTAGTTTCTTGCTTGTCTTTTTGTTCTCTTCTTGAGAGGTTCATTGGTTTTATTATTTTATGGCTTGTGCTATGCTGTTCATCGCGAAATTTCACTGAGCAAGATTATTTTAATAGCCATCTAACTTATGTCCGGCTCAATTCATCATTGCATATGCAATTAGATTCCAATTAAAACCGTGTGCGGTTTTCTTTGGTTAACACACCACCATGCGACATAGTTTCCATCTCTCTTTGTCTTTCTCTCTCTCTTCCTTTATTTCCCTTGTTTTTCATCTATTCCTACAACTTTCGTATTGAGTATTTTCTGAGAGTTTGCAAAACAAGATTTCTAGGGACTTATTTTCTTTTCCAATGACCTTCAGCACCCAAAGAGCCTCTACATCTTGTACTTCCGCTGAATCGGCTCCTCCATATTGGAAGCATGATGTGTTTTTGAGTTTCAGGGGAAAGAACACTCTCAGGGGTTTTATATCTCATTTATACCACGAACTGCAGTACTGGCAAGCAATAAAAACTTTCAAGGACGACCAAGACCTTGAAATAGGAGCAAGTATTTCTCTGGAGCTCTTGCCATCATTGTTCTCTCCCCAAAATACGCTTCTTCCACCTGGTGCTTGGATGAACTTTCAAAGATTCTTGAATGCATGAAAGACACCAAGAGAATTATACCAATCTTTTATAAGGTTGGTCCTTCCGATGTGCGAAATCAAAGGGGGAGTTTTATGGAAGCGTTCACTAAGCATGAAGAAAAGTTCAGGGAAGATGTAGACAAGGTGAAGCGGTGGAGAGATGCTTTAAAAGAAGTTGCCAATCTCTCTGGGTTTGTTTCAAAGAATTATTTGTAAGTATGCATGCATGAAACATGCCCATTTCTTAACAAATTTAGAGAGCTTTACTTGGACGCTAAGTTTTAGTTCTTCCTTTGATGCAACATCCTTGTTAATTATGTGTAATGTGTACCCTCTTGATAGTTAGTTTACTTTTCTTCCTTGTAGGTGTGAAAGAGAGCTTATCAAAGTCATTGTCGAACGTGTGTGGACCAAAGTTACTCCATTTTGGTTGTTAGATTCTCAAGAGAAGTTAGTCGGAATTGATTTTGCCCTAGAGCAATTACGTTTGCAATTAGACCTCAAGGCAAATGACGTTCGATTTATAGGGATATGGGGGATGGGTGGGTTAGGCAAAACAACCCTTGCTAACCTAGTTTTTGAAAGAATTTCCCATAATTTTGAACTTAGCTCGTTTCTATCTAATGTGAGAGAGGTTTCTGCAAAACATGGTACTCTAGTTGATCTACAAAGACAACTTCTTTCCCCAATCTTAAAGGAAAATATTATCCAAGTTATGGATGAACGGTCAGGAATCTCTCTCACTAGAAAATGTTTATGCAATGAAAAGGTCCTTATTGTCCTTGATGATGTAGATCAATTAAAACAACTTGAAACACTGGTTGGAGAGAAAAATTGGTTTGGTTTGGGGAGTAGAATTGTCATCACAACTAGAAATGAACGTCTACTAGTTGAAAATGGTATAACGATAGCATATGAGGTCAAGGTATTAAATGATGATGAAGCTCTTCAGCTCTTCAGTCAAAAGGCCTTTAAGAAAAGTCAGCCTGAGGAAGGTTTCTTGGAATTGTCTAAGTGTTTCCTACAATATGCCAAAGGACTTCCATTAGCCCTTAAAACTTTGGGGAGTTCTTTGTATAGGAGAGATCAAGATACATGGAATAGTGTGTTGTGTAATCTAAAGAAAATTCATGATCCAGAAGTTTTTGATTCACTCAAAGTAAGTTATTACGGACTACAAGAGATGGAGAAGAAATTTTTTCTCCATGTTGCATGTTTCCATAAAGGGAAGTATAAAGAGGAAGTTATTAGAATACTAGTTATGAACCATGAAATTTCTAGTCGGGTTGTGATAGATTCTTGTTGAGAAATCTCTCTTAACTATTGAGAAAATCCACACTCGTTTTGACACTATTGAGATGCATGATTTGATACAAGAAATGGCATGGGAAATTGTTCGTCAAGAGTCTATCCAAGAGCCTGGTCTACGCAGTTGTTTGTGGCTTTGTGATGATATCTCTCATGTAATCATGAACAATACGGTAAGAAGTTATGTAGAAATATTATGTTTGGAAGAAAATATGTCATTTCTTTTAAAACAATATTAAACTTGAATGTGCATTTATTTTTTTTTTTTTTTTTTTTTTTTTTTTTTTTTTTCTTAATTAGCGAACCGAAGCAATTGAAGCAATCGGCTTGCATTTGCCAAAATTAGAAGAGGTGCATTGGAATTGTGCTGAAGCCTTCTCTAAGATGCACGGATTAAGGCTTCTTGAATTTGATAATGTGATCGTTTCTTCAGCCCCAAAAGATCTTCCAAATTCCTTAAGAACTATCAGTTGGAGTTGGTACCCTTCTAAATCACTCCCATCAAGTTTCGAACCACTTTTCCTTGTTGAACTATAGATGAGTCACAGCAAACTTTGCCAGCTTTGGGATGGAGCAAAGGTGAGAGATTATTGAAATATGGCGTTTTAGAATTCTTTTATCTATACATAATTTGGATATAATTGTAACTTTTTCAACTAAGGGTTTACTTTAAATTATTATTTTACAATTTTTATGTACTATATAGGTCTTGCCAAACTTGAAATGTATGGACCTTTGTTTCTCTGATCAATTGACAAGTACCCCAGACTTCACAGGCACTCCAAATCTTGAGAATTTGTGGCTACAACGTTGTATGAAACTAGTTGAGGTTCACTCGTCTTTTGCAGTTCACAAAAGCTGAAATATTTGCAACTTACGGGGTGTACAGGTATTAATAGTCTCCCAAGTGAGGTGGAAATGGATTCACTTAAAAGTTTTGATCTTTCTCAGTGCTCAAAAGTGAAAAAGATTCCGGAATTTGTGGGACAGATGAATAGTTTGTCATTTCTTTTTTTAAGCGGACTGCTATTGAGGAAATACCTTCATCAATTGAACGCTTTGTCGGCCTTGTTAGACTGGATATAAATAATTGTGAAAGTCTCTTGCGTCTACCGAATGGTATATGCAATTTGAAGTGTCTTGCAAAGCTGGGTATGGAGGGATGCAGAAAAATTGACAAAATGCCAGGGCAGATGGAGTGTTTAGAGCAGCATGATTTAAGAATAATTGCTATGAGAGAGCCGCTTGTTGCTAAATCATCAACTCCAAAGGATGGCTTACTTAGAAAGAGTCATCCTGACCTTGACCTAGAGGTGTCAAACGGGTCGTGCCGTGCCGGCCCATCCCATTTAAACTCGTGCTTTTAACGTTTTCGTGTCGGGCCGGGCCGGTCCATTTAGTAAAATTATTGATCCCGGCCCGGCCCAAAGCTCATGTCCATATTGAAATGGGCTGGGCCGGGCTCGTGCCATACTCGGGCCTAAGAACCAATCCATTTAATTTGAATTTTTTTCACTTCTTTTTTTTTTCACTAGATAATTCAAATTATAAACATTAAAAATATAATTAGATGCAAGAAATGATGAACTATTTGAAAACATTAATCAATCAAACATCCAAACAATATGAAAATGGCATAGGGCAAAAAGTGTCAAACTCTACAAAGTCCACTTCAAGTTTTCATCTTTAAACAACTTATTATTTTATATGTGAAATAATGTCTTGCTTTGATTATAAGAGAAGCATATATGTCATATGTACTGATTAGATATCAAGTCCAATATTGTTTAATTAATTTGTAGTTGATATGTTTAATTAATTAAGGACCCAAGTAATTTCCCTAAAATGAAAGACATCAAATATATATTTATGATTAAAAAAAACATATAAATAATGACATTAGATGTCAAATTATTGCATTTTGACTTTTGAGAAAGACAAAAATGTTAAGTGGGCCGTGCTTGGGCTCGTGCTTGGGCTCGTGCCGTGCTTGCTTGAAGCGTGCTCGGGCCAAGCCCGGCCCATGTCGGGCCATGGGCCGGCCTGGTCCATTGGACCTCATTTTTTGATCCCGGCCGGCCCAAGTTTTCGTGCCGTGCCGAGCACGGCCCATTAATATTCGTGCTCGTGTCGTGCCGTACCTTATTTAAATGGGCAGGGCTCGTGCCGTGCTGGGCCGGCCCGTCCCGTTTGACACCTCTAAGCTAGAACTGAGAATTTATTCTTATGCTTGGGGATTAGAAACCCCAAAATTGTCTTGGGAATGTTTGTAGTATTGTCAGATATGCTTGAGGAATTTATTCTTATTCAAAATTCATGAAAAATGCATTAATTATCATCCATATTGTAATTTTGTGTGTTTTTTTTTTTTTTTTTTTTTTTTTTTTTTTTTGAATATTTTGGTGGTTTAGGATCATTTTGTTGCATATTGTGCCCTTTACTATTATATAGGATTTTAGTGTGAAGTGTATATTAGATTTAGTATTTAGTGTTTTTTTTACTTCCATTACAAGTGTGTCATGAGCATGCAGTATGTCTACAATTGTATATTAGATGTTTGTGAAATTGTTTGTGTGAGTAATTTTTGTTGCATTTTAGGCCCCGTTTGGTTCATGGGAAAGGAGGTTTGGGAATGAGAATTCAATTGCTTTCCCATGGTTGGTTAGTCCAAGCATGGGAAATGGTTTCCTGGCACATGGGAAAGTAGGGGGGGAAAGTGAATCCCTCCTCTTAACTTGGGTTTTGTTTTCCCTCCTCATGGGAAAGTTCGGGAAAATGAGCCAATATTCAATGCACAATTTTCATGACTATTTTCTCTCTATGAACAATTTATAATTACAACGTATCATTAAATGCATTCTTTTTTTATTTGATTTAATATGGGTATAATTGGAAAATTATACAAACTTTGTTTTCCATTCCTACTTAAAACAAACATGGGAAAGGAAACAAAGTGAAATCTCCCGGTTACTTTCCCGACATTACCAAACGTAGGAAAGGAATCTTTTATTCCCATTCCTTGGGAAATGACATGGGAAATGATTTCCCCTCAAATCCATTTCGTGAACCAAACGGGACCTTATAGTAATGTAGGTCTGGCACCTGATGGATCGCATGAAAACAAGAGCAAGGTGAAGCAGAGCCTAACCTTGGCCTATAAGCACAACCGTTTATATAATTTGAAAGCTCAACTTCAAGGGGAGCAACTTCAAGAAACCAACTCCAGTTATTTTCAAGATGGATCAGAAGACAAGAACTTTGCGAAATGGCCCACTACTTGGTGGCAGCAATTCTCTGTGTTGCTTAGGAGAGGACTGAAAGAGAGGAGGCACGAGTCCTTCTCTGGTAGCCAGATTAACCAGGTTGTGGCGGTGGCTCTTCTTGCTGGGCTACTATGGTGGCAGTCAAATATTTCCCACTTGTAGGATCGGGTAACATACACTTTCTTCCTCTCCCTTTTCTAGCATTTGCAATATGCATTTTCTTTTCTTTTTTGGTTACATGGGGAATTTCAATATGCATTTTCATGGGACAGATTCAATCGAAAGTCTAATATAATTAGTGCTAATATCATTAGACTAGTATTAAAATGGACATATTATCAATTATTATGACTAATTACTGATTGATACTTTCACTTGTCGCATATATCATTAGACTAGTGTTCAGAGGGTATGATTTGTTTCCCTTTTCTGGGTTTGGCACAATAGTTGAAGATATAGGCTATTGGGTTTATGCTAAGCATGACATAAAGTATCACTTGATGGAATGCCTAAGTTCAGTATGCAGAAGAAATTTTTTTCAGGATAACAATTTGCGAAGCCATCCTAGCTTCGCAAATGTAACCCATTTTAACAACTTTGAGAATCTTTTTTGGTTATTATGCAGACTGGGCTTCTCTTCTTTATGTTTGAATTTTGGGGGTTTTTCCTCTACTCCAAGCAATTTTCACCTTCCCCCAAGAGCGCAAGTTGCTTGAAAAGGAAAGATCTTCAGGCACATACATGCTCTTCTCGTATTTCATATCAAGGATTGTTGCTGATCTCCCCATGGAGCTTGCCCTTCCAACCCTGTTTGTCACCATAACATATTGGATGGCAGGGCTCAAACCCACAGCAGGACACTTTTTCCACACCTTGCTTGTTCTGCTACTCAGTGTGTTAGTGGCTCAAGGCATGGGGCTTGCTCTTGGGGCTCTGGTAATGGACCAAAAAAAGGCCGCAGTACTTGCATCAGTCCTCATGGTGTCATTTCAGCTAGCTGGAGGTTTCTTTGTTCAACATGTTCCTGCTTTCATTGCTTGGATCAAATACATTTCCATCATTAACTACTCATACAAGCTCTTGCTGGGGTCTCAATACAATGAAAATGACACTTACCTATGTGATAGTGGGGTTTGCTTGGTTAGAGATTTCCCAAGTATAAAACATGTTGGGCTTAGTGGACAAATAGGTGCAGCGGTTGCTTTGGCCATAATGCTTGTGGGGGTTGTAGGCTAATTGCTTATTTAGCTCTCATGAGGACTGGGTTGTAGGCTAATTGGTTTTTCCTTCCTAGAGAGTTAAACTGAGTGATTAAAGGAAACTTTGGTAAGTTAAAGTTTGATAAGTGGACACATGGAATCCATTGATCGATCTTTTACAATTAGAGCTGATGTTGGATTTTGCAGCAGCCATGAGATTTCATGTCTGCTATTGTTTAATGTAAACGTAAAATCAGGAAAGGAAAGGAGAGGTGGTTAGTTCATGAGGGAACAGAGATAACAGGGAAGGAGCGGCAAAAGCAACTCTGAGTATTTTACTTTATATGCAGGCTGTGACATGAAGCTAAAAGAATTGCAAAGGCATAATTGGATGCAAGAGAAGCCCTGTATTTTGGCTCTTCGTTTCTTCTTCAGTTTCCAGCCCTGTATTTTGGCTCTGTTTTCAGTGGAAATTTTTTGGCACCACCACATAATATAATTTTGGGAGATTCAATATTATACCCAATATAAGAGCCCAAATTATATATAATAAAAAATCTATATGAAATGGACTTTAAAAATATACCCAAAACCCATTTATAATATAACAAAAAGGCTTTTAACTTCTTTTAAATTACAAAACTACCATTGATTTCTTAAAACAAACTCAATTCCAAAACCTCATAAAAAAGTTCAAAACACTCAATAGGGCATCAAAATAATTTAATAATCAAATGAAATTCAATAGGGCCCAACTGTCATTTTTAGGTTTTTTTTGGGTTTGTTTATATAAATTAAATGGTGTATGGTTTATCCATATTATTAGTGTTAAGAATAAATATATGACTAAATATCTCTATAATTTTTTCTCTCTGGAGAGTTTACATTTGGGTTTTGTAGAGAAAGTGATGTCAACCTTCAAACCCAAGACGGCTAGGAGGTAGTGCAAGCGCACTTAACCACAAGTGCTGGTAGAAGGCCAGTCTGGAGAGTTTACTTTGGTTTGCTATGATGATGATTAGAGAATTTGGTTGAGGAACTTATATTTACAGTGTACATCATTGATTGTTTGTTTCTTGTCAGGGCGGAACTAGAAATTTTTCAATGGGTGGGGCTAGCTAAATTATTAGCTTAAAATCTAATGATTTTTTTTTTTTTTTTTTTTTTTTTTTACATTTTCTATAGTAATAATGCTTCTTTTTTTGAGACAAATTAATAGAAATTTTTTTAAAATTGATGTTGGGACAAACTTTGACACCAAATACAAATGTGGAAGACCTCTTACTATGCTTATTGGTGTTGAAATTGTATATATATTTATTTATTTTTAATTAAAATATTATGCTATAAATATATTTAATTTATTTTTTTCCCAAACCTTCCCTAGGCTACAGCCAAGGGTAGCCATTGCCTTGGTTCCGTCCATGTTTCTTGTATTGATTCGTTCTTAATAATTAATTAGAGTTTTCTTTCTTTCATGGTTTCATTAGTGAATTAAAGTTATAAAAAATGTATTATTAATCATTAAAAAGTAGAGAGCTTAAAAGGTGAAACATTAATAATAATAATAATAAAATACTGTTTATAGATAGTGTGGTTGGCCTCCAATATGCCTTTTTTTGTACACATGTAAATATCAACGCAAATAGACATCAGGATACATGAATTGTAATAATCCAAACAAACAATTTAATTTTATAATGTCATCTGAATTTTTAGAGTTAAAAATTGCTTCATCCAAATAAACCTTTTATAATGTTTTTCAAAACTATTGTTCACGTATAATACGGATAGTAACTACCTACCACAGTATGGAGTTTGGTACACATCCATACTTTCTTGGGTCAAAAAGAAATCATTCACCCTCTGACAATGTTTCCAATTTGGACACCACGACGCAGTATTCCATCTCTCCCCCGCTCTCCCTCTCTCCCATTATTTGCTTTATTCATAGCCCTGTCTCTCTCTCTTTTTCATATGAAACTGACTTGGGGAAGCTCTTTCTTGGGGATTTCCTCGCTTCTTCTTTAGGTTTTGTCCTGTAGTCTCTTTTTTGTGCAAATTGTTTTGCCGCCACATGGAAAATTTGAATTTTTGACTTGTGCTATGATGTTATTTAGAGCATGAACAGTGGAGAGTGTAAATTCGGGGTGTAGCCGTGGGTCCCAGCCTTTTATGTTAACTTTTATTCTTTTTTATTCTTTTTTCTCTGGTGGGTCCCGCCTGAAAGGGATGTAAAAATAGATGTAAATATACATTTTATTTTACATCCTTATGGTGGTTATGTATATTTACATCTATTTACATCTCCCCATTGGAAACAATTCTGGTGACTCGGGGTGTATATTTAATATACACCCCCACTGTGTATGCTCTTAAAAACGAAAATTGGTGGCTTTGTCTTCGGATTGAATAAACATTGATAAAATAACAACTTTTTTAAACCATATAAAACTAACCGCATATAAATATCTTCTTATCCCCAGTTTCATGTCTGCAGTTGATAATTGATATGTGCCCCAGTTTCATGTCTGATATGCATTATATTGAGCACCTGATCAAGTAGTATTCTTCCGCACCTGATCAATTTATTTTGAACCAAATAGCATCATCATTGAACAATCTTTTTTTTTCTCCTGCCCTTCTCTCTCTCTCTCTCCTCTTTCCTTTTTTCTTCTTTCCACTAGCATTCTTCTGCCCTGTGGGAGAAAAAAACAGAGGGGAGGGTGGGGGAAACGCAAGGTAAAAAAAAGACTTAACTCTGTTAAAGTGGTTAAGTGAGATGGTAGGTGTCAAAAAAATAAGCCAGGGACACACGAAAACATGGACAGAGGATCTGAACCCTACAATATAGCTACCTCAACCAATGAGTTGATTTGCACTGATAGTTTCTCAAGTCTCCCATGCCATAGTTTTAACTTGTGCTCTGCTTCCAGGGGATCATTTTTACCTTGTGCATATACCTCTTCTTTAGTTGTTTTCCTAAATTATTTGTCCTTTTACTCTGTTGGGGATATTTTCTGAGTGGATGTAATTTGGATTAACTTGTTAGTTTCAATGTGTTGGGATAATTACTTCCTATAGGCAGTGAGTAAAAGAACATTTTCCAGAGCAACCTTTCTATGCTGTGCTTTCATACTGTTGTAGTGAAATAATGCGTGAAAAATGTTAGTATAGTTCTGAGTCTTCTGACCAAAAAAAGGAAAAATGTACTGAATTTGAGAACATGTCGATCCCATTTAAGTGCTGTACAAGGAAGGAAGGGACAATTATCCTGCTCCCTATATATCTGTGCACGTCTTAGTTAAACTATTATTTTTGTTACATAATTCTAATCTTCATCCTCAATTTTTAAATTTTCTTTTGTAAAGATTGTTCATTGATGATGCTATTTGGTTCAAAATAAATTGCATTGGGTTCAAAATAAATGTATAGAATGTGGCAGGATGGAAAATGGAAAATTCATTTTCATGTTTGGTAATGCTAACTCACAAACTAATCCCTATTAAGAAGTTCATTGTAATCATGTGTTCAATTCCCTCTGCATCATTAAATACTAGACTGAAAGTTGATGACATAAATTTCTTAGGCTTCAGGAAAGAAGAAAAGAAAAGCCAAGGACACGATCACTTCTGGTGAGAAGAAAGAGAACTCATCCCAGCAAGGAAGTTTCACTGAGGTGTCGGTGGGAAAACATTAGTCCTTTCACTTATTTTTTGACTTTGGTGTTGATTCGAAAATCGTGGATTTTTTAAAACTATTTCTTTCCGGATTGTTTTCTTTTGCTCCATACTTTGGTCACATCCATACTTTTTTTGGGTCAAAAAGAAATAATTCACACTCTCTCTCTCTCTCTCCCCCATTATTTGGTTTCTACAGCCCCCTGTCTTTCATCTGAACTTTCCTGAATTAACTTGAGTAAGCAAACATGGACAAGACCCTCCTAACTCGGATTATTTTGATTTTGCAATGTGAATGCAACTCTATAAGAAAGGAGAGATGCATGTTAAGCAGCATTCTTAATTAGCATTGACGCTCGGCTTTGATTATTTTTTTAAAGAAAGATTAATCGGATGAAAATTTCATTTCATTACTGTCATATCAATGCTTGTCATATCAAACCTAGAAAAAGCAAAACAAAAAACTGGATTTTGTAAGTACCTTGGCACCCGATCACTTTGTTGAGAAAAGAATTTCCTTGAAATTTCCTCTCACTTGTTTGGTGGAAAATATTTGTCATTTCACTTTTGTAGTACATTTCTTTGATACGTCAAAATGAAATAATTAGCTTTTTTCCTCTTGAGAGCCTACAATTTGATGTCAGAATGAAGTGTTAGATCAAAGGTCTGACGTGGATAAGGCTACCGAGTTTTAGAATTTGAATGATGGTTCTTTATCCTCAAGTTCTTTTGAATGAGGAGCTTTGTATTGTACATAACTCTATCACTTAATAGCTGATATCCTGATTTGTAGGAACAGCTTTCTGCTTTTCAAACTTGTACTTTTGGTTAAGCAAACTCTATCACTTAATACAATCATTATAAATACAAAGCTGCAGCCATATTGGTTAAGCAAACTTTTCATGTTATTTCAAAGTCTTACGAGAAGACCAACCGATTCTACCATCGGAGACTCTACAATTGACATAAGAAAAGACTCACCACACCGACACTTAAAAATAACTAAAAAAGAAACAAAATAGAAACCCTGTTGTTTCTCTCTCTCTCTCTTCCATTATTTCCTTTCCTACGTATCCCATCCCTCCTCTTTTCATCTATTCCTTCAACTCTCGGGTGAATATTGTAATTTTCTTTTTTTCATTTTCTGGTGACAGTTAACTTCGCATCTTGTTTTTGGTTGGATTGGTTTGTTTTGCTGCCAATTCTCTGGCTCGTGATTGTGGTGCTGTTCCGCTGAGCTGTTGTCCGAGTTGCTGCGTTTCCATTTCATTAATCTGTAGTTTGTTTTGCTGGGTATTTGCTCTCTTCCCTTCTTCTCTTTTGCTTATAATACGTTTTCAATTACCCAAAAGAAAAATTAAAGCTACCATTTTCATTTTATGTATTTTCTGAGTGTTTGCCGAACCAGATTTCCAGGAACTGTCTTTTTCCCATGGCCTTGAGCACCCAAAGAGCCTCTACATCTCGCACTTCAGCTGAATGGGCTCCTCCCCATTGGAAGCATGATGTCTTTTTGAGTTTCAGGGGTGAAGACACTCGCAGCGGTTTTCTATCCCATTTATACCATGAACTGCAGTACTGGCAAGCAATTAAAACTTTCAAGGACGACCGAGACCTTGAAAAAGGAGCAAGTATTTCTCCGGAGTTGTTGACCGCAATCGAACAATCACATCTTGCCATCATTGTTCTCTCCCCAAATTACGCTTCTTCCACCTGGTGCTTGAATGAACTTTCCAAGATTCTTGAATGCATGCAAGACACCATGAGAATTCTTCCAATCTTTTATCACGTGGATCCTTCTGATGTACGAAACCAATGGGGTAGTTTTGCGGAAGCCTTCACTAAACATGAAGAAAAGTTCAGTGAAGATGTAGACAAGGTGAAGCGGTGGAGAGATGCTTTAAAAGAAGTTGCCAATCTCTCTGGGTTGGATTCAAAGAATTATCAGTAAGCATGCATGGATCAACAACTTGTTTGTTTCTTACTAGAACTCTACTTGGATGTTACGTTTCAGTTCTTGCCATAATCAATAACCTTGGATGTTATATTTATGAATTAATGGTTATTTTAATTTTATTCCTTATAGGTCGGAAGCAGAGCTTATTAAACACATTGTCAAATGTGTGTTTAGGAAAGTGCATCCAACGTTCATGTTGTCAGGTTCTCTTGACAAGTTAGTCGGAATTGATTCTGCACTTGAGCAACTACATTTGCAATTAGCTCCCAAAGATAATGAAGTTCGCTTTATAGGGATATGGGGGATGGGCGGGGTAGGCAAAACAACCCTTGCTAAGCTAGTTTTCGAGAGAATTTCCCATCATTTTGAACTTAGCTGGTTTCTATCTAATGTGAGAGAGGTTTGTGGAAAACAAGGTGGTCTAGTTAATCTACAAAGACAGATTCTTTTCCCAATCTTGAAAGAAAATGTTGCCAATGTTTGGGATGAAGGAGCCGGAACCTTTTTCATTCAGAACCGTTTATGGAATAAAAAGGTTCTTCTCGTGCTTGATGATGTGGATCAACTAAACCAACTAGAAAAACTGGTTGGAAATAAAAAATGGTTCGGTGTGGGGAGTAGAATTATCATCACAACTAGGGATGAGCGTCTACTAGTTGAGCATGGTATAGAGAAACTGTATAAGGTCGTTGTATTAAAGGATGATAAAGCTCTTGAGCTCTTTTGTCGACATGCCTTTAAGAAAGATAAGCCTGAGGAAGGTTTTCAGGAACTGTCTCGGCATTTCCTAGATTATGCTAAAGGCCTTCCATTAGCTCTTAAAACTTTGGGGCGTGCTTTGTTTGGGAGAGATCAAAATGCGTGGAAGAGTGTGTTGCATAATCTAAACAAAATTCCTGATCCAAATATTTTTAATTCACTCAAAGTAAGTTATTATGGATTAAAAGAGATGGAGAAGAAAATTTTTCTGCATGTTGCGTGTCTCCATAGAGGGAGGGATAAAGAGCAAGTAATTGAAATACTAGACTGTATCCTTGACATTTCCAGTCATATTGAGATAGATATTCTTATTGAGAAATCTCTCTTAACTATTGAGAAAAGCCACTTTCGTAGCAACATTGTTGAGATGCATGATTTGATACAAGAAATGGCATGGAAAATTGTTCGTGAAGAGTCTCCCGAGCCTGGTGAACGCAGTCTTTTGTGGTATCACAACGACATTTCTCATGTATTCACGAACAATACGGTAAGAAGTTATTTAGAGATGCTATATATACATGGGCCAAAATATATGCCGTTTTTCAAATGAGAAGTTATTTAGAGATATTAGACTTTAATGAGATGAGATGAATTAACTTTTTCCTTTTTCTTAATTATATATATATATATATTAGGGAACGGGAGCAATTGAAGGTATAGTCTTACGTCTGCCCCAATCAGAACTGGTTGACTGGAATTGTATTGAAGCCTTCAATGAGATGCACAGGTTAAGGCTCCTTGACTTTTATAATGTGATGTTTTCTTCAGGCCCTAAATTTCTTCCAAATTCCTTAAGAATTATCCATTGGAGTTCGTATCCTTCCAAATCGCTCCCATCATGTTTCAAACCACATTTGCTTTCTAAACTAGAAATGTGGAATAGCAAACTTGTCCGGCTTTGGGATGGAGCAAAGGTAAGATTCTTGAAATACGGCATTTTGTAATTTTTTTAATTATATTGAGTATGATTGTATTGTACCTTGTTTTAACTTGCAAGGTTTTTTGAAACTTATAATTCTACAACTTGTATGTACTGGCAGGATTTTCCGAATTTGAAATATATGGATCTTAGTTACTCTGATAAATTGACTAATATCCCAGATTTCACACGCATTCCAAATCTTGAGGAATTGAATCTGGAAGGTTGTAAGAAATTAAGCGAGGTTCACTCGTCGATTGCAGTTCACAAAAAGCTGAAGGTTTTAATACTTGATGAATGTAAGAGTATTAAGAGTCTCCCAAGTGCGTTGGAAATGGATTCTCTTGAACATTTTTCTCTTTGGGGCTGCTCAAAAGTGAAAAAGATTCCAGAATTTGGGGAACATATGCAGAACTTGAAAATGATTAATCCCTGTGAGACTGCTATCGAGCAAATACCTTCATCAATTGAACATCTAGTTGGCCTTGATTATCTAAATATAAGTGATTGCAAAAGTCTCTTGGGTCTACCGAGTGCGATGTGCAATTTGAAGTCTCTTAAAACCCTCTGTGTGAAAAGATGCTCAAAACTTGATAAACTGCCAGGGGATATGGAGTTTTTAGAGGAGCTTAATTTAAGTGGAAGTGCTATGAGAGAGCCGCTTGTTGCTATGAAAAATCTCAAAAGTCTAACCCTTAGTGGATTAGTTACTTCAAGGGATGGCATTTGGTGTGGCCTTGACTGGTTATTTGGAATTAGAAAGAGTGTTGACCCTGACCCTTGGGGTTTGGTGTTGTCTTCTCTAAATCGTTTAGGGTCTTTGACGAAATTAGATCTGAGTGATTGTAATATTGGTGAAGGAGCCATTCCAGATGATATCGGCTGCTTGTCTTCTTTAAAAGAGTTGGATCTTAGTGGAAACAATTTCGTTAGCCTTCCCTCAAGCATTAGATTCCTTTCTGAGCTTCTGTCTCTTCAATTGGAGAGGTGCAAAAGGCTTGAGCAATTGCCTGATCTTCCGCCAAAGAGATCCTCATTATTTGTACGTGTAGACGACTGTACTTCCTTAAAAAGGCTGTCAGATCCATCAAAGTTGAGCGAAGGAGCCAATGTGTATGATTTTATGTTTAGTTGTCTTAATTGCTTCAGATTGGTTGAAGAAGGAGGCTGGATTAATAGAATATTTGCAATGATATTGAAAAACGCCACAGTGGTACTCTCTCTCTCTCTCTCTCTCTCGTTGAATGAATATATATATATATATATATATCATGGTTTTCTTTTTCTATAATAAGTAAATATAATGGTAATTCTTTTGGTACAGGTAAGGTATCCTGATGACGGTATTGTATGGCCTGGAAGTGAAATTCCAGATTGGTTCGATAATCGAAGTGTGGGACATTCAATAATCGTGGAGCCGCCTCTACCTCCACAAACATGGAGTGACTGGGTTGGGATTGCTTTATGTGTTGTTTTTGAAGATTCTAATAAATATTTGGAAAATCCAGCCTATGCTCTTTTACATGTAGTTTCGCAGGGATGGCATAAGAAGATTGAAGTCGGGTGTGTTGAGTCACAACACCTTTGGGTTTTCTATTTGCCTCGCAATGATCGCTGGCTCAAGGATGCCTCAAGTCATCGGTTTTCAATCACAGGGAGTTATTCAATCAGACCTGTGAACGAAAGATTCAAAATAAGCTCGATTGTAAAGAAATATGGGGCCCGTTTGGTGTACCAGAGAGATTTGGAAGAATTCAGCCGAATTCTGAAAATCCCGAAGCCAGCAGCACTACATGCATCCGGTGACGAGGAGGCAGGCCCAATTGGTAGTAGTGGAAGTGGTAGCTCTGATGACCACGATGAACCAGGAATTTGTTGCTCTAATGACGACAATGAACAAGGAATTGGTAGCTATGAAAATGAACCAGGAAGTTATAGCTCTGATGACGACGATGAACCAATCAGCAAAAGATTCAACAAAGTCTAAATTATTTTGTGCTTGGTTCAGTCATTCAATGAGGTAGGAGGAGAGCTGTTCTTTTTTTAATTTCAACGTGTTAGAAATATTTACTTACTCTTTTTCAACAATGCTACTCCTCTCATAATTTTATATCAACATTGGTAAAAGGCTTTTTATCACGAATGGTCCTTAACGTTTACGATTTTATCACGAATGGTCCTTCATGTTTTTTTGTGACACTAATAGTCCTTAACGTTAGTTCTTTTTATCACAAATGGTCCCTCCGTTAAAAATTCTGTTAAGTGTAATAAGTGGAGCCCACATGTCCAATCACATCGTGACATGTGGATTAAATAAATAAAGAACTTTTTTTATTTTATTTTATGAAAATCCATTCTCTCTCTGTCTCTCTCCCCCTCCCCTATGCCCTCTCTCCTCCCGTGTTCTCCCTCTCCCTCTCCCTCTATTTTTTTTTCCTTGCCTCTACAGCCCGACCACCCCATGCCCACCCACTTGCAACCCACCCCTCTCCCTCTGTATATTTTGCAAAATAATCACTTGCACAAGGTAGTTTCACATTTCCTTTTACACAAATATTTATTCAAACAACTTAAAATAATTAAAAACAGAGGGAGAGAGTAGAGGAGGAGAGAAAATACAGTGGGAGAGGGTAGGGGAGTTGGGCGTGGGTTGCGGCTTGTGGGTGGCTGTGTTAAAAAAACAGAGACGAATAAAAGAATGCCAAAGACCATTTTTTCTTGCAGGTGGCAGGCAATGGGCAAGAAAAAAACAAAGGGGGATTGTGGGTTATGATTTATATACCACTATACAAAGATGAAGAAAGATATATGGGTTATATTATTATTTTTACAGAGGGAGAAGGAGAGGACAGAGGGGAGAGAAGGAGAGCAGAGGGGGAGAGAAGGGGCAGAGGATGGAGAGCAAGGGCAGAGGGGGAGAAAGATGGAGTAGAGGAAGAGGGATGAAAAGTTGTAAAAAAAAGAAAAAAAAAGGAATTTTCATAAAAAAAAATTTATTTAATTATTTTTTCATCCACATGTCACAATGTGATTGGACATATGGGCTCTACTTGTCTTTCACTTCAGACACTTAACAGAATTTTTAACGGAGGGACCATTTGTGATCAAAAGCCCTAACGTTAAGGACTATTAGTGTCACAAAAAAACCTCAAAGACCATTCGTGATAAAATCTTAAACGTTAAGGACCATTTGTGATAAAAAGCCTTGGTAAAATAACAACGTTTTTTAAACCTTATAAAACTAACGCATATAAATACATTCTTATCCCCACCCTCTTACTCTTTTCGCACTTTCGCCCAACTCCCCCGAACTGAACTTAGCGCGCTCTCTCTCTCTCTCTCTCTCTTTCTCTCTCTCTCTCTCTCATATCAATTAACGGTAAGCATCCTCTTCCTTTGAACTTAGGGTTTTTTTCTGTTAAATTAGGCTTATCGAATTGGGGGTTGAGGTTGATGATTCTTTCTGTTAAATTAGGCTCTGTTTTGATTTGGGAATTGAATTGAATTGATTAGGCTCTGTTTAATTTCTGTTATTTCTGTTAAACTAGGCTTGTGTCTAATTGATCAAATACCTTCATCAATTGAACATCTACTTGGCCTTGGTGAATTTCATATAAATTGTTGCAAAAGTCTCTTAGGTCTACCGAGTGTGATATGCAATTTGAAGTCTCTTAAAATCCTCTGGGGGCTAAGTTGCTCAAAACTTGACAAACTGCCAGGGGACATGGAGTCTTTAGAGGAACTTTATTTAGACGGAAGTGGTATGAGAGAGCTGCCGCTTGTTATGAAAAACCTCAAACGTCTAAGCTTTGCTAGATCATCAACTTCAAGGGATGGCATTGGCATTGGCATTGGGTGGGGCCTTGACCGTTTATCTGGAATTAGAAAGAGTCATCCTGACCCCTGGGGTTTCGTGTTGTCTTCTCTAAATCATTTATGCTCTTTGACAAGTTTAAACCTAAGAGATTTTAATATTGGTGAAGGTGTCATCGCCACTTCTCTTCTTTAGAATATTTAACATTTCATGGAAACAATTTCATTAGCCTTCCCGTGAGCATTACATTCCTTTCTAAGCTTAAGTCCCGGGACTTGAGGCGGTGCCAAAGGCTTGAGCAATTGCCAGATCTTCCGTCAACGACATTATTTGTATATGCAGACGATTGTACTACCTTAAAAAGGTTGTCCGATCCATCTAAGCTGAGCGAAGGAGCCAAAGTGTACCATTTTGAGTTCACTTGTCTTAATTGCTTCAGATTGGTTGAAGAAGGCTGGATTAATAGAATATTTGCAATGATAATGGTACACACACTCTCTCGTTTTTGTTTGAATTAATAGAATATTTGCAATGATAAATAAAATGACAATTCTTTTGCTATTCAATACAGATTCCTCTCCGTACCTTTTTGTATGGCCTGGAAGTGAAATTCCAGATTGGTTTGATAATCGAAATGTGGGAGATTCAATAACTGTGGAGTTGCTTCTGCAACTACCTCCACAATCATCATGTAGCAGCGACTGGGCTGGGATTGCTTTATTTGTTGTTTTTGAAGATGCTGAATATTTGCAAAATCCAGCCGCCCTTGTTGGATGTGTTTTCAAAATTCAATGATTGCGGAGTCCGTCTGAGACTTTTGAATTTGGGGATCTTAGGTCACAACACCTTTGGGTTTTTGTTTGCCTCGCGATCATCCCAGCTTCATGGATGCCTCAAGCAGTCATTGGTTTTCATTCGAAGCACATTATTGTGCATACAGATCTTCCAACACACTCAAAACAAGCTAAAATATAAAGGAATGTGGGGCCCGTTTGGTGTATGAGAGAGATTTGAAAAAATTCTGCCGTTTGGTGTACGTTGACAAGGCTGTCCCAATTGGTAGTAGTGGAAGTGGTAGCTCTGATGACGAAATTGAACCAGGAAGTGATAGCTCTGATGACAACCATGAACCTGGAATTGGTAGCTCTGATGACGACAATGAACCAGGAAGTTATAGCTCTGACGACGACGATGAACCAATCAGCAAAATATTCAAGAAAGTCTAAATTATTTTGTGCTTGGTTCAATCATTCAATGAGGTAGGAGGGGAGCTGTTCTCTTATTACATTTTGGTTATATACTTGTTGAAAAAAACCTTTTCCATTTCCAAATACATAAATCAAGCATAGTATGAGATTGAAGAAGTAAGATAGCAGAAAATAGACTTGATTTGTTCTTTATTTTAGATATTGTAAGATTTGTTTTGAAAAAAAAATTTGAGACGTAAAACAAATTTCTGGGTCGTGTTGGAGGTTTTATTGCTTAATACACAGAATAACAATAATGTAACTTGAGATGCAATGTTTTGGCTCTTGAATTGTTTAATATATATTTCAATTGAAACTCGTCCCTTCATCTTACAATGCCCACTTTTTATGCAGATGAATCGGGAAAAACTTATGAAGATGGCCGGTGTGGTTCGCACTGGTGGAAAGGGTAGCATGAGGAGGTGGGTGAAATTTCAGAATGAAACTCCTTTTCTCTACCAAGTTGATTCACAGAAGCTGACGTATCAAGTTTTAGCCTTAATGGTTTTGAGTTAAATATGTGTGCAATTGATAATTTTATGTGCGCCAGTTTCATGTCTGTTATGCATTATATTGAGCACCTGATCAAGTAGTTTACTTCATCAAATTATTGATTTGCAATTTGAGCTCTTTATGTGAAGCAGTTATCCTGATGGCATGTTGAGTGGATTGTTGTCTTTTGTTGTTTTACCGTGTTTATTTTATGTTATTCTTGTAATTTTTTTAAAGATGAGAAATACCTGAACTTTTAGAGTTAACTGCTCTTCCCAGGGGGAACAGAAAGTTTTATCTTTTATTAATTTGTATAACATGCAATCTTTATGTGGCGAACTGCGAACTTAAGTACAATAATCATTTATTGTATGCAGCATTTGGTGCATTAGCTAGTCTAAAGTTCCTCGTTAAACCAGATGATTCCCTAGCTTAAAGAGCCCATAACAGAAAGGTTGTCTCCAGTAGACTTAGTGTAATTGTTTTTCCAGTAGACAGCTTACTCTGGTGGAGAGTGTGATGGGTTCTTCTGCTCTTCTGTATTCAATATTATCTAATGGTGTGTTCTTCTTCTCTTTAGATAGGATTTTTAAGCAATTGAGTAGGCAAAAAATAAGAAAGTAATTCAAGTAGTTAAAACTGAGAATTGTTGGAGTTTACCTCAAATATGCCATCTAGTGCTCTCTACTTTGGAGAAAATGCTATTTCTGATGTACACGGCATTATCGGGGAATGGTCATTTGGACTTAGACTGCCCTTGAAGTCATTTTATGACAAGTTTTCAATCATAAGTCTTGCACATTCCTGCAATTGTTTGTAATTAGCACATGTTTGTTGTGTGATCATCCTGTTTGTACGTGATTTTGTTTATTAATTTCTGTTCCCAGATTCAGAAAGGAGAAGGCTGTTCACAAGACAGCTACCACAGACGACAAAAGGCTTCAGAGCACCATTAAGAGAATAGGGCATGAACACTATTCCTTCAATCAAGTTAACATATTTATGGATGATGTTGTCATCCAGTCCATAAACCCCAGAGGTGAAGCCAACATGCCAGAACTCTGATCCTGTAAATTATTATTTTGATTCACCTTTTCTAATAGTTGATGATTTTCCTTGTACATTTTTGGTGACCATACTAGCGGCATGCAGGCCTAATTTAACACCGTTTCACAGGTGACCCTCAATGACATAGCCGTCTTATCTGAACTTGGCTTTCTGTTTTGTGATTGCAGGAGCATCGACGTAGAGCTAAGAGTTAAGCGCTTAAATCAATTTAAAGCCGTTTGGTTGCTAAATGCAAAAAAAAAATTTATCAAAAAGATTTTTTCATTACTACTGCATAAAGCACTACATTACATAAACAACCACATATGCCTTTAATAGAGCTTTTTCAGTTCAAACAAAGAGTATGCCACAATTTGTTCTCTATCTTTTAAATTTGAAGTGATGGTTTAACTTGTTAACCATTTTGGTGTCTTCCATATTTTAAATATTGGTAGTAATTTAGAAAAATGGATAGAATATTGGTGTTGTGTTCTTCTTTAGTGTATTTACGTAATGATTTTATTCCGAGGTTGGATGTCAATATGTGCCTTGAATTGGAAATTTGTTTTCAATGTTGTATTATCTGGTAAAAGAACGCACATATATACATGTTTAGTTGTGTTTGTGCCTGGATTTTCTGCTGCGCATTGAGCCTTTTATTTGGCCTTTAGATTTTTGTCATATTGGTTTAGAACTTGACATAGGATCTTCTCTGTTGTACAGTTGAAAGATATTCTTTCCAGTATATTATCAGCCATTTGGGTAAGTGTGCATGTGATCCTTATATTTTGTTCTTGCTTTTGTCCTCAAAAGAGGACTTGGAGAATTCTTCATGGCACCTTTAATTATTTTCAGGGCCAGATAACTCAGACAATTTGATGAAACTGGCAGAGCAGTTCCAGAAGCAAGCGCCTGGTGCTGGTGCTGGTGCTGCTGGTGGAACCACTCCACAAGAGGATGATGATGACGAGGTCCCTGAGCTTGTTTCTGGTGAGGCCTTTGAAGCTGCTGAGGAGGAGAAACAAGCTTCGTAGAGAGTTTCAAGGGGATTTTGTGTTTCATTTTATACTTGGTTAATTTTATCTTTTTGGTTAAAATCTAGTTTTACTATTTCCTAATGCTTGACCGATTATTGTGTTTAAAGATTATTTTCCTGTTTTTAGATGATTGTTATAAACGCATCAAGTAACGAAACCCTTTTAAGCCTTCCGATTCTGGAGTTGTGGCAACAAAACCCTTCCACAAACGTACCTTTATTTCACTCTACTTTCCTCATCAAGTTGAGCAATTCCTTTCCATTATTATATGTAGTGTGAAATTAAGACTCGTTCCTTAATTTACAGATAATCTTTTTTACTTGAACAATGTGATAAAAGAACTTTCCTAGCTAGCTAGCTTGCTAGTTGACCGGGGAAAACTTCAAAAGTAAAACCGCTTAAACTTGCCCACTTATCATTTCTAGAACATCCATATTTTTGTGCCTCGAGGGTAAAAAAAAAATTAATTATCCATCGAAGCAGCAATCATTTGGAGTGGTTAAGAGCAATTAATTAAGGAAAATATTAGTCCACAAAACATTATTATATTAATCAGATTAAAAAAAGGTAGTAATTATTGAAAGAAAAAGTTGGATTTAGGTTGGTGGCCTCAACATGCTGGATCAATAGAATTCCAGGTTGCACATTAGCTTTTCTTAACCTAATACACGGATATAAACATACGTGCAATGCGAGTTATATATTTATACGTACAGAAAGGATAATGTTTCTTACTCATGATAGGTGAGAAGGAATCTACTTTTTTTATTAATGTGATATTTACAGGAAATAATAAAAGTAATAGGATCATAAGAATTAAACTGATAACATCAAGGGCGGCAAGAAGCTTGATCCCACAAGCTATATATAATCTTCATGAGGCCCTGTCAGATAAAATCAAGATCCTCAATCAATACAACCCAAAATAGAGAAAGCAAACTTAGCTAACCTACGAGCGAGGCTTCCGAACATATAAAGGAAAGGAGCACTTTGAGTTCATGAGTAACAACTATTAATCACTTGAGTTAGGAGTTCTTTTTGCAATATAAAAGTGCTCTTTAAGTAGATAGTCATATCACATCAGGATGATGTCGTGGTATGATCGTCCTATAAAAGTCTCTTTGTAATAATTTTTTCTTCCTTTTTAATCAAAAGAAATTTAAGTGAGAAACCCCATTATTAAAAAATAAAAATAAAAAACCTTAGGATACATAACATATATTAACAATTGAGCTAGAAGCCTTTTTACAATATATGGCAATAATTCTATTTCTCTTAATTGCAATAATTTCTGAGTGGGATGAGTTTTTGGGTTGAATATGATTTAGAATAATTATTTAAATATTTTTACAATTAGATTTGATTTTGGACCTTTGGATCTGTATTTTTAGCATTGAAAACAGTCAGAAAAAATGTTGGCTGTTGGGTGAAGGATCGACGGTATAAGCTGATTGGGTTTAATTAAGGCATTAATTAATGAAACCTTCATACATGATATTTGGAGGAAAAAACCCCAAAAATGACCAAATGACCAATTTCTTTAATTTAATAAGGGAGCTGATTTTCCCACTCCTATTTTCTCCACTTACACTCTCTTTTGCTTTTTCATACTTACACTCTCTGTACGCTAAGTTTTTTTTTAAAAACCAAGTATGTGAGTACTATTTATCTTTATTGTAGTTAATAGATGATAAATGTTTTGGGTTAACATATTTATAGGTAGAAGAACCAAAGAATGCTACTAACCAAACTGTCATTAGGAGCTTAGATATGCAGAGAGTAAGACATGCATAATAGTCTCAGATTTTTATTCTTTTATAATATTAGTAAGTGATTGTACATGTCTTCTATTAATAATACATTAAAATGAACTTGGTGGGTGATCACAAATTGTTAGACCAATAAGAAACAAAAAGAAGAAGAAAGTCCGCCCTATGCTGTCTGTTGGTGCTGGTGGCGTCTAGAATTTGTGTTAGTTTCCTTGCAAAAAAGAACAAACGCTTGAGTATTTTATTATTTGATGATGTAAGCTATTATGAAGGCCAGTCTCTAGGTGTTAGTATGATTTAAGGTTGCAGAATGACTACAGAAGTAGTGAAATGGCTTGTATGTGCTTGCGCTGCTGCTTGCGTGCGTCATTCTGGCCGTGGCCGACATCGGCAAAGAATGAGCTGTCAAAATAAGTGTAATAGTCTTTGCTTTTATCAACGGAATTGTTATCATTCAATTATCATTATTTGTGTATGGAGTTAGAACCCCCTACAGAATTGCTTTCAGTGGATCCTTAGTTTCTTGTTTAGCAGGAGTCCAACAATGGTTAACTTTATTTCAAAGTGTTGACAGGATATTACTTAGTAACACCGCATATCCCTTCTTTTCTAATTGCAAAACCAAAGAGGACAACGTGAGAATATTGATAAACTATATTATGATTGAACAACTATTAAATTGGATATAACTGTAACTCCAAAAGCGAGAGTGGTTTTCATTGTGAGGGAGAGGGAGAGTTTTAGCTGTGAGAGAGAGAGAGAGAGAGAGAGAGAGAGAGAAATTTGAAATTCTCTTTCAATGATGCGAGAGAGTGGTTTTTTTATTGTAAGGGAGAGTAGTGGCATATCCAGAATTTGAAAGCTGGTTGGGCAGAACTTACCTAATAAACTCAACTATACAAGCGAATTGACATAAAAAATACACGTGAGAACCAAAGATAGATGAGAGAATCGAAACCAAAAATTGTTGTTGGATTAGTAAATCGAAACCGAAGATGAAAAAATCCAGTTGAAAGTTGTAATCATGCATGCACAAAGAGTAACTATATAAATAAAGGAAAACTTATTAATAGCACAAACAGAAGCATCCTCTTCTATATAATGATGACAAAAAAAAAGGCATTAAGATAGAATATATGAGAAGAAAACGTTGGAAAGAAAAAATAAAAATAAAAAAAAAAAAAAAAAAAAAAAAAATAAAAAAAAAAGAAATAGAGGGGGTAAAAAGAGCAACTAATAAGAGTGAGTAGCTATAGTATTTTAATGATTGTTGGCTTTAAACATTCCTAGCAGAGAAAAAGAAATTTTTATACAATTTTATTGTCTTACATTGGAACATATGCGTCTGGCTGGCTCTCTAGATGTCACACAGCCTAAGATGTGGCTGGCTGGCTGGGTGGCGTAGAGGGTTTTGTTTCGTTTTTCTTGGCTGCCACTAGGAGAGGGAGGGTTTTAGCTTAATGGAGAGAGGGAAAGAGGGACCTCAGCATCAAGCAAGCATGGAGAAAGAAATGTTGGATATAGAGATTCAAACTGCTACTGAAGCTCCAGCTATCTTCAAGGAAGCCATTCGACCCGTCACATTGAAGGTATATATATGTAGAAAAATGGTGTCTTATCTCCCTTTTTAAAAATAAAAAAAATTATATATATATACTAAATCACATTTATGCAGTTTGAAGATGTGGTTTACAAGATCAAACAGAATAATAGTACCAAGAACGAAGAGAAAGTGATCTTAAACGGTATCTCAGGCCTCGTTCAACCGGGGGAAATCCTCGCCATGCTCGGCCCCTCCGGAAGTGGCAAAACGACTCTCCTAACTGCACTAGCAGGCCGGCTAGGCGGTCGACTTAGTGGCGCCATAACCTACAACAACAAAACCATTCTCAAACGCAATGAAAAGAAACACTGGCTTTGTAACCCAAGACGACTTTCTCTACCCCCACTTGACGGTCATCGAAACCCTATTCTACACAGCCCTTATTTGCTTGCCCAACACGCTATCGAAAACCAAGAAGGCTATGCAAGCTGAGGCCGTGATTATGCAACTGGAGTTAAGCAAGTGCAAGAACAGCGTTGTTGGGGGTGAGTTCTTGAGGGGTGTTTCGGGTGGGGAGAGAAGAAGGGTTAGCATAGGCCAAGAATTACTCGTAAACCCTAGCTTGCTCTTCTTGGATGAGCCCACGTCTGGACTCGATTCGACGACGGCACAGCAGATTGTGTCGGCATTGTGGGATTTGGCAAGTGGAGGAAGAACAATTGTGATGACCATACATCAACCTTCAAGTAGGATTTTCTACATGTTTCATAAGGTGGTGTTGTTATCGGAAGGGAATTGTTTGTATTTCGGAAAAGTATCGGAGGTCATGGACTATTTTTCGGGCATTGGCTATGTCCCATTGGTAGCTATGAATCCTGCGGATTTTCTGTTGGACCTTGCCAATGGTATGTTTCTTTTTTAATAATCAGCAGCTTCATTTTTTATTTCAGCTGTCAAAATCCTGAGATTTATGCAAGCATGGGTTATGGGTCGTGGGTTCCGTAATTGCATGTAACTTAGGCCCATCTCTTTGTTCAATGACTTCCTTGACTTTGGGCCATAGTTCATTACTGTTTGAACTCTCAAAATGGGTTTGAATAAATTTTTAGGAAATCCAATTTCCGACCACTGAGAGTTTACTTTTTTTTTTATTTTTTTTTTTATAGTACATGTGATAGTATAAACTAAAAGGAATGGAGGTTTCATGCACACACACAACCAAGATATTATGGCTGTTCAAACCTGAGGCATATGCTCTGCAAGTCAATGACCTTTTCCGCTAGACTAGAACCTGACAATTTATTCATATGTTTGGGGATTAGAAACTGCAAAATTGTCTTGGAAATGTTTGTAGCATTGTCAGATATGCTTGGGGAATTTATTCCTATTCAAAATTAGTGAAAAATGCATTAATTATCATCCATATTGTAATTTTGTGTGATATAGTTCATTATTGTGCCATGTTAGCTATATATAGGATTTTAGTGTGAAGTGTATATTAGATGTTAGTTTTACTTTTTCATTACCCTACAAATGTGTCATGATGCATGCAAGTATGTCTACAAGTGTATATTAGATGTTTGTGAAATTGTTTGTGTGAGTAATTTTTGTTGCATTTTATATGTAGTGTAGGTCTGGCACCTGATGGATCGCATGAAAACAAGAGCAAGGTGAAGCAGAGCCTAGCCTTGGCCTATAAGCACAACCGTTTATATAATTTGAAAGCTCAACTTCAACGGGAGCAACTTCAAGAAACCAACTCCAGCCATTTTCAAGATGGATCAGAAGACAAGAACTTTGCGAAATGGCCCACTACTTGGTGGCAGCAATTCTCTGTGTTGCTTAGGAGAGGACTGAAAGAGAGGAGGCACGAGTCCTTCTCTGGTAGCCAGATTAACCAGGTTGTGGCGGTGGCTCTTCTTGCTGGGCTACTATGGTGGCAGTCAAATATTTCCAACTTGCAGGATCGGGTAACATAACTTGCTTCCTCTCCCTTTTTCTAGCATTTGCATTATGCATTTTCTTTTCTTTTTGGTTACATGGGGAATTTCAATATGCATTTTCATGGGACAGATTCAATCAAAAGTCTAATATAATTGTGCTAATATCATTAGACTAGTATTAAAAGGGACATATTATCAATTATTATGACTAATGACTGATTGATACTTCACTTGTCGCATATATGATCTGATTTATTAATCTGGTAAAAAACAATGTGTTTCACTATGATTCATACCGTTCAGAGGGTATGATTTGTTTCCTTTTCCTGGGTTTGGCACAATAGTTGAAGGTATAGGCTATTGGGTTTATGCCAAGCATGACATAAAGTGTCACTTAACGGAATGCCTAGGTTTCAGCGTGCAGAAGAAATTTTTTTCTGTATAACAATTTGCAAAGACATCCTAGCTCCTCAAACATAACCCATTTTAACAACTTTGAGAATCTTTTTTGGTTATGTATGCAGACTGGGCTTCTCTTCTTTATGTCTGAATTTTGGGGGTTTTTCCCTCTGCTCCAAGCAATTTTCACCTTCCCCCAAGAGCGCAAGATGCTTGAAAAGGAAAGATCTTCAGGCACATACATGCTCTCCTCTTATTTCATATCAAGGATTGTTGCTGATCTCCCCATGGAGCTTGCCCTTCCAACCCTATTTGTCACCATAACATATTGGATGGCAGGGCTCAAACCCACAGCAGGACACTTTTTCCACACCTTGCTTGTTCTGCTACTCAGTGTGTTAGTGGCTCAAGGCATGGGGCTTGCTCTTGGGGCTCTGGTAATGGACCAAAAAAAGGCTGCAGTACTTGCATCAGTCCTCATGGTGTCATTTCAGCTAGCTGGAGGTTTCTTTGTTCAACATGTTCCTGCTTTCATTGCTTGGATCAAATACATTTCCATCATTAACTACTCATACAAGCTCTTGCTGGGGTCTCAATACAATGAAAATGACACTTACCTATGTGATAGTGGGGTTTGCTTGGTTAGAGATTTCCCAAGTATAAAACATGTTGGGCTTAGTGGACAAATAGGTGCAGCGGTTGCTTTGGCCATAATGCTTGTGGGTTATAGGCTAATTGCTTATATAGCTCTCATGAGGACTGGGTTGTAAGCTAATTGGTTTTTCCTTCCTAGAGAGTTAAACTGAGTGGTTAAAGGCAATTGCTTTGGTGTGCCATTTTGTTTATGTAAAGCATAAGTTATGCTAGCCCTATAGTTATGTGCTACATATAGACTCATTTCTTTTCTTCTGTCATATGTGTGAAAGAGAACAGCTAGGCTAATGACGAACTCAATAAGAAAATTTGTATGTAGTTTAGGCGTAAGCATAGAATTTAGATTAGTTTGCTGCTTCAATTCTCGACAGTAAACTTGATGTATTAAAATGAGGAAGGAAACTTTGGTAAGTTAAGGTTTGATAAGTGGAGACATGGAATCCATTGATCGATCTTTTACAATTAGAGCTGATGTTGGATTTTGCAGTAGCCATGAAGATTTCATGTCTGCTATTGTTTAATGTAAACATAAAATCAGGAATGGAAAGGAGAGGTGGTTAGTTCATGAGGGAAGAGAGAATAACAGAGAAGGAGAGGCAAAAGAAAATCAGTATTTTACTTTATATGCAGACAGTGACAACATGAAGCTAAAAGAATTGCAAAGGCATAATTGGATGCAAGAGAAGCTGATGTTGATACTTGAATCGTCTGATGAAGAGAACATGATACAGTCCCCTTCTGTCAACAATGTCTTGAATCTCCATCTGTCAACAATGTGAATTGAAGAGCCCTGTCCATTAGAAGCAGAGCAACTAACATGCATGAACTCCTTGAATTGCTTGGAGAGATCAATAAGAGTAGTGATAGTAATGCTTCTTGACTTGGTAGTGCAATGAGAGTATTCGTAACGGTAATGGTAAATTTGAAAACAACGTAAAATATTGAAAATTAACCAAGATATATTTTTGTTGACAACATGAGTGATGTGTTACAAGTTGCTCTTTAACTTTTCAAATGGACAAGATTGAATGTAAATTGTGCTGAAACCAGATAATGGCAAAATACTTTTAGACAAAGCTAACCATATGATATCTAAAACAAAGAAGGAAGCTTTCTGTAAGAATTCCTCAGGATTCCCACCCAAATAGTTAACGTAAGAAAAGACAAAATGGGAGACATTGTAGCATGTTTGAACGACACTAACAAGAAAAACTGTGTGCTTACGACGAGTTTTCCAACTCCCTTTTCCTTGTAGCTAGCTAGCATGTTCTTCAGTTGTTTAATAACTTTTCACTAACCAAATTACCAACAAAAAAAGTAAAATAAACCCAGCCGTCGGAGTTTAAAGATTTGGCGAATTGTTTGTTCTCATCAGGTGTTTGCACTTTGCAGCAGCAGATTTCCCGGAGGAAGCACTTTCCAATGGCCTTGAGCAGCACCCAAAGAGCCTCTGAACAATCAACTCCTCTTTGGAAACACGATGTGTTTTTGAGTTTCAGGGGTGAAGATACCCGCAAGGGTTTTATATCCCATTTATACCACGAACTGGACTACTGGCAGGCAATTAAAACCTTCAAGGACAACCGAGATCTTGAAAGAGGGACAAGTATTTCTCCAGAGCTCTTGCGCGCTATTGAAGAATCGCAGCTTGCCATCATTGTTCTCTCACCGAACTATGCTTCTTCCACCTGGTGCCTGGATGAGCTTACAAAAGTTGTGGACTGCATGGAAGCCAGGGACACAATTTTGCCAATTTTTTATGGTGTGGATCCCTCTCAAGTACGAAATCAAACCGGGAGTTTTGCAGAAGCCTTCACTGAGCATAAAGAAAAGTTAATTACTAAAAATAAGGTGGAGCAGTGGAAAGCTGATTTAACAAAAGTGGCCAATCTTTGTGGGTGGGATTCAAAGAATTTTAAGTAAGTATCCATGAACAACTTTCCCCTGCCTTAACGAGCTATATACTTTACCTAACCTTGTTATATATATGCCTGGTGGTTATTTTACTCTCCATCCTTGTAGGTGTGAAAGAGAGCTTATTGAGGACATCGTCAAATGTGTGTGGAGGAAAGTGCATCCTTCACTCACCTTGTCAAATTATCCACATAAGTTAGTCGGAATGAATTCTGGCCTTGAGCGACTGGGTGTACTACTAGCAACTGATGCAAATGATGTTCGCTTTATAGGGATAACAGGGATGGGTGGAATTGGGAAGACAACCATTGCTAAACTAGTTTTTGAGAGAATTTCCCACCATTTTGAAGTCAGCAGTTTTCTTGCTAATGTTAGAGAGGTTTACGCAAAACATCGTACTCTAGTTGACCTGCAAAAACAACTTCTTTTCCCAATCTTGAAGGAAGAGATTAAACAAGTTTGGGATGAACTGTGGGGAACCTTTTTCACTAAGAAATGCTTACACAACAAAAAGGTTCTGCTCATTCTTGATGATGTGGATCAATTAGACCAACTAGAAATATTGGTTGGAAAGAAAGACTGGTTTGGTATGGGGAGTAGAATCATCATTACAACCAGAAATGAACGTTTGCTAGTTGAGCATGGTATAGACATATCATATAAAGTTGAGGGATTGAGTGATGATGAAGCTCTTGAGCTCTTCAGTCTGAATGCCTTTAGGAAAGATCAACCTGAGGAAGGTTTTCTGGAACTGTCTAAGCGTTTCCTAAATTATGCCAAAGGCCTTCCATTAGCCCTTAAAGTTTTAGGATGTTCATTGTATAACGAAGGTCAAGATGTATGGATTAGTGCACTGGATCAAATAGAGAAATGCCTAGATTCAAAAATATTTGTTCCTCTCAAAATAAGTTATGATGGACTAAACAAGATGGAGAAAATGATTTTCTTGATGTTGCATGCTTTCATAAGGGGAAGGGCAAGGAGCAAGTAATTCAAATACTGGACCATACCCGCAACATTTCCAGTCGTAAGGGCATACATGTTCTTGTTGAGAAATCTATGTTAACTATTGAGAAATTTCGTGATCCTCTTTCAATCGACATTGTGGAGATGCATGACTTGATGCAAGAAATGGCATGGGAAATTGTTGGTCAAGAGTCTAAAGAGCCTGGTGAACGCAGTCGGTTGTGGCTTCACAATGACATTTCTCATGTATTCATGAACAATACGGTAAGAAATTATGTAGAAACACCAGGTCAGGAATAAAATATTATTTCTTTTAATACGATATTGGACTTGAATCTGAAATTCACTAAATTTTCTTAATTTCTTAATTATTAGGGTACGGGAGCAATTGAAGCCATAGTCTTGCGTTTGCTCAAATTAGAAGAGGTGCACTGGAATTGTGAAGCCTTCTCTAATATGCATGGACTAAGGTTTATCGACTTTGATAATTTGATATTTTCATCATGCCCAAACTTTCTCCCTCATTCCTTAAGAAGTATCCATTGGAGTTGGTATCCTTCCAAGTTTCTCCCACCAAGTTTTCAACTGAATTCACTTACTGAACTTAGTCTACATCATGGAAAACTTGTTCGGCTTTGGGATGGAACAAAGGTAAGATTATTTAATATATCCCTTCATAAAATATTTTTGATTTTTTTATTATAATAAAGTTGAAGTTTCTCCAAGATAATTATTCTCCTACCATTTTCTATGTATACTATACAGGACTTCCCCAACCTGAAATATATGGATGTTAGTTACTCTGATAAATTAACCAGTACCCCAGATTTCACAGGTCTACCAAAGCTTGAGAAGTTGAACCTTGAGGGCTGTAGGAATTTAGTTGAGATCCACCCATCCATTGCAGTCCTCAAAAGGCTTAGAACTTTGGATTTCAGTAATTGTAAAAGTATTAAGAATCTCCCAAGTGAGGTAAAAATGGATTCTCTTGAATATTTTAGTCTTCGTGGCTGCTCAAAAGTGAAAAAGATTCCACAGTTTGCAAGACAAATGACAAAATTGTCAATGCTTTTTTTAGATGGAACTGCTATTGAGGAAATACCTTCATCAATTGAATGTCTGGTTGGCCTCATTGTACTGGATCTATGTGACTGCAAAAGTCTCTTGGCTCTTCCGAGTGCGATTTGTAATTTGAAGTCTCTTGATACGCTCTGCATATCCGGATGCTCAAAACTTGACAAACTCCCGGGGGAGATGGAGGCTTTAGAGTATCTTGACTTGGCGGGAACTGTTTTAAAAGAGCCGCTTGTTATGATGAAAAACCTCAAGTTACTATCTTTACGTGGGTCAATTGCTAAACCAAGACGCTGGTTGGGCCTTGCTGGCTTATTTGGAATTAGAAAGAGTCCTGAGCCTTGCCCTCAGCCTTGGGGCTTGGTGTTGTCTTCTCTTAATCGTTTATGCTCTTTATTGGAATTGGATCTAAGTGATTGTGATCTAAGTGAAGGGGATATCCCCGATGATATTGGTTGCTTGTCCTCTTTACGAGAGTTATATCTTAGAGGAAACAATTTTGTGAGCCTTCCTGCAAGCATTAGATGCCTTTCTCAGCTTTGGTGTTTTAACTTGGAGAGGTGCAAAAGGCTTCAACTACTGCCAGATCTTCCATCAAATAACGAATTACACGTAAATGTAAATGATTGTACTAGCTTAAAGAGTTTGTCATATCCATCAAAGTTGAGCAGCAGATTCCCCAATTTGTATGATTTTACTTTCAGTGCTGTTAATTGCTTTAGCTTGGTTGAAGATGAAGGCTGGAGTGCTAGAATAATTTCAACAATAATGAAATTGGCCACTAAGGTACACACACACACACACACACACACACACTCTCTCTCTCTCTCTCTCTCTCTCTGTGCATAAATGATATTGGGGGAGGTGGGGAATTGAACCTAGAATCTCGGGTGCAAGGGAAATATTTTAACCACTTAACCTACAAACCCCTTGCATAATATGTAATGGTTCTTTTGATGCAGGGAATGTATCCAGATTTGTACGATAAGTATATTGTATTCCCTGCAAGTGAAATTCCAGAGTGGTTCAATGTTCAAAGTGAGGGACATTCACTAAATGTGGAGCTACCTCCAAAATCATGCACCAGCTGGCTGGGGATTGCTTTTTGTGTTGCTTTTGCAGATCATCAGGAAAACTTGGGAAATTCAACATTCCTTGATGACTTTGATTGTTTCAGAATTCAATGTTCATCCGGTCCGTGTTGGACTTTTGAGAAGATAGGCCATATTCTGTCACCACACATTCTGGTATTTTATTTGCCTCGTGATTACTGTTGGGAACAGTTTTCATTCGAAATGTATTACGGCACATCTAGAAATTTGAACATATTTCTGACATGCTTGAATAATGTGAACAAGTGCGGGGCCCGCTTGGTGTACGAGCAAGATTTGGAAGAAGAACAACTGAACTGGACACTGAAAATGCTGAAGCGAACAGTGCAAGAATATGGTTGTGACGGGGCAGGTCCGAGTGGTGGAAGTGGTAGCTTTGACGACAGTATTGAACCACGCTGCAAAAGAATCAAGCAAGACTAAATTGTACTTTCTTTTGCTTTTGGCGAGAAGAGAACAGGTAAATAAAGAGAGAATCCCATGAAGGAAGTTTCCTTCAAGTTTGTAAGTGTCAGTATGTTTTGTGGCTTCGATAAATAAAAGTGAATCCTTCCTTGATGCCTTGAGCCGTATACCGATTCTTTTGTTTTAATCTACGCATCCATGCAAAACAAGGGTTGCAATGCAAACCGGTGAGTTTTGGTGGGAAAAGGAAATAAGGATAACTCATCCACGTGAGGGACTTGTAAATACATAAATAATTTATGTAAAAAGACACAAAACAAGTTGATATAGTCCCACATCGGACAATACAGACCAAGGTTTAATTCCCATCAGCGCACCAAATTTCTGCATTATTAGGCAATTACATAGCGGTGGTCCAGTTCGGGTTGGAAAAATTTACCAATTTGGCCAGTTTTCTCACCAATTTCAATGGTATCAATTAGAAAACCAGACCAACCCACCAGAACTGATCCGGTTTGGTCAGGTTTTCGGTATAAATGCCCAGCCCTAACATAATTGAAGCAACAAGGCATCATGAAGCCATATATTTTGCAGGTACAGTCTAGTGTAATCCAATTTTATAATCTGCATTGAGTAGAAAAATATAGAATATATAGGGGGTGGAGAGGAAGCATTGGGAGGAGGAGTGGAGGCTACATGTAAATTAATTTTAATAAAGAAGAGAGAAAAGGAACAACAGTGATTGCGAAGAAAAATTATTGATTGTATGGTGTGTACAGTGGTCTAGAGCTATATATATACACTAAATTTGAGTAGAAGCAATCTAGAATAAGTTTGTTGCAAGGAATATGGAGATGCTGCCAAGTGTAGGTGAATGATGCAACTGGCCCTTTTCTGTAGTTCTTCTACAACAGTGATGAGGTGTTCTCCAGCTGTGCTTCATTCTTTGCTTGCTTCTCTGTGTGTTCTTGGTTCGCTGTGATGGAGGATTGAGAGTTTGCTGCTTGCTTTATTGCTCTGTTTATTAGCATGCACTGCATACTGCCCCTGCATGTGTTTTTGAGTTTCAGGGGTGACATTCTCTTTCTTCATAGGTATATGAGGGATGGGTGGAGTAGGAAAGACTAATGGAAACATGCCATTTCTTGTATCAAGTCATGGATCTATATCTGATAATGCTTCTCTATAGATTTAAGGCTTCTCAACAGCTAAGAGTGAAAACTCTCTCAACTATTTAGAATCCTTATCAGATATGTGGATGCATGACTTGATACAAAAATGACATGCACAATTGTTCGTTAAAAGTCTAAAGAGCCTGGTCGATGCAGTCGATTGTGGCTTCGTGACGACATTGCTCATGTGCTCATGAACAATATGGTAAGAATTTATATAGATATAAGACCAAATTGGGAACAAACTATGACTTCTTTTAGCAAGATATTAGACAAAATCATCTTACTTCCATTGCTTGCTTCTTATGTGGTATCTTTTGTAATGGTTTTCCTTTCTTAATCTCATTTCAGTTCTTTGGAAAAACAGTTGGCATTATTGGCTTGGGAAGAACTGGCAAAATTAAAGCTTTGCCTCAGACCGTTGCATTTTGATTTTTGTGTGAATCTCTGATCACTTCTGAAGAGACCAACAACATTGTCAAATGTTGATGTCATCGATGCTTTGGGTCAGGGTGTTCTCATTAGCACTGGAAGAGGTTCTCACGGTGATGAACCTCAGCGTCTGCACTGCTGGATATTTATAAGAATGAACCAACCACAAGTTCCTGATCAGCAATGTAATACTGTGGCAGATTTAATTTGTTTCAGTCAGTTTTATAAGCAACGGAAACTCATTATAGTCCAGAAATAGCAATATTTTCTCTGCAAAACAAAACAAATTCCATAAATCATTGTGCATTATGCTATACTGAATTTGAGAACATGTCAATCCTCTTTAGCTGCTTTAGGATTGATTGGTGGTGTTTCAGAAATCCGAGAAGGAAGCTGTCATGGAAAACACTGTATTTCATTTCTATTTGACATCAAAACGTTCTAATGATTCTTCTAATAAACTGGCCACCCTAAGAACTATATTAGGAAAAATTATGACTACAAAATCTACAAACTACTGCAACTAAAGGATTCTCAGGCCCCCAATCAACAAGACGGTCGTAGCTAGTCTGTTACAAACTGCACTGAAATTCTCTTTCAAATCTGAGGTTACTCGATCTATTATGAGCTACTAATCCTTGCCAAAGTGGCTCTTGGGGGTCAAATATTGTACATCATCGAGTTCAAGACTGGGCCGAAGACCAAAGAAATTTGGGATTTCTTCAGAATCATCAGGAAAAACAGGCAAAAGGTTCACTCTTGGTTTGCTTGCTGGCAACACAGGAAGTGGCGCTTCGCCTTTAAGAATCCTCGCTGCTTCCTTCATTGTTGGCCTCCTCACATGGTTTGGGTGCACACAAGCAAGTCCAGTCATCAGCGTTCCTTCCATCTCTACCATATCGAACTTCCCCATCAACCTCCGATCAGCAGCTTCAATCAGTTTCCCATTTTCCCACATGCCCCAAACCCAATCAACAACCACTGTTCCATCATCCTCCACCGGCTTTCTCCCCGTTGCCACCTCTAACACCACCACACCAAAACTATAAACATCAGTTTTAACAGTTGGAACACCTGAATAAACATATTCAGGAGCAAGATATCCCATTGTCCCAGCTGGTATAGTTGCGTCTCTTGCAATGGAACTATGTTCGTACACTTCTGCTAGACCAAAATCCCCAAGTTTGGCATTAAAATCTGCATCAAGCATTATGTTGCAGGTCTTAACATCTCTATGTATTATTTGCCTCTCACACTCCTCGTGAAGGTATGCAAGAGCAGAAGCAACTCCAAGAACTATATTAAGTCTTTGCTTCCAGGATAGAACAACTGAGGAATTGAAGCTTTTGTGGAGAATTTTGTTAAGGCTTCCATTTGGCATGAGCTCATATACCAGGACTAACTCATTACCCTCACAGCACCATCCATGAAGCTGAACCAGATTCTTGTGTCGCAAACAACCCACCATAGTTGCAAACTCAGTAGTAAAAGGACTCCGCAGACAACCAATCTTATCAGCCCTCTCAAACCTCTTGACTGCCACTTCTCCACCAGATGACAGAGACCCTTTATAAACCTTAGCTGATGCCCCTTCCCCAACAACTCTGTTTCGGTTAATCCCATTGTAGCTGATCTTATCTCTGCAAGTGACAAACTTGTTGGAACTCTTTTTGCCTCAACTCTACAAGTTTGGCCTTCTCTGCTCCTTCTGGCAATGACCTTTCTCTTCTTCACACACATAAAACAAATAACAAAAAGAAATGCAAATATAGAGAAGAGAAATGCAGCTAAACCTCCCAACCCAAGAGCCATCTCCACCATCTTTGTTTTTCTTTCATGAAAAGATCAACAGGGCTGCTGTTGATACTTGAATCTTCTGGTGAAGAGCACATGAAACAGTCCCCTTCTTCAACAGCATTCATAGGAATCCCAGGTGGAAGAGACCCAAAGTCTTGAATTTCCATCTGTCAACAATGTGAATTGAAGAGCCCTGCCCATTAGAAGCAGAAAACCCAACACGCATGAACTCCTTGAATTGCTTGGAGAGATCAATCTGAGCAACAAGGAGAGGAGTTGGAGGCCTAGTTGACGAATACCCGACCCAAACCCGGATCATCTTGATTGCATCTCTGTACTCAATCCAAGCAGTAATCTCTCTCCCACTTGTCAAATCAATTCCTCTTGAAACAACATCAACAGAAGCTACAGAAACAACTGTGTTTACATCAATGCCAATATGGTTCCCATTGATGTCACCAACCATAGGGTCAAATCTGGTATCAAATTCCACAGCAAAGAATGATTCTTTTGAAGTTGACGTTGGCTCTGGAAGGCCCTGTACCCTCTAGAGGAACTGAGAGAATCCACATCAGGGGTTATTACAAAGGCAATGCCATCTCCGCAAGAACACAATTGGGAACTTCGTGTGATTGAGAAAGAGAAGCGGCACAAGAAAGAAGCAGTGGCATTGGTTTTAGAATCAAGAAACCGAATTGGGTAGGCATAAAAGGCTCTTCCAATCCCAGAAGTAGTAGAAGAAGAAGAAGAAGAGGGGCAGGTGGTGAGTTCTTGAGTGAGGCTAATGGCATTGTTGTTGATGTAAGCGTCACCTGAGAGCGTGACATTGTTTGTTGCAGGCGAGAATGGGACAGAAATTGAAGGGCATGTGAGGTTAACGAAGAGAAAGAAAAGGACCCAGATGAGAAATGGATGAGATGAATGCATTACTGTAAACCAAACGGGAACATAGCAACTTTCTCGGGAAAAAATGCAGAAACTTTCTCGGAAAGAAAAAGGAAATAGTGATAAAGTACCAGGATTTTCCTCCCTTCTTTGTATCTGAATTTCTGTGGATGCTCGACCCAATCTTGATACTTGAAGTTTAACGCGTTGCAGACAGGAGAGAGAGGGAGAGGGAAAAGAACCCCATTTGATTGATCAGGAAATACCCAAATTGAGTCCAAGGCCTGACTGTGTTAAAAAAGTGTTGGTCTAGGGGCACTATGGGTGTGTGAAGAAATTTGTTGGGTGCATTAGCATGTGCTGGGTTTAACACTTAAAGATTAACCAAATTAGCAGCACTAATGATCTGCAGATTAAAGTCGGTAAAGTAATTGCTGCATATTATTGACAATTGAAAAACAAAAAAGAAAAGAGCCCTAAATAAGAAACCATTCATAAATCGTAATTTTGCTCCAAATCATAAGTCCTACAATGATTACGAGAAAAAGAACGGTCATTTGTTTGTTTTTTCTCAGCTAAGATCTTCTTGTTTTTATCAATCAAAAAATATAAAGTGTCAATATGTCCTTTTAGAATTCAAGGGGAATATGACAATTAGACCACCAATTCACTAACTTTCATTTTTCCACAACTATCCAAATTTTTTTCACCTAATTATAACTTCATATTACTTTTTCAACACATTTTTCAATTCAAACTCACTAATTGTATCTCCCTACCGTATTGTTTTCAAAATCAAAATCATATGGAAGTCGAATGAATATAAAGATGAACATTCCATAAGCATAACATGACCTCCTTGGGAGATTTTCCATAAAATGTTCAAGCTTGTCAGTGTATGTGACTTAGATAAGACGTGTGGTATGCCTTATTTTGACATGTTTTCACCCAATACATGGTTCTAGATTTTCCCCTCTCCCACAAAATAATTTCTATTTTCCACTCTTGATTCGACAAAACCCCAGATTTTTTGACAAATTTGGATTTCTTGAGTGATTGTGCAAGCACTGGAAGATGACCTCTATGACCAAAAATAAAGATGACCTCTGCAAAATCCTAATGTTCTTGGCTCCTCCTTGTCTCTCACTCTCAGATTCTCTCAGTTCAGTTTATTTCACGGAAAATTTTAGGTTTCAACTTCCATGTTGGAGTTTTGAGCTACTTGCAAACTATGGTATGTTTCTTCGCCCACTACCCATTTGAATTTTGGCTACATTTTCCAATTAAATTTCGTAGTCTGCTTTTGAAAAGTTTTGATTTACTTGAATGGTCCTTTGTTATGTTAGTAGTTCTGTCTTGATGATTTTTTTTTTTTAAAGCCTGTTGAGTGTTTGAGGGAGTGTGTTATGGACTCTTTGGTCAGAAAGATTGCTTTTTGAAGTATAGTTTTTGAGAGTGAAGTGGTGGGTCTTCTGGGGACCCTTTTACCTGTTGCATTTGTTTGCATTGGTCTCCTCCTCTTAGTTTTGTGGTCATAAGAATTTTGCTTTTATTGTGAAAGCGATAGATTTGGTTGTGTAACTTGAGACTGGTTCCTAATAAGTCAATGTCACATGGGCCGTGTGTTTGCTCTGTACCTAATTTTAATAGGATCTTCTCTTCTGTTTACTGATTCATCTCATCTTCTTCCTTTCTCATTTCTTACATTAATGTAAACTTTTTTTTATAAAGAACTTTCTTATTGAGAAAGGCGATAGCATACTAAACTCACACAAACTACACAGATGCTAGAATTCGAACCCAGAAACTTTTCTGAGGGAATAATTGCTCCAAACCACTACACTATTGGTCTGTGAACTTTGTCCCTTCTTTTTGGTTGCTTCTATGCATTGAATTATTAGTTGAGTATATATTGAGTTTGTGGTGTGGGATTGTTTGTTTTGTTATTTTGTGCTACTATCTACAAATAGGGGAGAAATATGCTATGTTAACTATGGGTTGTTGCATATGACTGTTTGTCAAACGTGTGGCGATAGTGACAGAGGCTTTAATGCTGCTTTGATCTAGTGTGACAGTGCCAGAATTATGCTATTCATCTGTATTGTTTCCATTTTTCTTTTCTTTGTGTGTTCCTTTTTTCTTTTTAATTCAATGAAAAAGAAGTGACATTACTGTGATTTATATACCACATTATCCTGAAATAATTGCTCCATTTCCTAGTTATTGAAGTCTGATTTTGTCCTTAAGAGTTAGTTGTTGGAATGCAAAGATGCATGCATGAAGGGGTTTTATCTTAAGTGATCTCTGAACTTTTCATAAGTTTTTATTTGAGTCTTTTAACTTTTAAATCAATCAATGATGAGGTCTTTAATTTTTTACTCCACTTATCAATTTGGTCCATGTTGTCACATTTCGTCAAAATATTCATTAAAATTGGTCACCTAATAGCACATGACCAACTCTAATGTGTTATTTTCATCAAATATAACATGTTCACCAATGAAAAAAAAAGTAAATAATGTTACTTATTTTGCTCAACAGGCTATTTGCTCTCCAAAATGAAACCCAAACGTAATTTCCTAAATAGAGAGAAGATGGTCTTGTAGATAAAAAAATGCGAGTTTTAGAACTAAGATAACTTATATTTTGATGAAATGCCTTTTAAGTTGGTAAGTTTTGTCGGAATTTGACTAGAGGGACCAAATTGATGTGTAGACCAAAGATGAAGGATCATATAATTGAGGACTTTAAAAAGTTCAGGGATCACGTATGATAAAAACCGCGACTGTAATGATGGGTGAAAGTTGAAGTTGGATTAGTTCTTGAAATCAAACTTTAAAATATAAGAGCACACAAATGAACTTTTTCAAATTCTATGAAATCTTAGCTGCATCTGCATGAATTCTCAATTTTTCACTTTTTAAATGATTTTGCATGGTGATTACTGATGGCTCTTTTTCTTTTTCTTTTTTAAATTTATATATTTCTATCCAGCTATTGCCTTGATCTGCCAGCAGAAAATATTTTGATGAAGATATGACTTGGCTTTGTGTGGATTGTGAACCAAACAATGTAAGCCTTCTGCAAATGATAAATCGGTGAGATCAACAGAAAATCATCCTAACAATGTTGAATAAGTCGGGTTTTAAAAGGAAGAGTAATATATATGTTGCTGAAAGGAGCAGATCGTGAAGGTGCTAAGAAGAAGATGAAGACATGTGAAGTGAAGGGCTAAAACGAAGGTGCATGGATATCACATGTGAAGAGGGGGTAAAATGAAGGAGCAGATATGTGAAGGTAGCTCTGCTGAACATGAGGTTGAAGTACGTAGTAATACTGTGACCATGGTCAGAATGTTGGTATCCGTGCACAGAGGTTCTTGAAGATCAGTTCAATTCTTTCCACGACGTTGCCACATCTGTAAAAACGCCTCAAAGTACTACTAGATGCTTTTGAAATCACATAACACAATTCTTATGGTGCTGCAAGCCTACTATTGATCCAATCTTGAGGTAAAAATTTCTTTCCTTTCCGTCCTCCTTCGAATTTATGGTGGGCAGGGTATAAATCGTGAGCTGTGCTTATAATTATTATCCTAAGGCATCCAAATTGGGTATCCTAAGGCATCCAAATTGGGTATCCTAAGGCATTCACTAAGGTAGCATAATGCGAACGGCTCACGTTCAGCTGCATATCATTGATGCTTATAATTATGTATGGTATAATATGCTTTTGGAATAATTGTATCTATGCAAACAGTGTATATTGCGGTGTAAAATAGAACCTGGTTTTGGCTTTGTATCTTAGAATCTGAGGTCTATGTTGACCGAGTGAATAATATGTCCGCGCGAGTATGGTGCTTGGAAAAATCATGACATGTTGACTGGCCTATTAAAGGAAAGATTTTGGAGACCTGCTTTGGTCATTTGTCTGCACTTAATGAGATACAATTGTTAGCTCATAATTTCATACATATATATGTCCATTTACTTAGTTTTTTTGCTTAATTTCTTAGCATTTTGAGTCATTTAATTACTTCTATTTGTGTGTTTTGTAGGTTAATAAAGCAAGAGAGCACAATTCATGCAATTCAAGCATGTTAAGGCCTGATTTAGATGAATGGAAGAAGTGCCTAAAGACAAATCCAATTTGGGCTACACTCCCTTGTTAGTTCAATTTCGTAGGTCAAATTGCAAGCCTTATTTCAGTAACCTACACAGCTCGGATGAGGAGACATCCTTCATGGAAGTTGTTCCAATGGGTGTCTACTATAACATATCCAAAATTCCGCCCCATTGGATAAATATGGAGTCCGTCACCCATCAAAACACGGAAACATGCTTAGGAGGACATTTATCTGCAGCTGCTAAAACTAAAGACTGAGTTAGCAATTCGTTTCGGACTTAACTTCTTCATCCGACCTTGAACTGGTCTAAATGACATGTGGTTGGAAATATGACATTCTGACTTCAGATGGAGGGCTCAAGTCGTCATTTGATTAAGGGAAGCCCAATTCGTTAGCCCATGAAGTTGATGGTCATTCTGACCTAAGCATGATGTGATTTCTTATGGTAAGGAAGTTAGGTGAGCTGATTCAAGTGGAGTTTTCCAGCAGCCACGAGAAATAAATAAGATGACGTGGGTGTTGTTGCTGAACTAATTTTAAATGCAATTGTGTATTAGGTGAAGTATGTGTGTTTGGTGAACTCAATTGTAAAAACTGATTCACCTAACCCAAGTGCCTATAAATAGAGAGTCTTCAAGGAGCTAAGATATATTCATATTCATATTCTATCACATTGTACACAAAGATAGGGAGAATTGAGAGTCAAAAAAGGAGAGAAGAGAGAATGCAACAGCTGGGAGGCTTTGGCCAAATAAATGTGCTGAATTAATTGACCTAGGAGATATTCTTCTTTTTCACGTGGCACCTTGTGATTGGAAGCCATTATTTGCTCCCATAAGGTTGTTGGAGAGAGTTTCTGATGTAACTCACCTATTTTAGAATTCCAAAGGTGTTAAAGAAACTGTTATGCTCCATTTGAATGAAGGAATTGCAAATTACATAGAATTCTAAAATGACGGAATTTAGATTTTTGTCATTTTAATTTTTGGAAATTGAAGATTTTAGTGTTTGAATTTATGTATGTCAAATTTTGTAAATGACAGAAATTGAAAATTTCAATGTTTGGATAGCTCATGTAAATTGTAAATGACAGAAATTAAATATTTCGATATCTTGGTCTTTCTTCCACTAACACTATTACCGGAATGTGAGTTTCATTAAGTGCCCCAAGATAATTCTAAACATGAAATATAAAACAGTACAAGTATGAAACTTAAGATAACTAGTTGAAAATAAAATAAAAATCTTTTTTTTTTCTTTCTAGTTATATAAGTACCTCAAGCCACTGCCATTTGCTTCTTTCAGAACTCCCAACAGTACTTGGCTGGAATTGTACATATTATTCACTAATTCTCATCATTGCATATAAGACTCTGTTAAATTGCCGACTAATTGTTTCGATTGAATGGTAATAGTCAAAACCAATGAATCTGTATTTCAAGTTGTGAGCAATTATTTTCAAAAATATTGCTACAGATGCTTCAATTGAAATATTTCTTGTTCGAAGCAACGCACCATTTTCTTCTAAAATTCTACTAAATTTTTTTAATGCACTTTTGCTAATTCAGAATTGATCAATACAATCAACTTCTTTTCCATTGTACATACGGTTCAAATAAGATTACATTTCTTCATCCCAATTATGTGAAGGCTCTTTAACACGAAAATTATCATAATACCATTGTATTAGCATAACCATAAAAGAGATCATTGTACAAACAATAATTGCGAAATGAATTTTGGAGCTGTTTTTTTTTAAATGAAAAGTTTGGCGATGTTTTTTATGTAAGTTTTGGCACACTAGAAAATATGAATTCCCGCACTGTGGAAATTGTGAAATGACGCCTGGTAGAAATTAAACTCGGGAATTTAATGCCTCAATTTCCACAACTATTTTTTCGCGTCATTTAATTAATTCCGCACTTAAGTTGCCAAATCAGGAAATTGTCAATTTCCGTTATTAAATTCTCGAATTTTAACTAAATTTCAAGTTATTTTCCCTCATTTAAACGGAGGGTTAGAGATGCTCTAAACTGGAACCAACAAACGAAAAGATTTTGAAAACCAAAAACCCAAAAAACCCGAAGTCTGAACTTCTGACTACATACTCAACAACTCTGCAATCCTGCGCTGCTTTGTAATGTCATATAGGTAAAAGACAAGGCATGACATGTCATGTCGTATTTTTGACACGGGTCACTGCAGTAGGAGTACTTTTATCGTCCACATCGAAACGACTTCACGTTTGCACTCGACTCAAGGTGAATGAACGACGTACCGTATAATGGTTTATTTCCCACCCAAAGCGCCACGCTTCCTTCCCACCCCGACCGCCACTATTTTCAGTTGCTTCACCTTCACATTTCTTGGTTTTAAGATTTTCCCTCTTATTTGTTTTCCCACAAAATATTTATATTTTCAATTTTCTCTTTCGATTTCATCTTCTCACTGACAAAACCCAGATCTCTGACAAATTTGCAGTGCTTCACTGATTGGGCAGCACTGAAAGACGACCTCTTCGAAACCCTAATGCCCTTGGCTTCTCCGTGCCGTGCCTCTCACATTCTGGCTCCCAATTGACCCCCAGAGTTCTCGTATTGCAGTTTATTTCACAGAAAATTTAAGGGTTGCAACTTTCATGTTGGAACCTTGAGAACATGCAAACTATGGTATGTTTCTTTGCACACTACCCATTTGAATTTTGGCTACATTTTCCAATTTTAATTTCATATTTGGCTTCTGAAAAGTTTCGATTTACTCAATATGTTTGAATGGTTCTTCGCTAAGTTAGTAGAAACTGTGTTGCTGATTTTTTTTTGAAAGCCTGTGAAGTGTTTGAGGGAGTGTGATTGTGGACTTTTAGGTCAGAGATTGCTTTTATAAGTGAAGTTTTTGCTGATTTTTAGCTGTTGCATTTTGTTGGTTGGTCTCCTCCTTTTAGTTTTGTGGTTATAAGAATTTCTTTTGTATTTATTGTGAAAGCGGTAGATTTGACTCTGTAATTTGAGACTGGTTCCTTCCTTAGTCAATGTCATATGTGGGTTGTGTTTGCTCTGTACCTTACTTTAGCCTTCAAATTACTTAGTTCTTTCCAGCAACTTTTAAGATGGTAAAGTAATTACTGGGAGTATAAAATTTCTCCAGGAAAGTGACAGTACTTGAGTGGCAGAGCCAGAATATGTTATGATGCTTTAGGATTGTCTCTGCTCGGGCATTTCAGTTATACAACGCTATACTAAGCAGCTTTAGATTATATACCACAGTTATAAATTGCATTTCTATTTTCTGTTGCCATTTTTATTCATGAGTCTCTAATGCTAGAGGGCTAATGCTTTGAAATCTTTTTTTTTATATAGATCTAATTAATATATTATTGTTATTTTGCTGTCTAACCCATCAAATTTCAAAATCTGCAAACCGAAGTTGTTTCGTTTTTTATCTGAGCAAACCTAGTTTTTTTTGCTTAATTATAAACTGCACCTCAACTTGCCTTGTCTTCTTTGGGGTAATTATATATCCATATTCGCAGTAAGCAGCCCTGTTAATTAAGATTAGAGATTATAAATAAAGGCAGCTTTTCCTTTTTGTCTTTCATTGGTTTCATCCTTCCTAACATGATTAAAGATGTAATATCATTGGATCTTCTCCTTTTGTTTATTGATTCATCCAATCTTTTTCCTTTTCATGTTCATACATTACTAAAACTTGTATAGCTTCAATATGTACAAGAATTTCTTGACTTTTAGACTCATGTATCATTTAATGTCTCCATAAGCATTAGATTTTAATGAAAACCCGGATGTGCGTGAAGAATGAAGATGTCAGAGTGTAATTGTTAATGTAACCTGTACTTAAGTAGTCCTAATTATCAAATTTGGCTACTCTTGGTAGTTGTATTTTACCCAGTTAGACTGCGTAACATACAAGATATTTTTGGTGTTTTTTTTTTTTTTTTTTTTTTTTTTTTTTTTTTTATTATGGCCATGTTTGGATTTGATGGATCCTCTTTTACCAGCCAATACAGGGGAAAATAAAGATAAAGCAAAACCTACTATCTTGTTCCAACGACATTGATTCTTATTAAAGCTCATTTATGTTGATGCTATTTCATTCAAATAACTCTGAGATTCCAGCATGCATTATAAATGATTTCATATGTCCACCTTTTTTTTTTGGGTCATTAATTAGGCAGCTCTCATTAGTTTCGGAAAAATATCTGAATTTGTTTTGATTGGTACCTCAAGAAAATGGATTTTATGATTCCACTTTTTTATACCAACTCATTTGGTTGACTGGTTTATCATTGATACTGCTAAATACTGGGGTGTTTGATCCCCCTCACTCCCCAACCCTAGAGAAGGAAAAAAAATTACGTATGTGTGCATATACGTGCTTATTCAGGCAAGCATGTGGCTGTGGATTCATTGTCTTCAACTGTATTCCAATTCTTCTTCAATTCTCTCAGAACTTGATAGAAATTAGCAATTGACTATCTAGTGTCTGGCCAGTTGAAAAAATGGGTTTATTGGTTTATTTAAATGATCTATCAGTTGTTAGTTATTCGAGGTATAAATCTTCTCTTTTTTTAAAGAATTTAGTCGTTGACTAAACTTGATCATACGCCTGTGGTAGTGTCAGTGACCAGCTTACTGGTTAAAAGTTAAGGGGATTTTGCATAAATCCTTTTTGGCTGACACAAAAGATTGAGGAGGGAGTGGAGCTGATACAAACATGTGCTTTTGGGTAATTGTGGATAATGGTTGAACGAATAAGTTTTCATGATTACTTCCACATCACTTTAAACTTGTAGTCTCTTCTTTTTGGTTGTTTATATGGATCCAGTTATTGAGTTAGTATTGGTTTGTGTTCTGGGTTGTTTGTTTTGTTATTTTATGCTAATTAATAATCTATAAGTAGCGCAGAAAGATGCTAACGTTAACTGTGGGTTGTTGCAGGTGATTGTTTGTCAACAGTGTGGTGACAGAGGCTTTGAAGATGCCTTAATCTACTGTGAACAGTGCCAGAATTATGCTATTCATCTGTATAACTTGTTTCCTTTTTCTTTTGTTTGTCTTTTTTTTTTCCCATGACAAAGAAGTGACACATTACTGTTATTTATATACCACATTATCCTGAAATAAATGCTTCATTTCCTGGTTATTGAACTTTGGAAAGCACAGATGCATGCATGACTGTAATGATGCTGCAAGTTGACATTGAATTAGTTCTTGAAATCATATTTAGAAGTACAAATTCTATGAGATCTTAGCTGCCTGAATCATCAATTTTAACTTTTTAAAATGATTTTGCATGGATTGGTGATCAACTGATGCCTCTTCTCTTTTATTTCTTTGCAGTTATTGCCTTGATGTGCCTGCAGAAAATATTTTTGATGAAGATATTACTTGGCTTTGTGTGGATTGTGAACCAAAGATTATAAAGCCTTCTACAATTGATAAATCAGTAAGATCAACAAAAAATCGTCATAACAAGAAGTTGAAGAAAAGGAGGAGGAAAAAGAATAGATTGACTTTTCCTAAATCTGTGGCTAAAAAGGCGCAGATATGTGAAGGGGATAAAATGATTTTACAGATACGTGAAGGTAGCCCTTGTGAACATGAGGCTGAGGGCAGTAATAATTGTGACAGTGGTCAGAATGTTGGTAATCCGTGCAGAGAAGTTCTTGAATATCAGTTCAATTCCTTCCATGACATTCTTGAGTTTGTAAAAACCTCTCAAATTATTACTAGTGACGCTTTACAAATCATAGAACACAATTCTTATGTTGCCGCACAGCCTATCATTGATCCAATCTGGAGGTAAAAGAAATTTCCTTTCCGCCTCTTTCAAATTTATGGTGGGCAGGGTATAATTCGTGAGCTAGTTTGTCTTATTGACAGGGGAAGTCTAAGCATATTCAACAAAGACTTCAACATTGTTAGTGGACTTGTAGCCCATCTCTCTAGCTTAGCCTGTCCTAAAGTGCGCGAGGAGGCAGAACTGTTGCCGTTGCTGATTTTTCCAGAATTGGTTCGTAGGACTGATGTGTGGCCAAAAGCTTTTGAGAAGTTGGGGCCTAGTGACCGGAGTATCGCTCTTTACTTTTTTCCCGACAACGAAAGGTGATACATTTAACTGTCTTATTTTTGTCCATCTAGTTCTGCTGTTTGGATTTCTTAACATTCGCTGTTTTTCTTAGTTATTATTTTTTTCTTTGGGTGCAGAGATGAGAAAGATTTTGACAGTCTCGTGGCTAGCATGATCCAGGATGATCTCGCTATGAAAGCCATTCTGGACAATGCTGAGCTTTTAGTTTTCACTTCGACTATACTGCCCGAGCAATATCAGAGTGAGTCTTGAAATCGCTATTTGTTTAAAGCTTTTCCAGTTTTTTTTCTCCTTTCAGGTTAATAGCAGTGTTGACTATATTGATTTGCAGGGTTTCAGACAAAGATTTATTTATGGGGAGTATTTAGGGCAAAGAAATTTCCAGAATTAACAAATGGTAATGCTCCCGGTGGGGAGAAAGACGTTGCATTGCCCTTAACCTTAACCTGTTATGGACAGAGTCCAGTTAGTACGTTGAGCAACAATGTAGATATTAGTTGTGATCCTGAACCACTGAATTCCTATTGTTCTTAATCCATGTGAATTGAATTTTATTTTATTTTATTTTCAATCAAACCCTGTACAGTATGATGTTTAGGTTTTTTTACCAGTAGATGCTGGGATTTGTCTTTGCGTGGGCTGTTTCAGTTCCGATAAATGAGAATTAATTTCTTTTACCAAAAAAAAAAAGAAAAGAATGTAGTATTTCCAAGATCAATTGGAGGAATTTGGCATAGCACATAGGAGGGGCTTTAGAAATAGTAAAGCCATCAAATCATTTTTTTCTACGACTTTGTGGTTGAGGAACTAATGATACTACTGCAAATGGAAAGATAAGTCAATCCCATGTTTTGGTCCTTTTTCAGCATGTATATGACTACATATCTCATATTATTATTTCAAATTAGTATGAGAAACGTGCCAAAATTTACTGGTTTCATTTTCATACGCAACTTGGCAACTTGGCAAAGACATTAACGATCAAGAGTGCTGTGTGATATGCCACAGCAAACTGACCCAAAATAGAAATTTGATGAAAGTTTGCCGACTTTTCAACATTTGTTACTTATCCTAACGTTGCTTCTTGATCATATCCCATTTAAATTTCTTTGTTTAAGCCGAGGTAAAAACGTAGAGAAATTAATATAAAGAAAGTTTTATGGAATGGTGATACCACGTTATCGTGCTGATGTGATATGACTATTTATATTCTTAAAGAACTTCATATATTGCAAAAAGGACTTCTAGCTCAAAATGTTAATATATATGTTACGTATCCTAAGGTTGCTTTTTGATTAAAAAGGAAGAAAGATTATTATAAAGAGAATTTTATGGGACGATCATACCACGATATCATGCTAATGTGATATGAATATCTATTTAAAGAATGAGTTTTATCACAAAAAGAGCTTCTAGCTCAAGTGATTATTAGCAGTTACTTATGAACTCGAGATAGTACTCCTTCCTTTATACGTTCAGAAGCCTCGTTCCTAGGTTAGCTAAGTATGCTCTCTCTTTTTTGGGTTGTATTGATTGAGGTGAGCTTGCCGGATCAAGATTCACGCCGCCCTCTCTTTGTACCACTGAGGTTCTCTAAATTATTATAATTAAGGACATTTTAATGTACTAGATTCTATTAGTTTCATTATTTCCTGTAAATAAGTACATATCACATTAACAATTAGTAGATTGCTTCTAACCTATCGTGAGACAAATAATTATCCTTTCTTTAATTATAATTATATAACTTACAATTTACACGTATCTTTATTATATCCGTGTATTAGGTTAAGAAAAGCTAATGTGCAACCTAGAATTGTATTGATCCAGCCTGTGGAGGCTGCCAACCTAAATCCAACTTTATCTTTCCAATTACTACTTTTTTAGTCTGTTTGATAGTTTTGTGGACTAATCCTTCCTTAATTAATTGCTGTTAACCACTCCAATTATAGCAAAGCATATGATTTAATGATTATTATATTGAATTTTTTTTGACTTTGAGGCACCAAATATGGAAATGTCACCTCAAGCACCAGATTTTAACAGCAATAATAATTAACCCTTGTCTTCTAGAAGGATATATAAGCGGGCAAGTTCCATAGTCAACTAGCAAGCTCTCGATAGGAAAGTTCTTTTATCGCATCGTTCAAGTTAAAAATAAATTATCTGTAAATTAAGGAAAGTCTTACTTTCACACTGATATAATATTGGAGTTGGAGAGAGAGAGTCGTGGACCCGTGGAGTTCACAAATTTGTGCAGGAGTTTGGAAGACTAGGTGTGAAAGTGAAGGTTCAACTTATAAGCTCGACTGCCAATTTAACTATTTATGCTTGATCGTGGTAGATTTATAAAACATATATGAAGATCCCGAGCCTCTATATTTAGATATATTATACATTTGTGTATTATGAATGGCCATATGCATAAAATTCTGCATATATTTTAATTTTAATCACCTTTTTACCACTTATATATTCATTTATTCATTTGGATAACTTGGGCATAGGCGGCTGCATGTATTTTCCATGCATGCAATTTTTGTCTGAAAATCTATATAATGTTTTTTTTGTCTCACCTTAAAATAATAAAAAATGTTAGTTTCGTAATGAATAACTTTAGTTTCTGCAAGCCCGCCGGGAGTTAGTATATATATATTATATTATATATTAAAGAAGAAAGGAATTGAACAAAAAAGGAAAAACAGCCCAAGGTTTGCTAAGCTTGGTGAGGAAAGTAAAAGTTATCAAGCTGTTGTTTTGTGTTTCAACAATTACTTATTTTCTTTCGTCTGCTGCTACGACTTTTAACGTTCACATTCATGTATTCTGATGTTTATGTCAATCAATGGTAGTCCACCCTCCACAAAATCCTGGTTCAATCCTATATTTGTTGAGAGTATATCTGACATTGAATATGGAAGTATAGTGTAATAAGCTTAAAAAATTTTAGGCTTCTATACTCGTTGTTAATTGATTTTCGTATAAGTAGAATTAACTTAGTGTATACGCATAAATGAATTTACGAAAAGAGCTATTGACAGTACACATAGTTCTTTTAATTTCGTAGTTACTTCTTTTTCCAAGATATTCAAATAACTCATATATGTTACGCTATATTTTACATATAAGTAAAAATCCCATGTCATGCTGCTTAATATGAAGTTGCTTAATTAGTGAACTCATTTATCAAATACTAAGAGAAAGAAAGTTTTTCATAACTTCATACTATTTCTAGGATGATATGTTCAACAACTATGCATGTGTGCATTTATATATATATATATATATATATATATATATATAGGAAGCTTCAAAATTAGGATGTTTACATTTCAGAGAAAGATAGTATTATATTGAAGAGAGAATGAGTAATTAGTACAAAAATCAGGCTATGTTGTCGGGGATTAGAAGAGTGTCTCTACATAAATGGACTCGATCGTCGATCCAATTGGGTAGCATTACCTGCTCAACCACAAACGGGAGCGGAAACCTAATTGGTTACATTTATGAAAAATGTGAACATCCTAACTATTCCCCCCAATTAGATTATTATTGTTGTCATTTTATTTTTATCTAAGAAATTGTGTTTCTCTAGTTTAGATGATAAAATAAATTTCAATTTCATTGATTTTTATATATATGAAAATAATCATGGAATAAGAACCTTAATGTGGATGGTTATGTTCTCATTTTAGCAGAGAATAGTTTGAAATGCAAGGGATTCGAACAATAGTATAAATTAGTGCAAAGCACGTATAAAACAAACTGAAAAGAGCAATGAGAAAGGTCAACTACATGTGCTGGAAATTACATGCCAAAGGTACATGACAAAAGATGGCATCGAAAACAAAAGCATGGGTATCATATATATGATATTTGAGAGCCAGCCACTCTCCATCCTACGGCCCACAATATTAAACTAACAATTAATCTAAGAACTTTCCCACCTGCCTCCCCACCAAAACAAATTCAAAATTCCACTTTAGTCCCTTTTGTATTATCTTCTTCACCAATGACTAAACCTCTATTTCTCAGAAGAAAAAAAAAAAAAAAAAAAAAAAAAAAAAAAAAGCAAACAAAAACAATCTCTACATTAATTCCCCTGAAATTCCCCATTCTTTCTATGAAGGAAAAGAATCTGAAAATAGAAAAACTGAAGAAGAAAATAAAAACTATAAATCGTGGAAATTGTTGAATAAGTCTATGGATGGAGTGCTAGGGGAAAAGAAGTTTGAAGGACTAGGCATGAAGCTACCTTCTATGAAGTTCCTGTTTCCATGGAGCACCGGGCTCAAATCATGGAAGAAGCTATCCGACGGTGGAGAGAAGAAGTTCGAAGGAATCGGATTGAGCGAAGCGGGCCCCGGTGACAAGATCCCCGGAAACAAACCCTTCTGCCTCACACCACCATCATCACCGTCCATCTCCATCCCTTGCGACACATCTTGAGCAGAACTTGTCTTCATCACTTGATCATCAAGAGAATTAGTGTTATTGTTATTGTCATAATTGGGAGGATTATTAGGATTATTTTGAGTAGGTGGGGAAGAAGATGAAGAAGAGTTTAAGCCCGTGAGGCGTTGGACAAGGTCCATGAAGTCACTAGGGTTTGTGTGGATGACCTTCGGGGACACGGTGTAGATTATGACCGGCTGACGTGGCTGCTGGTAGAGATGAGGTTGCTGGGAGGGTGGTTGCGAGGAGGGTTGGGGCACAATTGGAGGCTTCTTGATCTTGTGAGAGTCTTTATGAACCCTGAGAGGTGTAGGACGTGGGCCTTGAAGCTGAAGCTCTCTTCTCGGAGACTTGCCCGCCGAATAATCCATGCCGGTGAAGACGAAGGCGAAGACGAAGATGGATCGAAAAAGAAGAACAAGGGTTGATCTGTTTTGGGGTTTTGGTGATGAAGTTGTGGGGAGACTAATTTATGTATCATGTTATATTAATATTGGAAACTCAAAGGGCAGGAGGACATAAGAGCTAGATGTGGTGACATGAAATATTTAAAGGAGAGAGAGAGAGAGAGAAGAAGAGAGAGAAGGAGAGCAAGTCAATGAAATGAAGGGGGATGAATTAAATAAAATAATCCAACAATAATGAAATTAGTAAAAATTGGCTACTGGCTATGAGGTTAGCTTGTGGAAGTGATATTTTAGTAGGACGGGAGGGATACAAAGGCCGGTTTCGTGGTGGGATGGTGTTTGAATTGAAATTGTCGTAATGTGGGACTTGGAAGGGGTCGTTTGTGTGCCTCGTCACTCTGAGAGGTAATAAAATAAGCTTTATTATACATTTCTTTTTGTTTTTATTTTTTTGGTTTTGAGAGAGAGAGAGAGAGAGAGAGAGAGAGAGAGAGAGAGCGCTTAGGTATTTAATGGTATTAGATCAGTAACACTACATATACTGTGTTTGTGGTTAAGAACATTAAACTTTCACCTGAAGTTGTTGGTTCGGTCTCCTTTCTTTCATATCAAAAGGAACAAAATTTATTATCATGAGACACATGTGACATTACATGAAACAATTACTGTGATATATGTGAATCGTGATAAGTTGTGTGAAAGAAAATACATAATTTAGTTTTTTTTTTTATATATATATAACAAAGCATAAATATTATATCGTGCATCCGTTAAATGATTCAAATCAATAACTTATCAATCGTAATTAATATGTAAGTAAAAAGAATAAACATGCTAGTCATATTATATTCATATACCTTTTTGTGTACCACCTTTTTAATAGAGGTGGATCTCTTTGTATTGGTAGGCTCCACCTCCATTTAAAAAAAAAAAATACACAAATGTAATATGCGTAACATTATGCTAAAACGAATCATTTTGCGGTGTGTCTCATAAGACTGCCGCCCTAAATTTTAAGGATGTTGTGAGAAATTGTGGATTGCGGGGAGCGAGTGTGACTCAAGTAGTTGCAAGTGCTCATGTATAAACCACGCACTTCTAGTATGTGTGGCCCCAAACATATTGATCCTATATTTGTCTTGCATTAGGAGAAGACACTTTGTGTTTCACATTGGAATTCATCTTAGAGCATTTTCACCCAGCAGCCTAGTCGAGGTAAAAGGCTTTTTAGGCCTCAAAAATCATTTTCAGTGCAGCAATCCAGCCCAAGCAGATGGTGGGTTCCACCAAGCCTGGGCAGGCCCAAAGGCAAGAATAGTCTGAACTGTTGCTCTAGGGCAATGACATCATCAATGTTAATTTTATTTTAAAAAATCCAAAAAATTTAGATTTATTTTTATACATATATATCAATTTTTATTATTATTAATCTCATACATATAAATAAAATTAATCCATATGAATAGTAATTGTCTTTAGGTTGCCATTAGCAATGGGTGGAAAAACAAAATAAAAAAAGGTAGGGCAATCACTATTCATGTGAATAGTGTTTGCCCTTACTTGCCCTTACCCTTTGTCATGGCATCATGGGTGGAAGTGCACTTATGTTTGTTCATTTTTTTCATGTTATGTTTTAGTGCGATGTTTAATTACTTACAAACGGATTTTGAAATTAATCTGATTTCAGACTTTCCAGCATTTACGGCTAACACATAAAGGATTAAAACAAAAGGTGAGTTTTATCTTAAAATCTATAATTCGTACTTGAAAAATAAGAAATTAGATTGATTTGAGAGGAGTATCCCTACCAATTCATTCTCTCCTCTATTTTTAACTTTTCGGATTCATAGTTTTTTTCTCCATTTTAAGTAAGTAAATATGTCATTAGCGTTGATTTAAGTGTGTTTTGGAGTTTCTGATACTCATCCTAACAACTTCTTTGGGGCCCCCTCCATACACCGGGTCAAGGTCAACACAAATGGAGCTGCATGTAGAAAGTTTTCTAGGTCTGGTCGGATTTGGAGGCTTCTTCCAAAATAGCTAAATTGTAAAGGTTATAATTGTATTAGGTGGACTTGTGTGTGTTCTTGGTTCTTGGGTCACTCAGTTGCGTTGAACTTGATTCCAACCTTGCCCTCATTCATATTCATATCCATTTCTTCATGTTGTATTTGCTCCACCATAATTATATTTGCTTTGCACAAACAAACCTTCGAAGAAGCATCTAGAGAAAGGGGAAAAACAGTAAAAGTTGAGTTCATCTTCTCGAGCATCAATCAATTGACTTAGTAAACAAAACAAGTCCCAGCATCACTAATAAATTTGAGTCATGCGGCGTGAAGAGACTCCAGACGACGATTTAATTTTAACCCAATGAGAAAGGTAGTCGGCTTAATTAAGTCTCACCAAAACTCGGTAAGAAAAATTCAATGGTGACCCTTGTTTGTTGGTACTTGCTTGGTCAACCCAGTGGGGTGAGAGTGACCGGACCGCGACTGAGGCAAACTGCCATCAAGATTGGTGGAAGTGAAGTTGGTGAACTACGCAAATGTTTTTAATTTGTTTTGACCTGTGAAAAACAATAGATTTACTATTTTGTTTTGTCAATGTGAAAAACATTTGATTGATGGACAGAAAAATTACATAGGAAAGCCCAATAACGTAAGTACGAAGAAAAGATCGGACTGGGCCTCCAAAATTAATAACCTAATTGGGTCCACAGACAAAATATTACAAAACCCAACCCAAACATGAAATGGAACAAAAACCGAAACGTCACCCAGACCAGCTCCGGTCCAATCTCAATCCGCCTGGTCCGATACAAAACCAAGGAGTCGAACCGCCTCCCGATCTCGAGAAAAACTCTGTTTTTGTCACTCAACATTGTCTTGCCACATGGTTGGAACATCCTACATGAGTTTTTATCCTCATTGTCATAGCAGAGACATTTCAAGTCATAGTGAATGTACTTGAATTGAAACTTAAAATTCATGGGACTGATCGTAATACAGAAACATAACTTTTCATTCAACAACCGTTGTTTATGAGATTTTAACTTATGAACTCGTCCAATAAAATAGAGGCTAAAACAATTAAACCAAACGGTGATCGGCAAAAGTACCGTCAGTTAAAGAAGCTTTTCCTTTTCAGTGACAGGATTGTGTTTGCTTTTCCTACCACAATCAATCGTTGTTTGTATTCAACATATTTCAATGTCTCTATTTCTTCAAAACCCCCAAAAAAAATAGCCCTGGTGCTGTGCAGTACCCTCAAGTTGAGGGAGTTGATTGCCATATTATACTGTTCATGTAATCTCTAGAGATTTCGCGAAGCTTTAGAATAAGATTTGGATAAAAGTTTTGCTATCATGAGAGAAATTATTGTATGTGACGGTAACATAAAGAAGTTGTAATTGGTCCCCGAGACTTGATTGTCCACGTTCTTCAAGCAACTACTGTCGGCCCCGAGGCAGCAAATTTAAAAGGTACGCACGTACTGAAAGGAACAAAACACTAGAACTCAGCAAAATCTGATCATATACAGTAACAAGACCACCGCATTTATATAGAATCGGTTTCCGTTTTCTTCATTCACACCAACTGGTGCATGGCTCTGTCGTCGTCCTTGGCAGTCAATGTGCCCTGTCCTTTGGGGCACCGCCCAATCCTTTGCAACCATCAAATTCTAAAGCTACGATTGGCCACAGACACTCACAGAAGTCACAGTGGTGTGCAGCTTCCATTATATGATGTTGTTGACATTCGTTTGTAGATATATAAACAGGACAAAATCTAATGTAACTGCTGCTTAAATTATTGGCAGCTGAATTAAAATGACAGATATATGGCTCCAAGTCAAGACAGAGGAGTCGAAATTAATCCCAAAAGATCTCATGCCATGCCTAAAACGTGTAGTTAAGTATTGAGTGACTAGCTGGCTTGAACTTTTGATTATAGATAGTTATATATCATCGGAATGGGAAGATATACAAATACCTGTATTTATAAAAAGAGATGTAGAACAAAGACAGGTAAACATGAATCAAGAGAGAGAATGAGGGAAAGAACAAGGGGATCTAATTAAGAAAGGAAATCAAGGGAGGAAAGGTACGTCATCAATATCGGATTCTCTAGAGGCCGTGAGAGAGACAAACACATAGGTGTAGCCCTACCCTACACCTGCAAACAAATAAAGAAGTGTATGGAATAAGAATCGAACTTAAAACCACTTGCAAAGAATGCTCTGATACCATATTAGACAATCATTAGTCTCAAAAATTTACGATATGTCAAATAATGGACTAACAATGTATATCAAGTATACATTCCTAACACTTTTCAAGTAGAATATAATAATAAACAAAAAATTCTATTACATATTACATAGGATACGATGCGAGCTTATATCTCTAGGATCTCTGAGTATTTACTTTACATCTAAGAGCAAGTGCTGCACTAGGCCCTTGCCATGGCAACAGGCCCCCCAGTAAAAAAAAAAATTGAAAATCAGCTGCTGACATCAGCGCTGACCCACCAGCCCACATAGCACAATGGCTATAAGCCACGTAGCTTCTCCTGGAGCCTCCGACCAAAAAATCTTGCCCAATCAAACTGCTGTCCAATTATTGGCCAAAAAAAATTGAAGAAAAATATCAAAAAATATGGAACTTTTTTTCTATAAATACCTACCAATATTATTCACTTTCCACACCAAATTTTCTACTACAAAATTTCATTTGTTTGTTTCTGGGAACTCACGAGCAACTTTCCAGTGGGTCACCCATCCTGGGATTGCTTTAGCCCCAACTCGCTTCACTTCGGAGTTCTCATGATTCCGAAGCCAGTGAACTCCCAAAAGGCCTTGTGCTATATGGAGATGGGCATGTATATATAAGGCACATCATCCTGTCTCTGTTAGTCGATGTGGGATGTTACACTATTAAGTCCTTCGAAGGAAAATACTCCCCCACATCGTGATCCGGTGGAACCACCTTCGTCAATGATTGAGTCATCCTTGTACTCCATTGTGTCGAACTATGAGGACCAAGAGTATTTCAATTATATGATGAGTGAGTAGGTATTTCAATTGTATGATGAGTGAGATGTGAATTTTATAATAAATATGAACACGTGGCAACCAAAAATCTTATCCGAAAATTTAATTTGAAAATTTTATCCCAAAATGTTATCTGAATTTTTAGGTGAAAAATTTATAATAAATATTGACATGTGTCAATAGAAAATCTTATCAAAATTAATGGTTTAAGTAAAAAACAAAAATAAAGTAAATAAAGTAAAGTAAATAGTGTTTGCCCTTGCTCAAGCCATCTGGAGTGGAACCAAAAAAAGCAAGGCTGTCACTATTTATGTGAATAGTATCAAACCTTGCCTTGCCTTTGACTTGCCCTTGCCTTTTGAGGTGGAGGTGCTCTAAGGATGTAGTTCGAATCTCCCCTCCCATCTTGGCCATTCATCAAAAACATAAAGAAGTGTGGAATAGACGATCACACTCTGTTGCTTCACATGATCACATGCAATATACGGACGCATTAATTAGAAACCCTGTAGACTGATTTGGCACTCTCACTCACACTGGACAGGATTGCCTTTATAAATCTTCAAAACCATTCTTTCCAAATGCATCCCTTTCCACTTATCTTCTTTGCTGCCTACTTCATTCGCATATTTTCTAGCTCACAAGTAATTGATCTTCTTCTTTCTCACTCTCCACTTCACTCAATTTACTTTAGTTTGACACATTTTATCATATATATAGAATTGGAATTTAATCAGAGAGAAGCAGTTACAAATATAATTGATGATTAGAATTTTTATTATCAGAAGCTAGAATAACGTATCTTTTTTCTTTTTAAGATTGTCTTTTTTTGGTTTTCTAATGCACTTGACTCATGGCACAGAGTTGAATTTTTCAAGCAGTCGAAAGAAAGTATGGAGGCGGGTCGAGATTGTGAGTTAGACTGTGGTTCTGGTTTTGATCAGAGCTCGTTTGAAGCTGCAACAACTGCACTGAGGACCGGAAGCAAAGATTTGTGTGTAAGCCAAGAAATATTTGGCTGCTGCAACACTACTTGTATAACACAGCATGAAGAAAAGAAAAATGAAGCTGGAATATTGCGCAAACTAAGGAGAAGTTTTGAGAAGAAAATGGAATCACCAAGTGGAAAAATGATTCAGAAAACACAGTCGTTTGGCTCCCAACTATTTATCAACATGGATGAATTTATTCCTAGTGTTACTGGAAGCTTTGACAAGAAAGGTTCCATATTAAGCAGGGCCTCTAGCAATGGGTTGGGCTATTCTTTCTCACTTGCTGCAGGTGACATCTCAGATATTGCGTTCAGAGTGCAGAGTCCAAAACACAGTATGATACTACTGCCAATTTTAAGTTATAATTAACCTACTTTTTAGTATAAAAGATATATAAGAAATTTTTTTTTGGGTTGAGATATTACTTGGATGATAATTGCACCCTGTACACAATTTGATAGGCCCCAGTGGGGGAAAAAGGAAATATAAAATACGAATTCTCAGTTTTATTTATTTATTATTTATCAAACAATATTTGTGAAGTTGGGATTTAAACTCGGGACCTCGGATCCTGGGGTAGATGTTTAACTATCAAAACCAACTCGATCTTTGTATAGTAATATTTCTCCTTCCATTATTATAAGGTGTCCTAAGTTCGAATTGCCCTTAGATTCTTCAACATAGAGCTACAAACTCTTGCATGTGTGGAAGTCTCAGGTAAGGTAGTTTGAGTGTGAGGATGTGGAGATAAAAGATACTTGCTAGTACAATCTAGATCCTAATAATGACAAATTAAATTAATGTTTGCCTCACTTCAGAAAAAATAAAGAAGTTAACTGACTAACTTATGATCTTTATGGTAGAAGACAACACTTCAACAGCTAAGTCTACTTCAACTGAAGAAGGAGGTCCAGATGCAGACAAAGGGAGAAAATTACATGTGGAACCTACCTTACCAATTTATCTTAAGGTGACACATGAACCCAACAGATGCATATTAAGACAAATGGTAATTTGGTTTATTTAATTGTTTCAACATTATGAATTGTGTTGCAGTTCGAAGATGTGAAGCATAAGGTAGCTGCAAAGGGTGTGAAAAGCTCAAATGCAGAGTACATACTGCATGGAATCTCTGGCTCAGTGCTTCCAGGAGAGGTTCTTGCTCTAATGGGACCTTCAGGAGGCGGCAAAACAACCTTGCTCAATCTCCTCAGTGGAAGAGTCAAACTCAACAGCGGCACCATCACTTACAATGACCAACCATACACCAAGTCCCTCAAACGGAGGTATATATGACACATAACATGAAAGTTGCTTACTCGTTACTGTACAAATAAAAACAGAGGTTCAAATCTTGGCTCATATATAAACAAATGAAATGTTGTCGCGTCGGTTGGGATTTAAAAGTAGAGAACTTGATTTTGCAAATTGGCTGAAACTGATTTTGATGAAGCAGGATTGGATATGTAATGCAAGATGATCTTTTGTTCCCCCATCTTACAGTCAAAGAAACTCTAACTTATGCTGCCTTACTCCGTCTTCCCATTACCTTAACCAGAAACCAGAAAGAAGAAAGGGCCATGGATGTAATTAATGAGCTAGGCTTGGAAAGGTATCTGTATTGAAATTCTATGTAACATTAAGCATCCATCTGTTACTATTGGAAGGATCTTCTTAACTAATTTCCGGAATGAGATTGGCTCCTTGAACCATATGTGGTTTACTTTTCAGGTGCCAAGACACACTAATTGGTGGCACATTTGTTAGAGGAGTTTCTGGTGGTGAAAGAAAAAGAGTGTGCATTGGCAATGAAATCCTGCTCAACCCATCACTTCTGTTTTTAGATGAACCAACATCTGGTCTTGATTCGACAGCAGCACTTCGAACACTTCAGATGCTTCACATTATTGCAAAGGTACTGGAATTTGAATTGTTTGGATGAACAACATGAATTGTTCATATGAAAATCATTTTAAAAAATCAAAATATTGGGTTGTGCTTCTGTATATTTTAGGCTGGAAAAACAGTGGTGACTACAATACATCAACCGTCTAGCAGGATCTTTAACAAGTTTGATAAGCTTATTCTCTTGGGTAGAGGAAGCTCCTTATACTTTGGAAAAGCCTCTGAAGCAATGATGTACTTCTCCTCAATTGGGTGTGCACCCCTTATAGCTATGAACCCGGCAGAGTTTCTCATTGATCTGGCAAACGGTAACACAAATGAAAAATCACTTCCAACAGAATTGGAGGATAGAGGGCCTTCTGCAGTTGACGTCCACGAGGTTGATTCGAAAACTGAATTTTGAATCCCACTTATAAATTTATAATTGCTAGCATGGAGCACAATCTTATTTTACATTTTTATGCAGTTTTTAGTTGAAGCCAATCAAATCAGACTTGGAAAAATGGAGAAGGCAAAGCTCCTAAGCTCTGTGCTGACAGAGGGTGAGAGTAAGATGCAGAGGATGTCATATTCAAGGGAATCAAAAGCAACTTGGTGCGAACAGTTTTTTATTCTTTGCAGGAGGGGCCTTAAGGAGAGACGCCACGAATACTTAAGCTGTCTGCGTGTAGTTCAAGTTATCTCCACTGCTATAATCATAGGACTTCTATGGTGGCAATCTGATGCTTCATCCCCAAGGCGAGTTCAAGATCAGGCAGGACTGTTGTTCTTCATTTCAGTATTTTGGGCTTTCTTTCCTATGTTTACTGCAGTTTTCACATTTCCACAAGAAAGAGCAATAGTAGCTAAAGAGAGATCAGTGGAGATGTACAAACTCAGTGCCTACTTTTTAGCTAGAAACATCAGTGATCTTCCTCTTGATCTCCTGCTCCCGATAGTGTTCCTCGTGATAGTGTACTTGATGGCAGGCTTGAAGCTCAGATTTTCTGCATTTTTTCAAACAATGCTTACAATTTTCCTCAGCATTGTGGCCTCTCAGGTAAAAATTATAAAAAAACTATCATATCAATAACTGTTCTTTTCCTTGAAACAAAAGCAAAAGTACTCTGTGTGTGTGTGTGTGTCTGGATTAAGAGATTATAAACTTCAAAATTGCAGGGTCTAGGATTGAGCATAGGTGCAGCATTTATCGACGTGAAAAAGGCAACAGCGCTAGCTTCCATCATTGTTATGACATTCATGTTATCTGGTGGATTCTTTATCCAGGTAAGATATATAACCTAGCCAACAAGCACATTCTGGATTTGTTAAACAGAATGTGACAAGTACATTATAAATTGTGTGTGGGTGCAGAAAGTTCCATCAATGGTTTCGTGGATACGCTATATCTCTTTCAACTACCACACATACAGGCTACTCCTGAAAATTCAGTATGGTTGCTCATCAGGTAATTCAGGTACTTCTGGATATGAAGCTTGTCAGACTCCCTTCATCAATGAATTACGACTTGACTCTGGTGTGATGGAAGTGGGAGCTATGATGGTGATGATCATTGGGTACCGATTACTGGCCTATTTATTACTCAGGACAGTGAAGTTCAAGACAATGATGCAGTAGGATATCCAATTCTGAGACTACTTGATAATGAAAATCCCAGAATGTTTCTATCCATCGAAAATAGTACCCCTGTTCCCCATGTATTTCGATTTATTAAACAATAGTTCAGTTTCTATGTGAGATTCTCGGACTGTTCAACAACATTTATATATGTCAAATTGAATAATCTAATATTTACTATAACTTGAGATTCCCACACTCTGTGCAAAGATATTTCGCATGTTCAATTTGTCAAGCGAGTTGTATAGCATTTACTAGAGACTTTCTTAATTAGTATATTAGATGGTTATCTTCAGTCTTCATCATATTTAAAAAGAGAGTAAACATGTTCATCATACGTACCGAATCTATAATCTATCATTTTTGTGCTTAGGACACTTTTCCTTGTGCACTGTCGTCCAGAAACGCAAACATTTTGCGGCCACTTCCATATCTTCTATATGTTTACATTTTGCAAGAATTTCATTGATGCAAGCATTTTTACTATAGATCTTGAAGCTTCTCCGAAAAAGAAGATTTCTATAGAAATTTTGATGTCCATCAGCTGAAGAGGGGGAAAGAAAGTGAGATGAGGATGAAAAATTATGGGGCAGAGAGGGACTATCTCTTGCTTCAATGAACACCATCCATCCCCATATTAACACCATGTAGATTCTCAAATGCTTCTTTCCCATTACTTACTTTTACTGTGAATTGTTTGTCATTTCAAAAGGTTGATATGCATACTAGAGGGGTTAAACTTGAGCACCACTTAGCGTCTAAATTATACCCTTCATTTTAAATTGTTAGACTACTTGATTCAACCACCGATTCATTAATTACTTATAATCAAAGAGGGCAAAACCACAATTATAATAAAAGAGTAAGGTTGATGGTGATTAATCAAAGACGGCAAAACCACAATTATACCCTTTCAACAATGAAGAATTTGAATAACAAACTTGAAATATAAGGATAATATAACTCTACTTTTTTACTCCCTCATTTTCGCTTCAATGTTATTAGTAGTGGAATCATTCATTACATGTTATATTTTATTTTGTCAAGTTTCTAATGTAGGACCTTATATTCTTCAACACTCCCTCTCTCGTGGAATCACTCTTTAGTGGGCCACACATGTAACCAATCCCACATTGGTAACTTGCTCGCTCTACTGTCCCAACTAAATATTCAACATGTGTGGGGTTTGATATAAAAGGTCTCGATGCTATTAGTAGTGAAACTATTTTTGTCAATTATATCTACTTTTTGTTATAGTAGAATAGTCTCTCTTTTTTTAATAGATAAACAAAAAGTTATGTCTTAGGTCATTACTTTTATCTTCGGTCACTACATTTTGTTCGGTGTTTTTTTTATAAATATTCTAAACTCTCTTCATGCCTAATACTAGCTAGTTTATGTAATAATTATTTATATAAACTTAAGATCCTTGCAAGCTTAAATTCTTTTTCCTTTAACTTTATATTTTCAACTAGCAATTGTTTATTTTATGAAGGCAAAAATATTACAAAGAAGATCCACGGCGAATTTGATAATTACATATGGATAGATATAGCAAAATAAAGATAAAGAAAAAAAAATGGAAAAAACCCTAGAAAAATCTTGAAAAAGACCTTACCACCACGAGCTTATTTGATTTCTCAAATTTCAGAACTGAAGAGCATGCGTTTAGGCAACCATCAAGCTTCGGTGACATTGAAACACTTAACCACCCATTTCATCATCAGGTGGCCCAACCCATGGCACAGACAAATGGTCCCACAGAAAACCTCGTCTGGCTTACGTGGATTTTGAGCCATGATCAACATCAATTACTCAAATGGTAGCCTATGAGTCATGCAGGCAACATTACGCACGTGCTGTTTTCGACACATTGAACATTACCTTAATTCCAGACAAGGCTTTGGAGAGAGTCTTGCAATTTGGCAGAATCGAATAAGATGCTTGAAGAAGAAGAAGAAGCACTTGGGTTTTGTGATGATTTTGTTCTGTGATTTTGTGAAATCTGGAAAAATAAAAACTAAGGAGAAGTAGAGACGTGGAAGCTATTTGATCCTCTACTTCGCATCTTTCGTGAAAGCGACGCCAAACCCCCACGTGATTTCAATGTTTGAAACTCATCATCAAAGAGGTTTTCGATCCCATGGAGTTGGATGATATATATTGCAACTCTCGTGATCATGAGATTGATGGTTGCCCACCACAAACACCATTTTTAACTTCAATCCTACGTGCAATAATGACATCCAACTTCATTGATTTCGGTGGCCGGAAAAAGAATACAATATTATTGAAAGGAAATCACGAATGAATCACAAGGACGTCATTTGAATTGACTTTGTTTCTAGGCTAAAGCAATTATGTTTTCATAAAATTTTAGTTCTAGCTGTATTTTGCGATTTACTGATCACATTTCAACAGCTAAGGACAATCATTTACACGTGTATATAATTATTTCAAATCGGCTATGTGTGTAAACCTACAAAGAACATACAATTGTAAATCACTTACGTGTGTAGTCGATTGTCGTTTACAAAAATCTCACATCACATACATTTTATTTTTATCACACTCGCATCTGTTATCTGTTTAAATTAAAAGTTCTAAGATTTGTTTTAATCATTGTGTCATGCATGCATCACCCATCGTAAGAGGTTGTAAATTCTTCCCACAAACATAAACCACGTTAAACAATGTCTTTGTTTTGTTTTTGGAGATATCCCCTTCTTAGAAAAAAGGACAAAGCAAATTAAAGATGGAATTTGGTTAAGTTTCAAATGGGGGGAAAATTAATTGAGGCGATCCGTCGACGCATGAAGTTGCCCTCTTATACCTGAACATTTGCACGCATATGCTGTCAAATGCCGACGTAATTTCTTGATGCCTTTGTATTGTTCGCTAATGGATATGCTTATTGTAGATAGTTCTATAATTTATAAACAATGACAAAGCTAGCTTGTCAGTTTTGGGCAACGACTCTAGATTTTTAAAATTTTCCATATCGCTGCGTAAATTTTTTATGAGATGAAGAGACAGAGTCACACGAAATATGAAATTTCGAAACATATATATGAGTTGGGTAATGTTATTTTATTTGGAAAAAAATTTATTTGAATTACAAGTGTTGGAATTTTTGTGACTATTTCAAAAATACAAAATTTATTTTATTATTTATTTTATGTTTCCAGATTTTGTGTGGTTTAATTACAAGTTTAAACTGAATTTATTTTGTAGATTTATTATATGAATGTTATGATCTGATTGTATATATTAATTTTTATTTCAAAAGCTTATTTGCGTGAGTTTTAGCAATTTAGTCTTCAATTGGGATAATTATTGATTTGTTTTAAAGGTCTTTCTACAGCTTTATTCTCAAAGCTTTCATACAAACTTAATTGTTTTCAATGCCTTTGGCATTTAAAGATTTGAATTCAAAAACCATTAGCGTCAGTTTTGGTTGACCAATTTCTATTTTGCAAATGCTATATTGTTTTGCCATTAATTTGCTGATAATATAGCTGTTAAGTTTGTGAAAACGGGCAGACAATTATGTGGTTTTATTACTATTTCTTTTAATGCCTTAGCTTCTTGTTGAAGCGACTAACTATATATTTAAGCCCATTCTCTTTAATAGGGCATAATATATGAGGTTATTTTTCTTTCATATAAACCTTGAGGGAAAGATTCGAGTTGTTTATCCAACTCAAGTATTGCGAGTGTACGCTTATGTCGTCATTTCACCGTCTCTACAATATATCTCATGATTCGATTCATTTAAATTTTGGATCTTCATTAAAGGATCACCTTTCCAAAAATTCACTCACGTTGAAGAACATTTATCTAACTCTCGCTAAATAAAAAGACAAACACAACATTTTTAATAAACAAGGAAATGTTCATGAATAATCAAGTACTTTGGCCACGGGTTATCTGTGGCTGATACTAGTATTGGTCATGGGTGTACCCGTGGTTTAAATGGAGCTTTTCTAGTAATGAGTGGCTAAGCAAATTCGCATTTGGATGAAATTTTGCAGAAATAATCTTCAAATGAAAAAGCTGAATAATTTGAATTATGAAGTAGACCCAAATGAGTAGTTAGGGTGGTTTTGACTTATTAATTGATTAACGCTTAAGCATCATTCAATCTTATAGGCTATAGCTAGACTAGTTTTGCATGACTGGCAAAAAGAGCAGCAGATACGTTGACTATGATTACTAGTATCAAATGGAAGATCAATTCATACACAATTTAAGATTGGAGTGAGTGGTGGACCAACACAGTCCGCAAATTGAGATCAAGTATTTCAATTCAAGTCTCCAAAACAAGCTTATATTTTAATGTTTGAATAAATTGAAGTTGAAATTAAAAATTTGAGAGGAATGAAATGCTGCCACGTAACAGAGTGAGCCATGTGGGGGAGCTTATGGGATGTGAAATGCAAGTTTATGCAACATACCCGCGACGTTAGCCTATGATTAATTAAGTAATCAAATCTTTCTTCCTTCCTTCCTTGCACACACAGTTGCACTAATTCCTCGCTAATCCCAAGAAGCAACGTACACTGTATAGTATTAGTCCATACATGCATTGCATGCATGCCCACAATTAACTTGTTGACATTCTAAAACTAATCAACATTTGCATTCTCTTATCAACTCTTATTTTATTTTGGTTACTATATTTTAAGCGTCCATGTGAACTTCGTATGGTAATCACGCGTTAGGGTTTTAAAATATATTAAACGGTTTAGATTATGAAATTACGTTGTGGAGGTCATTTAAGAGATTCTTTATCACATCTCAACAAAAGAAAAATTTATGAATTTGTCACCCTAAAACCTATTGTTAAACGTTTTTCAGCAAGATCATTACACTAAGAGCAAGTACTCTTATTTGCATATATTAGGTGCTATTAAGAGAATGAGAATGTGAGAACCGAACTTTTACCTTAAATGTGAGGGTATGCGCCGAATTTCTTCTGTTGTCTTCAATTTTTTTGTTTATTTTAGGCAAGGTCTATAAATATGGACACTAACAAAATAGACAAAACCACAAGATTAGATATGCTTGTAATTTTGCCCCTATAATTAATGCTTCTAATAGCCTTCATCCTCTTAAGTTATAAGTAAGCATTCATTCCTCAAACTCATTGCTGGAAGTGCAAGTTCTCTGATCCCTAGGACATGACCATATGTATGAAGGACATATAGCTTTCACATGATGGTACTGGCAAGGCCAAATTGGTAATTTGAAAAACCACCCCACACCCACAGTACTGAAACTATGACAACTAATAAGCTTTGACTTATCAACCACAATCACTCTCATCCCATATGAACGTGCCCAATGAAGAAATGCCACGTGAGCCGAAGGAGCCACGGCTAATCCGCCTAGTAACGAGCACGCCATAACATGTATACATGAAAATAACACACTTTGCATACCAAAATCAAAATCTCACAAATTCACACCCTTCCTTGGTCCTAACGCTTCCCCCAACCGCCCACGTTCATCTTCAACCCCACAATATCCAAATTGGTAATTTCACCTACCCTTCCCCTACAAATTTCTCTCCCACACCCACGCACACGCACACGCACACCTCCCACACATGCCCTTGCACTAACTCCAACGCATACTCTCCTAAATCCCAGACCCTCTTATATATCCCCCCAACCTCTCTTTTCTCCACAAACTCACTTCCACATTCCACTTGAAAATACCATTTTGTGTTGCCAGAAAATGTTCTCAGCTCCTGTTGAGCAGATGCTGCAATGCCCGTCTGGGCCGTTCATCACGATGGACAAGAGATCATGGAACAAGCCCCACATTGAGGTTGCCCCAAATTGTCCTCGCTGTGCCTCTTCCAACACCAAATTTTGCTACTACAACAACTACAGCCTCTCGCAGCCTAGGTACTTTTGCAAAGGGTGCAGGAGGTATTGGACCAAAGGCGGTTCTTTGCGCAACGTGCCTGTAGGCGGCGGTTGTCGCAAGAACCGTCGCGGGAAGGCGGCGAAGCTCTCGCAGGCTGACCGCGCTTCCATGTCTTGCTTTAATCATAACTCGAGTAGTTCTGATGACACATCTGGGCAGTACTCAAGTGGTACTGATAACCAGCCAGGTGGAGGCAATGGATCAGATATTGATTTGGCTGCTGTGTTTGCCAAGTTTTTGAACAACAACTCCTCCAACCCTGCTGATGAGCATGATCATCTTGATCAAGATCATGAACCCAATTTGGTAATTTCCAGCTCAGAGCTAAATGATGTTGATGGGTCCCAAAATTCTTCAAAGGCTGATCAAGATCTTGTTGAAGCCGTTGATCACTTGCTTGGAGGCCTAGTAGCTCCTGATCATCATGATCATCAACATCAACAAATACAAGAAGAAAATGTTCAGAGTTTTATGGGAATTAATCATGATCAACAACAACAAGATGATATGAATATTCATCAATTTGGGTTACAGGGTTTGCTAGGGAATGATGACCAAGTGGTGCAAGATGTGTTTTGGTCCGATGATGCAGCAACAACGTCGTCTTTGACGAGTAGCACTGCTAGTTTTTCATGGCAGCCCATGGTGCATCTGCAAGAGCTGGACTATTCACTACCGTCCGATGATGATCATATGAAGATCCCCACCAATCTTTGTAGTGATAATTGGAGCTCCTTTGATTTTTCAGGATTTGAAGTTTTCTCACGGTCTTAATTGGATGCTAATTACAAAGGCATTTTAACTTCTTGTTAGTTAATTTCGTTTTACAATTTTTGTTCTTCTGTAGTTAGGGATCGAGTTCAGTACTGTCACATTGCCATGGTAAAAAAAAATGTCATGGCATATACATATATTTACACCTATATATAATACAATAAATTTTTTATATTAATATATGATTGAGCGAGTCAATTAATATTTTGCTAACTTTATGGCTATTAATTTCTGCTGAGCTCATCACATTTGACTTTTATACATTCAAAGTTGCTTCTATGATTATTAGTTTATCATATGCCCTTATTTTATCAGGTATTTATTCACTGAATATCCTTGAAAAAAATTAGACGAATCGTAATTAGTTAATTATGATAAAATAATTAAATAGACAAACACAATTTTTTCAAGAAACACTAAAATGATTGCCTATTAATTAATCCAATGGCAAGTATTTCCTGATTTGAGTGATTTTTTGCTAAAATAATTTATGAAATAAAACTTGAAAAATTTGACGATAAGATCCCCAAAATACAATAGGAAGTATGTGTTACAAAGATGTCTCTCTTAATAATTTTTTTGATATGTCTATCAATTCAAGCTCTCTCTGTACGTATGTAATCAAATCAAAACCAACCAAGATATTAAGACAAAAACAAGGACCAAGAACATACAGATGTGACCTACAGAGAGCAGAAACATGTTAGCTTGAGTACGGGTGGGCCCCGAAAATTGAAGCAGATGTGGTCCTCCTCAACTCGTCACTATGAAATTACATATATATATATATATATATATATTATATATAGATTGAAGAGTATTGGTCGTTATCTTTCCAGGGCATGTTCTACTGTATGCATAATGCATCTGCCTTCTGCACTTATATATGGATCATGCAGCAATGTACAGCTAGATAAGCCTGCAGCATGTCGTGTACTTTTGTTTAAACGTGTTCTCTTTTTCGTTTTTTTCTCTTTTTTCTGGTGGATCATGTTGTGTTCATTTTTAAACGATGCTACCGTCAGGGGCGCGTAGGTTGATCCAAATTGTTGTACTCGAGTCAAGTCTCACAAACATATTAGTAATTTTGATCAATCTACGCTTATATGCGCTACCGATTCTAACACTCTTTATTTATTTTTTTTCAAATAATCTGACTTATGCATAATATTGTTAAACAGTCCATCTAAATTATTGATCAGAGTCCCTAGATTTAATTTTAATGTATAGTAATGGATCACAGAATGGAAACATGTGTAATAATGTATCATCCTCTTTGCAGTATAAGTTTCGGAAAGCAAAGCTAGACTAATCAGAGCTCTACAAGATTTTCATAAAAAAAATTATTTCTTTCTTGTTAAGGCTTGTATATAAAGGAGAAGGGCCTCAATTTAATTTATGCCCTGGGCCACCCAAAAGTCATGGCCGGCTCTGGAAGAAGCTATCTAGGCCAGGAGTTCACTCACTACCATCAGATTTTGAACTCGTGTTCTTAGCCACAGAAGTCAAGCAAATCCTAAAATCAAGTAAATTCTAATAGATAAATCCAAATAGAGCATTCAGATTGTATTTGAATACCAATTTACGTGTGAAATAATTGGTTATTGGTTGTAAATAAATGAGACTCTAATCTCCACCATTATATCAGAGAAGGCATGTAAATAAATGTGGCTTGGTAGAACCGCAGAAGTTGAGAAATTCATGTTCAGTGTCTACCCCGAAGCTTGTCTAAAAGCGTATCTAATCCTTCATGCGGGCCACTTCCATGGGACTTCAGCAACAACGCTGCAAAACTCAAAAAAGTAGAGAAACCCAATTAGCCTTGCCCAAAAAGAAAGGGGAAAAAACCACTTCAATTAGGAAATTTGAAAATAATTTGAGACTGATAAAAATATATTAGCATTAATTATCTCATTTGGATCTCAAAGTTAGGCTTCACATATGGTACTGGTACCCCAAATAAAACCTCCCCATTGGAAGTGCCCCGCATGCAATGTGTAAATAACTGAGTGTTTGCATACCTTCAGCCGCCATTGGATAGAGATCAAAGAAGGTACTTGCTGACTTTAAAAGTTTCTGCGTATTTATATAAATAAATAAGTCAAACAATCAATCAAATGAAGTAATTATATGTAAGCATGATAACTAGGTTATATGATCCGTACCAGTACCAAATCACCTGGTTTGAATGGAAGTTCTTCCATGCCGGTTGCTTTCCTGCATGTTTTCTCTTGTCAGGGCAGAATTTAGATCAAATGTATAATTTCTCTAAAGTACAAGACAATTGGAAATAATACCTAAGAAAGAGCTCTCCTTCAACTTGTTCATATTCAAAGAATGTGCAACCAGTGGCAAAGGGTATCTCTTTGTCTTTCCACTCTGTAAAACATCCAAAGACAAATCCAATCACTAGAAAATTGCATTTGAGATGCCAATGTTATGTCCTATTGCAAAACATTCTTTTAATTGATTATATTTACACAATTATTAGTCGTGTTCAACTTTGTTTACTCAAACATGACCAAATTATTAAACACGTAACACAATACGACACACAGTGACGCAGTCAAATTTAAGATGATTAAGGTTGTGAAAGTTACCAAGATGCCAAATTACACTGGCGGTCAAGTTTCCACCTTCAGTCGCAGCATCAATGACAAAATGAATATTGGATCCCATTGCATCCATCACCTTGCTAAGAAAATGCATGATCGCCTGGGCATATTCCCAAACACCTCATTTCATTAGTAAAGTACCTCTTTAACAAGAAAATTTCTTAATCAAATTATGTTATTAAACAAATGAAATTTTGACCCCATTCTAAATCACATTTATTCTTTAAACAAATAAGATATTGACATATATAAGGACATTATTTTTCGTGAATAAATTAGGCGAATAAATCTGGTGTTCCTAGCATGATTGTAATTAATTTCTCAAATACCAACAAAACCTATTAACTTGTGTCGCATCTTCCAATTTCAATAAAATTCACTATGAGTAGAGATGAAGGAGGAAGCAATGAAACCTCTTTTCCTACAAAAGGAACATAAAAGACAAGGTCTTGATAATGGCAGTCATCAGCCAGAAGTTGCTCTAGAGCTTGTATGTCCTTGGCATTGATGGCCTTGTAGAAATCTTGAACTGCCTCCAACACAGAAGGTGGGAGGGGCAGAGGTGCAATCCCACAAGATCCATCATCACTGCCAAAAACTCTCCATTTCTCATATTTGCAATTTTTCCCAACAATATTTGAAATTAATTTTTGCTGCAGCTTTTTCCCACTTAATGACAATTGGGTCTTCTGGTTTCTGATATGACTTGTTGCATTGAGTGCTTGTGGAAAAACAGAAAACAATGTGTTGAGGTTGAAGCTCTTGTTTGGGGTGAGGCAAGCTCCTACTGAATATTGGGTCAGAGAGGCCATAATTGGGAAAATTTGTGAGAGAAAGAGAAAAGTTGTTGTTAGGCATCCTAATTGGTTGTTATAACAAATAAGATGATTGCAAATAAGGCAAGGAATTGATGTTCCTTATTGTAAAGCATTATGGAACTTTTGGTGCACTTTTTATCCATCTGCAGCATAATTGTGAACTAGGCAAGGAATACTTTTCATGTTCTAACCAATATTAAGCTTGGGCCAGTTAGGATCAAACTCTGGCCCAAATACAATGCCTTGATTGGGCTGATTTTTCATTGAAAGTAAGGTGAATGCTAGGTCCTAGGTCCAATCACAAGAAAATCATACAAACTCCCCTAATGATTATTAAAAAATTTCCCGACAGATTGAATAAATGCATGTATTATAATATAAGTGAATTAATAATAGCACGTGATTACATCGTATATACTTACCTCTTTGGACTGATTGCAATAATCTAAAATTTATAGGGCTTCGAAAAACTTTGGCAGCAAGTATACTTGGGTAAAAATGAAATTAATTAAAAGAAAATCTAAAATACCTAACATGTTAAAGATTTTACGAAGTGTATGTTTGCACATTAGAGTAAAAATCCAGATCTCATTAGGTTTTTATTCTTTTGAACATATCTTAATGTAGTCCAACCTGCAATCAAGATCCAATATCTTCGATTATGATATGTGAACTGCAAAGGCCAATTCCTTCCCGTTGGTTAGATTTTGCGAAGCACAACAACAGAATTACTGTTCTGTCTTTCGCTTTTTGTGCCTCCCTGCTGAAGCAAATATGCGGCCCCCCACCCCTACCCCCTCCATAACAAGCCTCTCTTTTAGGCCATTACCACACGCTTGATTGGGCCACTTTATTCAATGATTTGTTTTACTAAGTCCAAACTTCTTCATTCAGTGCACTCAATTTATAAGCGACTATGAGATTAATTTGTAACTCAAGTGATTAAGACTCTCATTCATGTATCCGACAATCGATATATAAGTAGTTTGTAATTCAAGTGATTAAAAACATTCACTTATGCGCACATATATTATCGAACATTCAACAAAAATGTCATTATTAAGTTGATAAGTGAATGATATGTCTAACCTTCGTGATTATCTAGAGGGTTAACCCTAGTGTCTCCTATCTTCACTTTCTGTTGATGCAATTTCCTTTCTAGGCATTTCCAACCTCTTTTAATTCCATTTTTTTCACCATCTTAATTAGCTGGAAAGAGTTATGGGTCACTATCAAGTAAAACCAAAAACCCAGATGAAAACTTTGCAAATTGAAATAGTCATTTGGCACCAAATGTGGTTGGGGGATCACTTGCCCCCACCATCCATACGTAACTTATCCCCTTACAGATATTCCACTTGTTTCCATTTCACATTGAGGAGACATCCTTATGAGACCTACGCTAGTGATGCATCATTTTCCTTATTCTTTTCTGTTTGTATGTTTGCTTTATTCCCAAAATTCTCTTCAGTGCCATGTTGACTAGGGCTTCCCTATAATTGTAGGCCTATATTCCCTACACTACACCTCACAATATTTGTTAGATTTATGTACTTAATTTCTCACAAAATAATTCAAATACAAATTAATTAATGCTCTAGTGTATAATACTTGCCGCCTTTTGTTCCCTATATATATCTCTCTTCTTTTTTCCAGAATTAGGAAGGGGATGGGGTATTCTCACACGCTGCCAAGGTACTATGAGGGAAGGGAATGGTATTCTCACACACATTGGTGTGCAAATCAAGGTTCTTTTCCACTAGGCTATACCCTGTTAGTCCTTATATATGTTAATTTACCATCTACTTCTGTCCATGGACGTTGAAAAGGAAACATGATCTGATAGAAAAAAAAATGGGTCAGAAAGAAAAAAACCAATACAGCCAGGGGGTACTTGCAAAGTTTTTACTAGTAGGTCATGGACAAAGCAAATTTGAGCTGCTATTTTGGGGGTTTTGGGAAGGTTCATGCATGGGCAAGGAAAAGAGCCTTTTTCATGAAGAGGCATGGACCGGTGTTGTTGTCCCTTCAGAAAACCGCTGACTTACTTCCATGACATGAACAACTTTATCAGATACAAAGGTGATCTTAAGACCTCACCATACTCCTCCTCATCACATAAAAAAGTTGAAGTGTCCCTTTTTTTTTTTCAATTTCTTTTTTTTTCTCTTGTTGGGTTGGGAGGGCTGCTTAGTCATTTTCATTATGTGGATTGTTCTGCAATTAACTGAAAAGATGAGCAATCATTATATGAAGGGATTTAGAGTGAATCCACCAAACGATAGCAGTATATCCATAGCATACTGCTAAAGCTTGTTGTACAACAGAATTTGAAGCATGCAACCAAGTATGCAGAAAGCAAAATCTACCATATGGATGTTCTTGTATTTGTACAGTATACTTCAAAGACGAAAAATCGAGCACTTGCAGACGATGAACTCTCATCATATTAGTTAAGCCACCTAATTACAAGAGATCCCAACCAATTTGGTGAACAAAAGGAGAAAAGCTTAACGAAATCTTTCTTTTATGTCCTGTAGTGATTTTGCCTCTGGTATTTTTCATAATGTTATTAGTTTTGACTAATTTCCAAATGTTATGAGAGGGAAAAAAACAAAAAAATATACACCCATGACAGAAAGGAATAGATGAATAATTAAAGATTTGTCAATTTTTCAAAGGCGGCATGTCCCTCATAACCCCAATCATATAAACTATAGCTAGGTCCCTTCATACTCAAAATTTTCTATGAATTTATATATATAATTTTTTAATATATCCAGAACTGCACTAGAAACCATAAACTAATCTGTCCCTCCAAGGCCCTAGCTTTTAGTCTATTTCAAGGAAATTAAAGCAATGTTTTCCATTGAAAAAGCAGTTTGAAGGATTGAGGCAGCCAGTTCAATATCCCACTATCACATGATGAGAGATTTAAAGAGACTTAGATGAGATAGAAAGTAGCAGTGTTGTTATTAACCTCATCATGTCAAGCAATGCAATCACTATTATTCTCTTGCTTCTCAATATCTCTCTGTTTCCTGCCACCTCTGCTCTGAACCAAGAGGGCCTCTCCCTACTTTCATGGCTTTCAACCTTTAATTCTTCTTCCTCTGCTACTTTTTTCTCCTCATGGAATCCAACTGACCAGGATCCATGCAAATGGGATTATATCATATGTTCCGGCAGCAGGTTTGTTTCCAAAATCACAATCACCTCACTCAATGTTCCTACCAATTTCCCAAGCCAGCTCCTCTCCTTCAACTATCTTACCACCATTGTAATCTCAAATGGGAACCTCAGCGGAGAAATTCCACCCTCAATTGGAAACTTGTCTTCACTTACCACCCTGGATCTCAGCTTCAATGCTCTAACAGGTAAAATTCCACAGGAGATAGGAAAGTTATCCAAATTGCAGTTATTATCACTGAATTCCAATTCCTTGCATGGTGTCATTCCAAAAGAAATTGGAAACTGTTCACAGCTTCAACGACTTGAGCTGTACGATAACCAGCTATCCGGAAAGGTTCCTGCAGAAATAGGCCAGTTATCGGCTCTGGAAATCTTCCGTGCAGGCGGGAATCCTGGAATTCATGGGGAAATTCCAATGCAGATATCAAACTGCAAAGCACTAACTTTTCTTGGCCTTGCAGCTACGGGAATCACGGGGCAGATTCCAAGCAGCATAGGACAACTAGAGAATCTCCAAACACTTTCAGTCTATACCGCAAACCTCACAGGTGCCATCCCACCAGAAATTGGTAACTGTTCAGCCTTGGAAAATTTGTTTTTGTACGAAAACCAGCTTTCTGGTCATATTCCCGGTGAATTTAGTCGGTTGAAAAGACTCAGAAGAGTTCTACTGTGGAAGAACAATCTAACTGGAAGTATTCCAGGTGCTTTAGGGAACTGTTCGCATTTGATAGTGATCGATTTCTCAATGAATCTTCTGAGTGGTGAGGTTCCTCCGTCTCTTGTAAATTTAGTGGCATTGGAGGAGTTTCTGCTGTCTGAGAATCATATATCAGGCAGCATACCACCTTTATTTGGAAACTTTTCCAGTTTAAAGCAACTGGAATTGGACAACAACAGATTTACTGGCAAGATTCCACCTGTCATTGGGAAACTAAAAGAACTTACTCTGTTCTTTGCCTGGCAGAATCAGCTGCATGGAAGCATACCAACTGAGCTGGCCAATTGTGAGAAACTTCAAGCTTTGGACCTTTCACACAATCTCCTCAATGGGTCAGTTCCAAGTTCTCTCTTTGACCTCAAGAACTTAACTCAATTGTTGCTGATATCAAATCAACTTTCAGGAGTTCTTCCAACCATATTGGTAACTGCACCAACTTGATCCGCTTACGGCTGGGATCAAACAACTTCACAGGTCAAATTCCATCTGAACTTAGGCTCCTTCATAGATTGACCTTCCTTGAATTGTCAGAAAATCAATTTAATGGGGAAATTCCTCCTGAAATCGGAAACTGTACCCAGTTAGAAATGGTTGATTTGCATGGCAACGAGCTCCAAGGCATGATTCCTTCATCTTTCCAATTCCTTACTGGTCTTAATGTTTTAGACCTTTCCATGAACATGATAGAAGGCGTGATTCCTGAAAATTTGGGCAATCTGACATCCCTAAACAAACTGGTCATCAGTGGAAACCACATTACAGGTTCCATACCAAAATCATTCGGCTTCTGTAAGGATTTGCAGCTGTTGGATCTGAGCAGCAACAATATCACTGGCTCTATCCCAGATGAGATCGGACGCTTGCAAGGTCTAGATATTCTCTTGAATCTGAGTTGGAATTCTCTGACAAGCCCCATTCCAGAAAGCTTCTCAAATCTCTCAAAACTTGCCAATATGGATCTCTCCCACAATATGCTGACAGGAAGCCTGAAAGTACTGGGCAGTCTCGACAATCTTGTGTCCCTGAATGTCTCATACAATGACTTTTCAGGTCCACTTCCCAATACTAATTTCTTCAAAGATATTCCATCAACTGCATATGAGGGCAACCCGAAGCTATGCATTAACAGAAATGAGTGCCACTTGAACGGTAACCTGCATGACAAGAAATCCATCAGATATCTAATTGTTTGTGTTCTTCTTAGTGTGACTGCAACTATATTGCTTATGCTTGCTGGAATGGTTTTATTCGTTAGAGTTGCTGGAATCACATTTGGGATGGACAGTAAAGAAGAAAGTCATTTGATATGGGATTTCACCCCATTTCAAAAGCTTAATTTTTCTGTTAATGATATTGTGACTAGACTATCAGATTCAAACATCGTGGGGAAGGGTTGCTCAGGAATGGTGTATCGTGTGGAGACTCCGACAAAACAGGTCATTGCAGTGAAGAAGCTATGGCCGGTAAGTAATGGCGAGCGTCCACAGATCGACTTGTTTTCTACAGAAGTTCGTACTCTTGGATCAATTAGGCATAAAAACATAGTGAGGCTTCTGGGATGTTGTAACAACGGAAAAACCAGACTGCTTTTGTTTGATTACATTAGCAATGGCAGTTTGGGTGGATTGCTCCATGAGACAGGCTGTTCTTAGACTGGGATGCAAGGTACAAGATTGTACTGGGAGCAGCTCATGGTTTAGCTTATCTTCATCATGATTGTATACCTCCAATAGTTCATCGGGATATTAAGTCTAACAACATCTTGGTGGGACCACAGTATGAATCTTTTCTAGCAGATTTTGGCATTGCAAAGCTTTTGAGTTCTCCAGAATGCGGCAGAGCCTCCAACACAGTTGCAGGTTCTTATGGCTACATTGCTCCAGGTGAGTCTAAATTCCTCACATTCTTTTGTGGTCTGTTCATTGTGTTATTCGGGTTACTCAATCAAACCAGTCTAATGTCATAGTTGTTGAACTTGTTCACAACCCTTAATCTCTTATTCTTATTGTTGATGAATCCAGTTTCAACGTTATTTTGCTTCCTATAAAGATGATGTAGGTCACATGGTTTTGATACCTGACTAACACTGCTTGTAATGTAATAATGTTTTGCAGAATATGGATATAGTTTGAGAATCACAGAAAAGAGCGATGTGTACAGCTATGGAGTGGTGCTCCTGGAGGTCCTAACCGGGAAGGAACCAATGGATAACAAGATTCCGGAGGGTGCCCATATTATCACTTGGGTCAATAAGGAACTCCGAGAAAGGAAACGGGAATTCACATCAATTCTTGACCAGCAGCTAATATTGAGATCAGGGACACAAACCCAAGAGATGCTTCAAGTGCTTGGGGTGGCTCTGCTCTGTGTTAATCCTTGCCCAGAGGAAAGGCCAACAATGAAAGATGTAACAGCAATGCTCAAGGAGATCAGGCATGAAAATGAGGATTGTGAAAAACCAGATTTTCTTGGAAAAGGAGATGCGAAAGCTACAGTCCACAGTTCCAGTTTTTCCAGGTCATCTGAACCTCTAATTGGATCACCTTCTTGTTTTCCCACAAACCCCTAAAGTCATCATTCCACTTCATTAATTTTTATTTTTTGTTCAGGTAAAAAGATACAATTTGTATAGATTAATGTTGTGTAGTAGCAATAAGACATGTTTATTGTCTTTCACTATGATTCAGGATTGCATTATCAGATTGGGGGTTTTCTCCTCCATCTACCTTAGTGCAGATAGTAAGGCAAAAGTAAAATGTGCCTAGTTCAAAAGTAAGAAGATGTGGAGAAACACTTGCATGAAATAGGGATAGCACTGTTTTGCTATCTCCGGCCAAAAGCGCTAGGATACGCGTGATAACTTTTCCACGTAGCATATCGTTATTAACCCGGAATAGCAAAATAGTGCTGTTCCTGTTTTTCCCAGATCAGAGGCTAGGTTTGATAATTCCAAGCAAATATATTAAAAGAGAAAAATATCCTCAACAGCATATACAGAATCCCACTCTAAACCTCATTTTGTTTCTACATATAACTAAGATTTCACCGTATCATCTGTCACATTTCGGTGACTAAAATTTAGAAAGAAGAAAGAAAAACTTTGAAACTTCATTATTTAAAGCCAAGATTCCAGCAGATTGTCCCAACAATGCAATGACCTGCTGCCATTGATAATGCAATTTCGTACTGCGTAAAATATCACACAAGGAGTGAGCAACAAAATTGCAATTATCAATTTGGGGACCAACAGCAGTAGTCATAGCTTTCAAGCCCCATTGGGCTTGTCTGTGGGGTCTTGTGCCGACTAAAAAAGCAATGGTCGAGGTGACAATCTTGTTTAGAATAAGCCACAGAAAAAAACATGATATTAGAAACAAATTGGACCACTATCCTTCTCAAGCTTTTTCCAACAATTATTTTTTTCTCAAAGAAAAAGAGATTTCATGATCTGCATGTTCTTGAAAGGATACACTGTCCTTGGACATGTGACACTGAACCATCTAAGGCCCACTCTGATTGTGTATTGTAACTCATCAGATTCTAATGGCTAATAATGCAAGCAACTATCCACTAATCGCTCTTCTAAATCTTTCAATAAAAGCAATAACAACTTTTAAGAATCGAAGCACAGTGCTTCAATCGGCATCCACTTTTTATCGATTTTTCCATTTTTGATCCCATTCTCGGCATGATTGATAGTGTTAGGATAAAGAAGTTTTAAATCCTGCTTTCTAATTGGTAGGTGAGATTTTAGAGCATTTACTTACTATAAATGTAAGAAGTTATGAATCGGGGAACTCAATAAACAAGAGAGGAATGAGAATGGGATCAACTCCTCCTACTCAATCAAATTCCTGATTTTTCAGGTATTGGATTACATAATTTTTATTCCATGTTTGTTAATAAACGCGGGAAAAGTCAAGAAGTGGAATAATTCCAATACTCATGTATTAGTAAACGCACGAAAAGCATGAATTGAAATAATTCCAATACAAAAATAAACATGTCATTAGGATTTTTAAAAAATAAAAAAATAAAAAATTTAGAGCCATCAAACCACCATCACCACCGGCTACAGGTAGTAGCACTAATCAAAAAGGCATCACGTTCATCACATTGGATTTATCAATCACACTAGAATGTCATACACTCACCATGAATTCCAACATCTAATCTATCCTTATTTCATACTTTCACAACCTACCATCTAATTAATATTATCCTAACTCATTCATCCGTTGATGAATTCAAGTTCCAATCTAGTCACAAAAGGAAGGGTGGGATTTGGAAAGGGAAAACCTACCCCTCATTGCATCGACAATAAATAAATAAATAAATAAAATCATGCATCGACCAAGGAATGTGACAGCAGGAAAATCCAATAAGAAATGGAAAAGACGTTCTTATCAGCTGCTAAAGGTGAAAAGTCTCCAAACGTATCCTGTCGACATCCTACAGCTTGTACATCAAAAGACAGCCTTATAGTAGCATAGAGAACATACCATAACATTTTCTGCTTTAGGCCATGTCCATGATTTTGCATGTGTTGGTGCAATTAGTTGCATGGTTTTTACGATGAGTTCATGGGGTTTTTTTTTATTTCTCCTGTATAAATTGATAGACTGAATTAAAACAGCACAAGAATCATTGAATAAATCAGCACAAGAATCATCGAAGATCAAGTGTGCAAAAATCATCAGACTCCCATATCTTGAGGGGGATGACTTTAGTGATCATTACAATAAATAAAAAGTTTCTAATTACAAATTAGAAAATAATAATTATATTACATTACTTCCTAGCTTTATAAGGTTTCAGAAATACCAAGCAATGAAAAAGGAAGATTTGAGGATTGGAGAGAAACAAGAAGAAGAAGAAGAAATTATAAGTTACATTCTGATATCAAAATGGCTGTCGGCCTTTACAAAGAAATTCCTGAAAGAAAAATTTTACTCACAGGTTATAATCTCAAGAAAATTGAAACCAAGATTTGCATATCACAGTTTTCTCTCTGGGTGCCACTTTATGCTGCATCCAACACTACAAAAATAAATGGGGGGAAAGCAATTACTTTTAGAATGTAACCATGGCTGAACATAATCCTAAAGACCTGACAAACGTTGCATAAGAAAGAAGTACCTTGGTTTCTGAATCGATGGTACCGGTTGGCCACTGAGAACACAATCTATTGCCAGGCTCAAGTCCCTACATGGAGTTTTCTAAATCAGTTTCCACACCTTACAATAGAAGTCATAATGCTAATATGAAAACGAATTTCCTACCTTCCACTTACAGACACATTATTACTAGGTCTTGAATCATCAAACTGTCCATGGTACACCAGTTCAAATGGCCTCCGTCCATCCTATTACACGGTAATAAATTTAGTTGCATGCTAGAAAGGGTAAAACAAATAGAAGTTGGATTAACTCAAATTGAGATACAGTGATAAGTTTACAATGAGTCCCCTAAAGGAAAGCTGAAATGAGGTAGTGTTCTTGAGTAATTTCAGCAAATCGATTGGTGCAGGTTGTGGTCACCTTTTTAAATAGAAAAAACTCGGGTGTACAAATTGCTCCAAAATCCCGGGCGACATCCTGTGACTGTATTAAATATATTTAACAAAGATAATGAATTAGAGAGTTACCAAGCATAACTGTGTTTCAATCAAATTGATATAGTATTACACTTAACAGAACGTGCGACCTGAAGTTCTACTGCCCTCAAAATCTCAATTTTATGAATGCTAACAGCTAACAAAAAAACCATGAAAACCAGTAAAATAGGAAAAGGGAAAGAAGAGACTCAAGTTGCTCAGGTTAAGGAATAACCAAGACCATCATTTCTTTTTCTTTTTTTCTTTCTAAAAAGCCTCACTCTAAGGGCAACTTCGTATATTCTTCAATACATCTAATTTTACACTTGGAAGGAAATTCTGTTTTTCAGGGATCAATGTTTTAAAATGAACCATGAAGAGTCCCAGCCTGTCATGCATGCATGCCAAATATCAAGCTAGCCCCGCCCTTGGAGCCATTAGTACCTCCTATTCTCCAATGTTTAAAGATTAGCTAAAGTTGGGAAATTGTGCAAAAAACTATCCCTTTGCAAACTTACTAGCCAAATACTACCCACCCTATAATCATTTATCAAATACTATCTATAAATACTCTCTTATTGCCTACTTAACACTTTTCTCACTTTTTTCTTTTCTCTCTCAGCGCCCTCTTCGCTCTCTCTCCCTATATCTGGTTTTGGGTCTTTTGATTTCCACCTAAAATCTCATTTCAATCCCTTCCTTTCTTTTTAATTTGGGCCTTTCTTTTGTGATTTTGTTCTTCTGCTGGGGAATACAGGAAGCGGAAGAGGAAGAGCTCTTCTTGGTTCTTTTCAGCAGAACCTGGTGGCTTGGCTGTTAAGGTCGCAGATGGAGGTGAGTTGAGCTTTGAGGTTGAAACAGCTGCAAGCTTAGGCAATTCAGAAGAGAGAGCTAAAAGATGGGGTCAATGGTGGGTTTCGCGATACAACATCAATATAACACCAATAACCAGCAATGTAACACCAATAACACAGAAATATACAACAATACCATAGCAATATAACATCAATATAACACCAATAACACAGAAATACACAACAATACAAAGACAAGCCCTACAGCCAATGACAGCTGAAAACAAAAAGTCACAATGACTGCTCTCTTGTTCTTTTGTCTCATTAGCTTCTTCTCTTAATCTCTCTAGATTTCTAAGTTCTCTGTACTCGTGCTACATCAATTAAAAACAACAGTTTGTACTCACCCCAAAAATGAGTCATTGTGACTTTTTTGTTTGCAGCTATCATGGGATGAAGGGTTTGTCTTTGCATTGTTGTGTATTGCTGTGTTATTGGTCCTATATTGATGTTTTATTGCTATGGTATTGCTGTTATATTGATGTGCTATTGGTGTTAATTGCTGTGTTACTGTAATTTAATAGGAATATATGTTAATATCATTTTTCTTCTGAATCGCGAAACCCACAAAGCTCAAGTCCATTGTCGACCTCCAGATGCAATCTTAACAGCCAAGCCACTAGGTTCTGCAGAAAAGACCCAAGAAGAGCTCTTCCTGTTCCGCTTCTTATAGTCCCAGCAGAAGAACAAATCACAAAAGAAAGGCCCAAAATAAAAAAGAAATGAAGGGATTGAAATGGGATTTTAGGTGGAAATCAAAAGACCCAAAACCGACATAGAGAATCATCAATTAAGAGGCATGAAACAATCATCAATTAACCAAGTTCATTACAAGAAAGGGTAAACAAACCTATTGATTGAGTGCTTGAGATTGATTTGCAAGAAACAAAAGAGAAAAGAAACTTTGAGAACTGAGAGAGAGAGCGAAGAGGGAGTTGAGAGAGAAGAAAAAAGTGATAAAAGTGTGAAGTAGGCAATAAGACAGTATTTATAGATAGTATTTGATAAATGATTATAAGGTGGGTAGTATTTGGCCAATAAATTTGTAAAGGGATAGTATTTTGCCCAATTTCCCGATAAAGTTCAAGTTTGGATTAGTACATTGAGAAACTTAATTTTAATAGATTCATGTGTGCATGCACACATGAATGAGAGTTTTGCAGTTGGACCAAAACCTAGCCAGATTCTTATGAGAGCAAAAGATTGTCACTCAACCATTGCACATTTCCAAAAGCCATATTGAGAAACAAAATGAAATAAGAAATGCCAGATTTATAAAGCTGTTGAGATTGGCACTTTGGAAGTAGCATACCTCGTCATATAGATATGGAAAAGGATATTTGAACAGCTTAGCTTCTTCTGCCATGAATTGTGGTCCATCCTGTCAGGAAGAGTTCCCACACTTTGACTGATCATACAACAGCTTCACAAACTCTAACCCCAAATTATGGAGTTAGTACAAGTGTAGTACCTGTGGATGCGTAGCTACAGAATTCGAAGATATCGCAACAACTGCAAGTCCTTTCTGAAAAAAGAAAGAATGATATTAATAATAACAATATATTTGAAATAAATAAACACATTTGAACATGTTACTATCCTACATTAATTTGCTCAGTGAAGTTTGGTACAACACTTTAAAGCGATTCAAGCCTCTCAGAAGGAGCAAATTCAGCTGCCTTACCTTCATATAGAAATTTGCAAGCTTCACGATACCCTTTTTCAGGTGTTTAACAAATGGGCAGTGGTTGCAGATAAACATCACCTGCACCATCACACTGTTAAAATGCATCTAATCCTTGCTTATATGTGAAGAAAGATAGAATACAAGCAACCAAATTTTTGATTTAGTAAAGAAAACCCATGAGTTCACTTCCTGCATGAAGAGTAGTAGTATTACAGATTGTGGTTTACAGGTTGTGTTGATCTGTTCCTAAACCCTTGCATAAGTCTTCTTTCTTTCTTATTTTCCAGAGCTACAAACCTAGTTCAAGTGCATATATGCACAGAAAAATTGGCATAATGCTGAAAGGCCCAAAACTTTTTAAAGGTCCTGCGGTGGCACATAGATCCACTTACTAATAAAGTATTCAGTGGAAAATGTTCCAGTTAAATCAGAATAACATTGGTAACCTCAAGAAATGACTCCTAGTACAATTATTCAACTACAGTTCTTTGGTTTTATCTTACTGAGTAAACTGTTGGCCAATAATTAGCATTTGAAAAGAAAAAGGGTCCCTGCCACATGTTTTTTTTTTTTTTTTTTTTTTTTTTTTTCTTTTTTCCTAATATTACCAAAATTAATATAAATTGAAATTAATATGTGGCATTAAACTAATCTTATACCTATAATTGCATAAATTCATGGACATGTAAACTAGCTTAGCAACTGAAAATAACTATCAGACTACCTAGGACTCCAGACAATTCTTCAATTTTCAAGGCTGACAGACATAATTAGTGGCATTCTTGCTTTATACACACTCTATCTTAGTGAAATGTCAAGCTTCCATGGTTGGGAAAAATGGTGACATGCCATCTGTTTTTAAGCTGTATAAAGCTCACAACCACATGTTTTTCTGAGTATCTGATATCTGGCAGAGTAACAGATGGCTGTTATTACTGAAGTAACTTGTTCTGAAAAAACAAAAAACAAAAAAAAACTTGAGGCCATATGAGCTGAAGGTAGTAACATTTTAATTTTATTCTCAGTTCATTCAGCAATTCGCTACACTCTACGGATTGATCTTGGCTTACCTGGTTCATAAATAAGCTCAAATCTGCTGCTTAACTATCAGAGCTCAAGTTAAGCACAAGCAGCCTGATTATGATTTAAGCAATTGTAAATTCCCAAGCAAGGGAAAAATGCTAGCTTTTCAAAGTGAATAAAAACTGAAAAAATATGACAGTAACCATTACTTTTCTCACACACACACTATCAAGGTGCCATTTAAATGCATGAAAGACAATGTATGGTTTAGTACTATTCGTCTAATATTTAGAATATGTACTCATTTTCTATATAGCTTTTTACTTAAATCCCATTATGGAATATTAGCACCTCCACATTGTCCTAGTCAGGCACTGCAAATTCCTCATACAAGAATTTTCCCTTTACAACTTGGGCATTCCAACGAATAGTTGCATTCAAATGCTCATAAGACAAAACGATATTAAATCATTTGAAGCCGTTATTTCATAAGAACTCACTCAGTTCCTTTTAGTTTATCTAGTATCAATTCACAAAATATCAAAAACAGACATATATAATCACAAAATCAAACAACCAAACAAAAAACAACAGCCATCCAAAACAAAACAAATACACAACGGGAACTCACCAGTAAGGCAGGATGTGATTCAAAATCCTCTAGTTTCCAAACGTTCCCAGTAAGTGGCTCTGGAATCTAAAATCAATTCCCCAAAATAATCAAAACAGAGAATAAAAACTCACGCGCACACACTCAAAAGGAAGAATAAATTGTGAACCCAGTTCGGAACAAATCTAAAAAGAAATGAAAAGGAAAAAGAATCAGTACATATATAGTACCTCAAAATTGGGAGCTCGGAAGCCCAAAGAGACCCCTTTGGACTCGGTTCTAGCTGCTCGAACCACAAGCTTTCTTGCGGGTAGGGTGGTCCGCAGTTGCAGAGATTCGAAGGATGAGCATTTTGTTAAGAACTGGGACACAAATTTGGTTGAGTTGCGCGGTGAGCGCAGTGGACATGCGCACACTGTGTTCACAGGAACTGTGGCAACCGCCATGGCTGATAAGTTGCGGGAAGGTAATTCTACGGCTAGAAAATGGCCCCTCTTTTATTTGTTAATTCTTGTTTTTTTGTTAAAAAGACAAGAGTAATAGTTCTGAATTTGTTTTTGGAAAAAAAAATAGTTCTGAATTTGTCCGGATTTGCGTTTTGGTCATTGAATTCAGAAAATGGTTGTGGTAGTCCTCAACTCCACTTTTCTTTTTCTTTTCTTTTTTCTTCTTTTGGTGAAGAAAAGTTTTGAGGGAGATTGGTTACTCTCAGCACCAGTTTCAGAACAGACCCACAATTTCGAGATAGAAGAATTTATGTGTGGCACCCAACTGCCAGCTGCTACCAGTATGGATTTATGTAGGAAATTATAGATCACGCACCAACAAGTACTATTGGCAGCAGAACTCAAACACTGGTGGGGCTACACACAGTGTAGGAATCTTACCAACTGAATCAACCCTCATTGGCAAACTGACCTAACATGCAGGAAGCAAGCTCGAACCCCTACCCATTTGTTAAAGAAAAGGAACATGAAACCAACTCAACCAGAAAACTCTCGTTTTTTTTTCTTCAACTCCACTTTTGTTAACAATGTTGGTCCTACGGTTAATCCTTTACATTTTATGTTAGATCTAGGGGTAAAATAGTCATTTTAGGTTGTTTTTAGTTCTCATCATTGTGGAAGGCAACTCGATAAAATAAAAATAAAAAAATAAAAAAGGTGGGCATTAGAACTGGGGAACCGACCCGAAATGAGTTGAAAACTGGGAAAAATAAATCATGTTGACCAAAAATTCTACTTATGCTTAAAAATCGAACCAAACCGTTTTTGGTCAATTCCTACCCTGATTCTTGTCTTGGAAAATTCGATCTAAATCAAAATCGGTCTTAATTCAAATCAAAGCCTTATCATTCGAACATCCAGATAAAGTTTAGGATTAATTATAATCAATACTTAGTTAATTAGTCTTAGTTTCTGCGGAATGATACTCACTTACTACTACACTATTTTGCTACGATTTTGTGCTCTACAACTTCGTTATCACCCATTCATTTATATCCAAACTTATTAGTAAGCCTAAGTAATATTCAAATCACATTAGTAACTTCAGGTAATATCTAGATATTTTAGCCCAATTAATACCCAAATGCCTTAGTTTCAGTTTATACCAAAGTCAACCGAAGTCCTAATTTTCTACCGAAATCTTGAAGGTCAGACAGAGTCTTGAAGATCAAATGGGAGTTTGACTTGTGAAACCTAAGGGCGACTTTTGGTAAGTAATGCTTAAGGTCAAGTCCAAAGAGGTGGACCTTGTGACTAGACATAGGGGTCGGAGTCTGAAGCTTCAAAGGCATGACGTTCCACAACAAGTAAGACCAAGAACTTAGAAGTCTAACCCAACTTCTGAAATCGAGCTAAAACCATCTGAGACTTCTCAAGTCGGGCTAAAACAATCTAAGACTTCCGAAGTGGGAACATATGAGATTTCCGAAGTCGGAACATATGAGAGTTTCAAAGTCATAACATATGAGACTTCCGAAGTCATAACATATGAGACTTCCGAAGTCAGAATATCTGAAACTTCCAAAGTTGGAGTGAAAACATCTTAAACTTCATAACATCTGAATGGACGGCCATTGAATGGATAACCCATGGGTTGAGTATCAACCTTTAAATATCTTGGCAGATGAAGAGCAAAATATGATCAAACTTAACACACAAACACCAAAATCCTACTTATTTTTCTTACACTTTTCATTTCCTAATATACAATTTACTTTTCAAGCATGTAGATTAGTCAAGTTCTTCAATTTCATTAGTGTAAGTTTATATTCACGCAATTTACATTATGTCATTTTTAGATTCAAATTATTTGAATTATTTTTCTTTTCATTATTCTTGAATTTTCATTAAGTTTAATTCAGAGTCTATTTCAATTTTTCGTTCTTATTTTTGCTTTTATCTTAATTTAACTTTAATTATTGCTTTAATATGTTTTTCTTACATTTACTTTCTTCTCATTTAGTTTAATCACATTTTTTTTATTTAATTACATTTTCATCACTCAAATCCCAAAATTTTAAAAATAGACATACAAAGCTCAACCATTCTTGACTCTAAGGAAGTGAAAAAACCTAGGTCAAGAGGAGTTCTTGGTTTATTATAATATTTTCACATGGGCATTATTAAAAGTCAAAAAGTGAGTCCTTTTGTGCAACCTAAGCAAAATTAATGTGTCTTTTGGAGCATGCGGAAATGAGGCAAAGTGAGACACATAGTTGGGTTTCAAGGGATAGCATGACACAAATTGAATTTTACGGGGCCAAATGAAACTAGAATTGAGTTTCAAGTGACAAATAAATAATTAAGCTAAAACAATATAAACGCAATTGGTGGTGTGACTAAAATTTAGAATAAGGGTTTTTGACCGAAATTGTCCATGAACTTATACCCAAGTTTCCTTCTGTTCACCTCGTTTTGTGATTTCTCCTGAGATGGAAGGGCAAAGTTCCCCACTGCCTTGAAAACCATTGACTGATCAACAAGTCAGCTTTCTTTGGTGCATGAGCGTGCCACTGCTAGCAATGAAGATTCTAGCAGACTTATTCTAGAATAGATAACTTGCGCCCCAAGTCACTGATTTCTATAAACAAACGATTGTGAATTTGGGTGAGAAATATCTCCCAAGTTCTTTTCTTACCTCAGACTGGTGAGGACTTTAACAATTTATCTCAGTAAAAAGAGGTTGTTCTGGCCAGAATGGTTGATGGAATTTAAGTTGTCTTAGGCAGAACTGCCTTTTACAAAACTATAAAAATAAATACCCATGCTAGAAAGATAAAAAGACAGCTGGAACTCCATTTCTGCCTGGATGGAAGGCTCTGATCCGAGCTGGACTGGAAATATCTGGGCTGGACTGAACTGCTAACAACTTCAACTGCTAAGCTTCAGCTGTAAATCGATACCAAAGGTCAATTTTGGCAGAGCTTTAAAATACTTCAAGCTTTTGTGAGGCTTTTGAGTGGGCAGAACTGCGGCTTCTTCAGTCTGAGAGGGCAGAAGTGGCTGTTCTTGAGGACTTTAGTGGGCTAGAGACTGCACTGTGAAATTTGTTGAGGTTTTCATGTTTGGGAAAAGCTCAAGCTCTACCTGTCTTTGTTTTTTTTGTTGAACCAAATTTGTAACGAGAGAAATCTCGTTTTAGATGGTTTATTTTCTAAGTCTGAACCTTGGGAATTCTTATCTAAAGCTGGTTTCACTTGGAATTCAAGTGAGCTTCTGGTTGATTTTGAGTTGTTTGTTTGGTTGATGATTTGAATGTAGGATTGATTGTCCTTTGCCCTGTTCACTCATTCTTGTATTTATAAGAAATGTCTTCTGGAGTAGAGTAATTCTTTTAATAATGGGTGGCAAATCCTTTCAAAAAGATCTTCCTTTTAAAATGGAAAAGAAAATGGGATTTCATCAGTTTTTGGTAGATAGGTTCTTAATAGGCAATCACTTCCCTATTTTTCTTGAAAGAGAACCTAAAATTTCAACTGCCCCTTTTGTGAGAGCTCAAAAAACCGTGATGGTTAGTCTAATTCCCAGTTTGAACAACTCCCTGTTTCTTACTTTATCTTTTGAAAAATATAGCCTGCGTATTTCTCTGATAATATGGTGCCTCCTTTGGAGTGGAGACAATATCCTAGAATATACATAATAGGGGATTTGATCTTTAGATTTTTCAGAGTTGTCTCTTCCCAGTTTTTGCCAGCTATTGACCCTCTCTAATCATCTCTGTAATGGCTAATTTTTGTTGATTTTTCCAAATCTGATAAGAAAAAGATGTCACGTGGGTTCTAAAAATGGGTCCCTTTCTTTATCCAAATCGTGTTGAGTCTATTTTGTCTGGACCCCAAAATGTGACTTTTTCTTTTTGAGGCCCAAGTCTGTTTGCCACATTTTGATGAGTCTTGGGCTAAGCCTCTCTGGACTTTGGGCTTTACCTTCCATTTTGCAAAAGCACAAATTGCTTGAGTCATGTAGCTTTTATTATGGGCTTTCTCCGTGTTGGGCTGGGCGCGTTCAATTTAGGCCCAAACACCTTCAATTAGTTTTTACTTTTTAATGGTCTTCCAACTCTCTTCTGTGTCAAATTGATCCCACCGTCAAACCACGTTAATATTACCGTCAATTTTAGGGTTAAAATAATTATTTTGTATTAAAACAGTGATAAAGTAATTAGAATTTAGGGTGAAAGTCCTGTCCATTTACCTTTATGGGGTAAAAGGTCCAATTTACCCATAAAATTTGGAATCTGTGCCATCCATGTGATTCAATTTAACGAAAAATAATACGAATGACCAATTTGAAACAAAAGAAAAAGGACCATTTCGAACAAAAACCCTGAAAATAAAAAGGGACTAGCAATACCCAGGCTGAAGCGACACTGACTCGCGAACGCCCTCAGATGAACACTTGCGTTTTGAACGTCTAAAAACTTGAATAATATTTCTGCAACTTAAAAATGGTATTTAGTACATCAAGTGATCTATGATACATCTTAGATTCAATTGTGTAGTGATAAGAAAAATTATCAACGGCCAATCTTTAAAAAAAAATTAAAAGCAAAATCATCGTAGCAGCAACAAGACATTCCAGGTGAAATGGAAAATCAAAATATTGAAATGGGTTAAGAAACAAAAAATGTTATCCAATAAACATTGGAACGCATCTCCATGGGTTTTAAGGAGAAGGTTCAAGCAGAAAGGATTTTGATTTACGCACAAATAAAATCCTGGAAACAATTTTCACAGAGAATAGGTTTCCAAGAAGAACTATGTGCGAGAATCTATACACGGACAAAAAAAGCTAGAGAGAGAGAGAGAGAACTGATTTTCGGCTATGACTGCTCCGATTGAGTGGAGGCTCTAAGCTCTAAGCAAGGAGGAAGTTTATAAGAATCGTAAACCCTACCTTTGCAAGGGCCCGTTATATAGGTGTTACAAGTTTCGGCTTAAGAAGGAGATATGCTAAATAACAAATTTGTCCCTGTGATTTCCTGAAGTTACAAGTTTGTAATAGGGTCACCCACCATAATAATAGTGGCAAGCCACGTGCCAATTCTTGACATGGAAATTTTTGAGATTTTTTTCGAGAACTTATCTTTTCCGTAGCACATGAATGTTTTTTTTAAAAAAAAATTAAATAAAAAGAGTCTCCCTCCAAGTTTATGATCTTGGTACGAAACACTTGGAAAGGCTTATAAGATGTTGATTGAATGGTGAAGTCTCTTGATATGCTTTTACACTCTTGAGTTGAAATTGAGAAAGGGATTGTGAACTGCTTCAAAGGGATTTTATGATTTAGGCTTTGAGAGGAATTTGAGGGCATACAAGTGAGTTGAGCTATATAGTTAATCAGACATGTATAAGTCCCCTTTTTTGTCAAAAAATGCTTCAAGTCTTTTTTCTTTTTGGTTTGATAAAAAAGAGTCTTTCTTTTGGTCTACACGAGTTTTTTTATTTTGTTCTAAGTAAGCTCCACATCGTAACAATGTTCGTCAGATTTTGCCTTTGATGCAAATAAGACACGCAAAGGTTTGTTAAAAACTATCGTCCTTTAAAGATGGGCATTTTAAAAACATGATGCTCTAAATGTTTTACACCTTATTAGATGACGGCTAACAAAATAAGGCGACAATATTTAGGACATCGTCGTCTATTGAGTATCGTCTAAGGCATTTTTTGTACTAGTTGTTGGCATGACTTGTGGTATAAGTTTACATTCCTTGCACACCAAGGATTCCTATATCAAATGTAATTGATTTACTTTAATTCCCGATTTCCTACTGTAAATAGAATTAGGAGTTATTATTTTCCTTGACCTACAACGTTTTATTGTACTATAGATATGGCCCCCTCCGACAAGGAGAATAATACACAAAAAATTCTCATAAACAATATTCGATGATATCTCATATTTTTGCATGGTATCAAATCGACGATCTTGGGGATTGTTGACTCTTGTTTTAAACCATAGCTGCCACCATGGGGGGAGGATGATTTTTTCCTCATCCATGAAGGTAGCACGACCAACCCCGCTTCTCTTTATCAACTGATCTTTTCAGAACTGGCCACTTAGATGGCCCAATTCGTGAAAATACAAAACCCGACCTCGACCCTTACCTATAAAGCTTTTGCTGCCTAGATTGGCATCAAGTTGGATGGCTCCAACTACCCCATTTGGTCCCAAGTTGTCGAGATGTATGTCACAGGCAAATACAAGTTAGGATATCTAACAGGCGTATTCCCACCACCACCTATGACCGATCCGACTTTCACCCATTAGCGAATAGAGAATTTTGTGTGTATTATTAACAATTTTGTAAAAATATGTGTATTAAACATGAAAAAATACATATGTATGTGTATTGTATGTTTGATTTGTGTACGCAAAAGGAAGTATTGTTGAAAAATATGTACGTACATGTATCATACGATTATTAAACGGCAAAAGGGTAATGGCCTAATAGAAATGGATAATGCTCTAAACTACTCGTATTGATAAAAAAAAAAAAAAAAAAAAAATAGCCGCGCGACTATACTATTTGTTAAAAAAAATCCCTGATATAGCCAGTGGTTATACTCTAGAAATATATTATATTTAACAGTATCGCCGTGCGGCTATACTATTTATTAGAAAATTAATAGAAACCCAATATAGCAGCGCGGCTATTCTCTTGAAATATATTATATTTAAATGTATAGCCGCTCGACTATCCTATTTATTTACAAAATTTTAAATATAAAAAAAATACCCCCCTGTATCGCCGCGCGGCTATATTATATTTTTCTAAAAAAATTTAAAAACCACTATAGCCGGGCGGCTATACTCTTGAAATATATTATATTTAACAGTATAGCCGCCGGCTATACTGTTTATTTTAAAAATTAAGAAAAAAAAACCCCAGGATCGCCACGCGGCTATACTAGTGAAATGTATTATATTTAAGGTTTTTTAGGTTTTAGACATAAAAAAATTTTCACTTTTGGAAAAAGCCAAAGCTTTTTCAAAAAAGACAAAAAAACCGCACAACTTTCAAATCAAAGACATGCAAATGTATTGGATTCCTTAGGAAATCTAAAAATAAATAAGGGCATTTTTGTCCATTTTTGCTTCTTTTAAAATTTTTCTCTCTCCTTTTGCTTTTTCCAAAATGTCCCTTATATTTAACAGTATAGCCGGTCGGCTATATTATTTATTTAAAAAAGTTCACCAGTATAGCCGAACGGCTATACCTTTTAAGCTCTACAGCCGCACGGCTATTCTACTTATCAAAGAAGTAGCCGCGCGGCTATACCATTGAAATATATTGTTATTTTATTTACCAGTATATTTATTAAAAAGTTACAAAAATATGTTAAAACGTATAGCCGCGCGGCTATACTATTTATTGAATATTCAACACCATTTCACCGTATCGAGGTAATTGGAAAAGTCGAGCTCAATGAACAAACAGTCAATACTCTGGAAGTTCCGACGTTTCTATTAACCAATACATGATTCTATAAATTCCCATAATCAAATCAGTGCACTGCAATCTGTCTACATATTGTTAATCGGGGCTATGACCAAAAAGAAAAAAGAACCAAAAAGAAACAGCAGTTTTGATTACAAAATGGAAGGCAGCAAAGGGTCTAATGCACTATGGACTAACACATTTGTGCTGATGTTGGTTATTTATTTTAATAAAAATTCATGACAATCAATCAGTGTATCACTGGCACTGTTTATAAGCTAGCAGTATATCCAAAGCCATCAATGTCCAGGTACTTGATACACCCACACCAAGCGCAAGAATCATGGCGCAATCCATACATCATTGTGTTCGCAGTTCAAAGTGAGTGTAGCATTACCTGAACTCCAAGCTGCGGCCGAACTGTAAGATAATGCAAGGGAAAGTGAACATAACCAGGGGAAAGAGTGAAGGAGTAGCGTTGTAGAATCATTGACAGAGCAATTTTTGCTTCAGTGGAGCCAAAGTTCAAGCCCACACAAGTTCGAGGTCCCAATCCAAATGGTATGAATGCACCTATGTTATTGTTAGTTGCTTTAGAAACCCCTTCCAAGAATCTCTCTGGTTTGAAAAGATGCACATCCTGTCCCCAGATTTCAGGATCATGGTGAATTGCTATGGTTGAGATAACCAAGTCAAAATTAGGAGGAAGAGTGAGCTTTCCCAGTCTAACTTCCTTTTCAACTTTCCTTATAATTGAAACAGGTGGAGGATATAACCTTAGAGACTCATTAATGATCATACTAATCTGCATGAAAATGAAACAGAGGTAACAAATCAGGATTTAAAATTTTAATTGAGAATATATTTCTGCCACTTACAAGAGGAATTCATTGTGTTCTTGACTTTCTTACTGTTTTCAGTTTGGAAATGCCATCGGGATGTGGAGTTTCTTTGCCAAATAATTGTATGACCTCCTTTCTTGCTTCCTCTTGCCAATCTGTATGGATTGCCAGAAGCAACACAGTCCAAGAAAGCAAAGTAGTAGTAGTTTCTTGTCCGGACATGTAAAACGTCTTGCAATCATCAACTACTTCGTCCACCGAAATCCTCTGGCTGTCATTGGCATCATGTTGAGCCTTTACAAGTAATCCAAGATAATCACTTCCAAATCTGTCTTCTACTCCGGACATTGCCTTCTCTTCTCTTGTCTTAATAATCTCTATTATAGAGTCCCGTATACCTTTCTCAAGTTTGTCCGATTCTATCTCATCACTGGTTTTGAAGAACTTACTGCAATTTTCAAAGAAAGACCAAACATGAGAACAGAAGTAATGCTCACTCATATGGGAAAACAATAAAAGAAGAATGGTTCTCTGCATAATGCGCCAACTATACAACGAAAATGAAATTGAGTATGTTTCTCCCAGCTATATATTGCAAATTCGTTTGAGTATGTTTCTCCTGGCTATAGTGCAAATTTGTGCTCAATTCAAATTTTGTATTTGCATCAATATCTCTTCTATTTTAGGGAGAGCACAAGCATGAGTCAGATTTTTTGAAGAAGATACAGAGAGAATTTTTTAGGCATGAATCTGTGTTTATTAACATAGTAAGGTACATAGTGTATGCTAGCAAATTGAATGGATCCCGAAATTGACCAACCAAAGATCATTCGGATGCCATTTATATTGAGATGTAAGAATGTCAAACATTAATCAATCAATCAATCAATAACTAAGAGAACGGAGATTGAATGGCTATCCATGCGGTTCCCCAATGATTTAGTTGAAATGAAGTTACCTAATGACAGGAACCCTGATTGCAAGATAATTTTTGTAGATTATGAAGCCTAACTTGGTCAACATCTCAAAAATATGCTTTCCTTCAATATAGCTGCTGCCAAATGCTGTTCTGGAAATCACTTCTGAAGTCAACAACCTAAACTCTTGAAGCACATCAATCTCTTTTCCTTCATAATTTTTCCACCTTCCTAGCATTGTCTCAGTACTAGCTACCATTGCTGGAATCATACTCTAGTAAAACAATACCATCCCATCAGATATAACTTCACTACCATACCTAATTTACTACACTACTCTTTGCAAGAAATTACCATCAACGGCAAAGAAACTTACTTTTAAGCTCTCTCCGTGGAAGGAAAGAGTGGCCAACTTTCTCAATTTTTCCCATTTTTCAGCTTTGGTTGTTGACACCAGCCCATCTCCTAATAGCTTCTTTACAAAGTTTTGGACCTCTTTTTTGGATAAGCTCCATCTTTGTTATTCAGTATCTGTTTGCACAATTCGGGTTCTGTGATCACCAATTGAGCTTGAGAACCATGCCACTGCAGATAATTCTTTCCTGTTGATAAAGATGACCAATATTTAATACTTGGAACAAAACCACAACAACAAAAAAAACCAAAAAGCTAGCTAATTGAGATAATTTCTTACCATAAATCTTGGTCCAGTAGTGAATGTGAGGTTGGACTAAAGGAAGTGTGTCGTGGGATATACTTTTGGGTCTGGCCATGGCTTCTTTCATCATCTGGGAAATTTCTTTGTTGTTTCCGTGGATGAGTCTGTAAGGAGGGCCTTGGATCCCCTGCAGACCCATCTGCTTCTGTATGCGAGTTGGAGTCCACCATAGCTTGTGAAGGATCTTTATGAGAACTAAGACCAGTAACAAGCAGAGAAAGCTTGAAAGAGTCAACACCGGGACTCCTAAAGAACACATCTTTCTTTCTTTCTTTCTTTCTCTTAGTCAAACCACTCTGAGTTTTCTTTTTTCAACAGTCCAAAGTTTTAAAGTTTTCTGCTCCTTGTTTTTTGCCCAAATTTAGATAATAATAAAAAAGAAGAATAATCATCAATAATCATCAATACTTTGCTTATTTGGGTCAATTCCTCACATGAGAACAAAATTTTTTGTTAATTGATTTATTTATGTATATGTGTGATATTCATTGTGATTTAAATATAATGCTACAATTTTCACCCCTTATTCTCTTAATTAAAACATATAAATATATTTCCTTAAAAAACATAAATTTAAAAAATAAAAATAATTCCTAAATAAACCCCAAGTTTAATGCCCTTTTCCTTACGTGTTCTGCTTTCTTTCTTTGTATATGTGTGACATTCCTCATGATTTACATATGAATACTACTATTTCCAACCCCTGTCGTATTTCTCCACCCACCTAACTTTTCACCCATCATGTGAATTTGAAAAAACACAATCCTATTAATTGACAAGACCACCATTGCCAAGACTGCTTATAACCAGAACTTCTATAAATTTCAAGGTAGCAGCTTTCTTGCAGATATTAGAGCAACTTCAAAACTTCCCAATGGTTTGGTTCACTTGCAAAGGAACCTTCTTTCAGATCTCCAAAAGGGAATATACAGCTTGGATGAAGGAATAACAAAGATCAAACGGGTGATACGTTGCTCAAGAGTTCTTATTGCTCTTGATGATGTGGACAACCTGGAACAATTCAATGCAATTCTTGGAATGCGAGAATGGCTTCTGGCTTCATCCAGGAAGTAAAATAATCATAACAACTATACATAACATTTGTTAAGGGCTTATGAGAATTGTGCAATGTTTAAGGTGGAAGGGTTGCATGAGTATGAATCACTTGAGCTTTTCAGTTGGCATGCCTGCCATTAGACAACCCCATCCTGGCTAAGGTTACAGGAAATGCTTATTGATTTTTTTTTTCCCCTCCAACAATTTTTATCCTATTGCTTGTTATAGGAAATGCTTATTGTTCAAAGTTTGAATGGAGTTATTCTTGAGATAATAATTTTTGCAGTAAGATGTGACACACTGAGAGCTCAAAATGAAGCATCTTCTGGAGAAGATTTAAAATAAAAAATAAAAAACTGAAAGACCTCAAATTACGGTATAAAAATTTGAAGGTAATTTGCTTTAATCTCTCTGTTTTTGCTCCTATACAATGTTTAAATTTTTGGGTTCCCTTAATTGTATTCATCATTTTAGGAGGAGCACAGTTCATTTCATTTCGTGATCCTGCTGATAAAATCATTGAGGAGAAGGACAAAGAAATTTCTAGACTTACAGATATGATAATAAGAATCTTCATCAATCACTGGACTCAAGACCACGAATATGTTCCTTTTTCTTAAGTGACATCTAAACCCTTACACTTCAATATTCAGTACTCTCTCTCAGCTGATGACAACAAAGTTGTTGAAATCAAATCACGGTGGTAAACTAGAATGCCAATTGCCTTCAATTTATTACAACTAACTTCCATTAACAAAAGAGGCCTACGCAACAGAACAGTAAATTTTGTTGTTTGCACCAAGAAAAGAGAGTGGAAAATACTATTTTTAAGGTTTTTTGTAATAAAAAATTAGGGAATATTAATAATTATATTAAACTTTTTGGCATTCAGTTTGAAGAGTTAAGAGCATCTCCGACCGATGTGTCAAAAGTGCCACATAGACATTTAACGGCTAGAAATAACATCTCACATCACTCCAACCAATGTGTCAAAGCTGATGTGGAATGAAGGCTGGAGGTTGAGATGTTATTTTTGACATCCCAAAAGCAAGATGTCAAATGAATATTTTATTATTTTTAAAGATAGTTGGTTGTTACTTTCACTTATTATTTTCCTTTTTATATATTTTTTTTCTTTATCTTAAATGATTTGACTATTACAATAATTATTTATTTGACATATCGGGTGAAGTGTAAAACTGTGTAAATGTCAAATTGCCACATCAGCCATCAAATTTAAATTTAATGTTTGGTATTTGACATCTCCCTTGGAGATGCTCTAAGAGCATCTCCAACTGATGTGTCAAAAGTGCTACATAGACCTTTAACAGCTAGAAATAACATCTCACATCACTCCAACCGATGTGTCAAAGCTGATGTGAAATGAAGACTGGAGGTTGAGATGTTATTTTTGACATCCCAAAAGTAAGATGTCAAATAAATATTTTATTATTTTTTCTTTTCTTTTTAATTTAAAATAAATTAACACTAAAATATAATAAAATAATAATTTAATTTGACATATCAAGTGGAGTGTAAAGCTGTGTAAGATGTCAAATAGCCACATCAATCATCAAATTTAAATTTGATATTTGATATTTAACATCTCCAACTCTAAAAGTGTTTGGAGTGTTTGGAGGACAGAAAGTAAAACTAAAAATATAGAGACAATGGTAGAAATGGTAGTCCGGGAGCACACTGTTACCAATGGGCCTCCGCCCCTGATGAAGGCCTCATCCATAGAACCCAAAATTCCAACCGTGGCCTCATTCATAGAACCCAAAATTCCAACCCTGTCGGAATTGGTAGCTTGAAATGCATTCCCAATAACGTTGCCGCCTGTGCCGTTGGAGAAGTTGTAGACAGCAGCGCCGCCGCCTGTGCCGTTGGAGAAGTTGTAGACAACAGCGCCGCCACCTGTGCCGTTGGGGACGTTGTAGACAACAGCACCGCTCCCTGTGCCGTTGGAAGGAAAAGGAACAGCTGGTGCCTTGCTTAGCATATATTTATGAATCTGATCAATTAACTTCTGACGTTCAAAGTCGAAAGGGCTATCTTTTGTGGCTGCTGCACGCGATTTGATGGCCAGGGCAAGCCTTTCTTCCTTACTGCATTTTAATGAACACAATTCATCATCTGGGTTGGTGGGCATTGAATGAATGAAATCAACCAAAACATCTCGCACCCTACATGATGGCTTCCATTTATCCAGTCACCTTAAACAGATCTCGGTATGGGTTTTGAAGCGACCATTTTCCGTCAAAGGTATGATTGAAGGAGGCTTAGATGGGTATTCCCCCGGAAACAGGACACGCCCATGATAAATCCCACCCTCGAATTCAGTTCCTTTAGCGCCTCTGACTGCAAATTGCCATTGAAATTGAAATTCTTCCCGCTCGAGTTGGCCGCACATGAAATCGTCAGAGGGATTGGATTCAATCTCTCTATACTCCTCTCGAATCCGCTTCAACGCTCGGTTGCGATCCAATTCCATTTGATTTTGTTCGATCTGCGTCGATCCGACTCGATCCACCACAAACACCTCTTCCGGTTAGCAAAACTTCAAATATATACAATTATTCTCACAATACGAGCGAAGAGATGAGGAAAAATGGCCGGCTGTGTTTGTATGCAGGGCTCCTGATGCAGAGTAAATATGCAGATCTTGTTGCTGTTTCTTCAGTGCAAATTCAAAAGCTTAGATGGATTTGAAGTTCAAGGCTCTCACAACTTACAGTGACAGAGAAGAAGAGGCAAAGCTGTAACTGTTTGAGAGTTGGACAGAACTAGCCTAGAGATGTCTATTTGGCTGAGAAAGAACTGAACCAGGGAAACTGAGCATGAGATGAAAGCAGAAGAGTAGACATTGGCACAGTGCAAGAAAAAGAAGTCGAGAAGCGGAGATTGCAGAATGGGAGAGTGCGGCGCCCAAAGAGTGAAAAGTTTTAGGGCTAAGAGATGTGGCGTCGTTTTATAGATGAGAACGTAATAGAATAGGTTAGGGGTCGTCAACGTCAATGGGCTGGGCTTTCTAGGGTTCGTCAATGCGCTGGGCTTTCTAGGGCTCGTCAATGGGCTGGACGTAATAGAATATGCAAATCTTGTTGCTGTTTCTTCTGATACATCCCAAGTTTTCACCTTGATATTTGATCTGTGAGATATTGTCTTTTGCCGCATCAATTTGGCAATGCATTACGCAGGTCAATCGGCTGTTCACTCACATTCAACAACAATTGTCGACGGTCCAAACACATCATCAATATAACAATATCAATAAATAGAGCGTAACAATCAATCAAATTATAAACTCTCATCCAATTAACAACATCAATCAATGTAAATATCATATTAACAAATTCTAATCCATAAAAAAACACTACATATATCAATTTCATTATTTTAAAAAAATATATAGAAATTCTACTAACTTGAAATTATGGGAGGCGGCGGCAACACAAGGGCTGTTGTAGCAACAGGAGGTGATCGGCGTCGGTAGAGTGGCGGCAGGTGTTGTGGCTTAGGGTTTGAAAGAGGGAGTGCGAGACTAATTTGGGAATTAGAGGTTGGGGGGTTTGGTGGTAGTATAGTCTGGTAGAGCACCTCTACCCCAAAAGGCAAGGGTCAGGCAAAGGCAAAGCAATGTTTGACACTATTCATATGAATAGTATCAGCCTTGCCTTTTTTGGTTCCACCCCAAAAGGCAAGGGTAAGGGCAAACACTATTGACTTTACTTTATTTTCTATTTTTTTATACTTAACTATTAATTTTTATAGCTTTTCAGATAATATTTTTGGTTGCCACGTGTCACTATTTATTATAAAATTCCCACATAACATTTCAGATAACATTTTCGGATAAAATTTTACAATTAAATTTTCAGTTGCCACGTGTCCATCAAATTTCGGATAAAATTTTTGGATGAGATTCTCAGTTGCCACGTGACTTATTTTAGATAAGATTTTCGAATATTATATATATATATATATATATATATATACAATCTCATATTTAAGATAAGATTTTCACCCTCTAAAATTGCGCCATCTGTGATCTCTATCATCTAAATCCATCTATAAAATTACACCCTCAACTCATACCTCTCACATCATATCTTCTTTATTCTTTCATTTCTCAGATTTTACAAAACATATTATACTCTTAATGTCTAACCTGAGAAGGGTGTTGGAGAGGCAAAAGCGAGAAGATGAAGAAATCAGGCACAGACGTGCTGAAGAAGATCGTGAGGCCGATGAAGAGGAGGAAGAAATGGTTATAGCGGTGTGTATACTCAATGAATCAAGGCAACACCACCGTCGTCGTGCCCTGAATGTGGACAGACATAGGCAGTCTCGGGGTAAGAATTTCTTGGAAGATTTCTTGAACACGTCATCAGTTAACGTCTAACTTAACGGTCAACTTAACGGAAGGCGTAAATTGGTCAAATTTAAAAACCATGGGGTGTAAAATGATTAAATTGAAACTCAATGACCCATATTGAGAATGACCCCAAACCTTTTTGGGTTCTTTTGACGTTAACCCTAAAAAAAATAGAACAAGCGCAGTGCCAATAAGAATCGTTTTTCTTAAGTGGCATCTAAACTTTATCCTTACACTTCAATTTTCTGATAATTTTTTTCTTCCGTATTTGGAATCCATCGTCCTGACATTGCGGTGTATAACCTCAAGCTAATGATAACTATAATTATAATACAAGTAGGAGAATCCTGAGTACAATGTCTTGTTAGATGAAGAGTTTCTTTATTACTGGAACTATGGTGTTTTTTACATGTTGAGGTACCTAGTGGAGTTGTAACATTTCTTTTTCTTCACACTGGTATAATCAAGCATGCATAAACAGGACGCATCAAGCATAAGCAACTCTGCTACAGAACAGCAGATTCTAGTAATTATATTCTCTCTAGATTTTTCTTGCCATGTAACACCCAACTGGGATCTTTCATGTTTTTCGCAATTTGCTTTTAATTGTTATATTTACTTTCTAGTCTTGCCAAGAAAAAAATTCCAGAAAATGCCCTTGATTAATGCAAACATTAAGAATTAAAATTATTAATTAAATGAGGATAATATGATAAATTCACACTTTTTCATATTTAAAAAAAATTAAAATTAAAAGAAAAATCAGATAATGGATCATATTTTTATGGAACACAATAAGGACTTCTCCTCGTGAGCCTTCCAGAATTCACAAAGGCCGTTTTACCTTCACCATGGAAAACAATGAAACTAGGGTGTCTACCACTGCGTTGGCTTCTAAGGTGCAGAGTCATTACGAAGCCTTCAGTCTTGTTGGGAAAATTTTTGGTGTCCCTGTTCCTAGGAAGGCCATTAGGAATAGACTGAAAAGTGACTGGAAAGATATGCAAGAAGAAGTCTCTGTCAATCACATTGGCAGAGATTGGTGTAAGATTGAATTTGGTGCTGTGGAGGATGTAGAGTTTGTTCTCAAACACAGACCTTGGTTTGTCCAAGGTCAAATTTTTGCGTTGCAACAGTGGAGACCTGATTTCTCTCCTTTCCATGCAGCTGTTGAGTCCATTGTCTGTTGGGCGAGAATTCCTTTCTTGCCGTTACACTATAAGGATCTTGAAGTTTAAAGTGATTTAGTCTCTATCCTTGGGACCCCGATTTGCATTGACCAAGCTTCAATGGTGGGAAAACAAAGCATGTTTGTTCGTGTTTTCTTGGAAGTGGATTTAACCAAGCCTTTGAAGAGGTGTCTTATTCTTAGTGATGAACCAAAAGAAACTCGTATTTATATCAGTTATGAGGCTCTGTTTGCAATTTGTTTTTATTGTAGCCAGAAAAAAGAGCCGAGTCATGTTTACCCTGTCAAAATTTCTAACAAAAATTATCTCCAAGTGGAGAGACTAAGCAATGAACCTAGTTTCTTCCCTAGGGACTTGGTGCTAGACGAGGATGACCATAGGAATATGCAAGATGATGTGATCCTTGTGTTTCCTCAACCGATTATGGTTGAAGACATCCATAAGAATGAGAATGGTGAAGAGGTTGAGGAAGACAATCTGCAGAATATTGATGAAAAAGAGGTGGGCTGGACAGTGGTGTCGGGTCGCAAAGGGAAAGGTAAGGGAGCTATGAGGGATGGTAGAACCTTCAAAGAAGTGGCGAGAGGGATTAGAATTACTGATGAGAGCTCTACTCCGATTCCTAAAGTCTTTTTTAAGGATGACAGGCCTAGTGGGATTGATAAGGGTAAGAAGGTGGTGTTGGATCCGAGCCTTTCTCTGGAGGAGCATAGCTCTTCTAATGCTAAGGCTTTTAAGAGCCCTAAGAAGAGAGCCAGAGAGCTCTTTGAAGAAGCACCGGAGGAGTCATAACCTAGTGTGGAAATTCTGGGGGTTTTTCACCCTTCTGACCGCGAAGATTTCAACCCCAATCCATGAAGATTTTAGTCTAGAATAGCCGAGGCAGTGCTTGGCGTGGCTTTATTCTCCAAACTCTGTTTTATATCAGTACCTTTTGCTTAGATGTTTTGTGCATTTTAGATTCCAGAGCCTCTCTGGATCAAGCTGATCGCTTGGTCCAAAGGCTAGGTTTTAATTGTAGTTTTTGTATCCCCTATGTTGGGCAATGTGGGGGGATTATTTTGATGTGGAATCCTGCTATCTTTAATATAAGTATTTTGAATTATCATGAGTGTTGCATTAACTGTGAGTTACTAGAACTAACTACCAATAAGAGCTGGACTACAACTTTCATCTATGCTTACCCTCAAAAAGCCAAACAAATCAATCTTTGGAGAGAAATTGTGTCTTTAAAACCAACTAATAATCACCCTTGGCTCTTGCTAGGTGATTTTAATAGTATTTGTTCTATGAATGAAAAGGTGGGTGGTTCTCATGACACCTCTCAAGCTATGAGAAATTTCAATAAGTTTATAGATGACTATGAAGTTTTTTCGTTGGCTGCTACTGGTGTTCCTTTTACTTGGTGCAATGGGCCTCATGACAACACCATTATTTACGAAAGACTAGACCGTGCTCTCACCAACCCGGATTGGATGAGGCTTGTACCTCATTCTGAACTCCAAAACTTGCCTATTGTGAGATCGGACCATGGTCCCATTTTCCTTAAGTGCAACCAAAACTCTAGAAAAATCTCTGAAGCTTTTAAGTTTGAAGCCATGTGGCTTGCCCATAAGGAATTTGACCAAGTTGTTTCACAGGTTTGGAATTGCTCTTATGTTGGAAATGCTGCCCAGCATATCCAAACTTGTTGTAATACTTTCAAATACCAACTTAAAAATTGGAATAGAAGTGTGTTTGGAGACCTTTTTCAGAAACTCAGAATCACCCAAGAAAACTTAGTCTTAATTCAAGAGCAATTGGCTCAAAATCCCTATGACCCTTTTCTGTTAGACCAAGACTTCAAGTTAAACACTGAGTTGAAACTTTTGCTTCAACAGGAAGAGGTTTTCTACGCCCAAAAAGCTAGAGCTAACTAGCTCCAATTGGGTGATAAAAATACTAACTACTTCCACACTCAAGCCCTTATAAGAAGAAAAAGAAATCAAATTCTTAGAGTAAGGGATCTTAATGGCCTGTGGGTTGAAGGTGAACTCCTTCCGGAAGCTTTCGTTCAAGCTTTTAAGCTTAGATTTATGGCTGAGCAGCCCCCTAATCATCACTTGATGTCGGATTTTCTCCGAGTAATTGAGCCGTGTGTCACCAGTTTAGATAATGAGAATCTCTTAGCTCCCGTCTCAGATTTAGAATTGGAGTGTGCTATAAAGAGTATTGGCCCTCTTAAAGCTCCTGGGCCGGATGGTTTACAAGCTGTCTTCTACCAGAAGTGTTGGGACAAGACTAAAAATTTAGTGAAATGTTTAGTCAATGATTTCCTTTCCAACAATATTCCCCTTCAGGACATCAACCATACCAACATTGCCCTTATTCCCAAAGTGGCCTCTCCTGAGTCTGTTAACCATTTTAGACCGATTAGCCTTTGCAATTTCTCGTATAAGATTATCACTAAAATCATTGTTTAGTCGGCTCAGGCCTATCCTTGTGAAGTGCATTTCCAAAAACCAGGGAGCCTTTGCCCCTGGCAGGTCTATATTTGACAATATTCTCATTGCACATGAATTGTTCCATGACTTTAAACGTAAGAAAGGTTCTAGGGTTGCTATGGCTATTAAACTTGACCTTGAAAAAGCTTATGATTTACTTGATTGGAAGTACATTAGAGGGTGCCTGAATTAGTTTGGATTTAGTAACGATTGGTGTGATCGCATTATGAATTGTGTTTCAAGCACTTCTTTTTCCATGCTGATTAATGGATCTCCTTATGGCCATTTTAATGCTTCTAGAGGAATTCCCCAAGGAGATCCCCTATCTCCTTACCTTTTTATTCTTTGCATGGAACCTTTTATAAGACATTTGAATTTACTTGCTCAGAATCCTAAAACTCATGTAGGTCTTCTCTCTTCCCAGGGAGGCGACCGGATCTCTAACCTGGTTTTTGCTGACGACTGTCTGATTTTTGTCAGGTCAACTGCTATAGCTGCTAGAAATATCAACTGCTTATTGGATAATTTTGCTAAAGTGTCAGGGCAGAGAATAAACCTACATAAGTCCACCGTTTATTTTTCTGGTAATGTTCATTCTCAAGCTTGAAATGCTCTAAGCAACCTCTTGCAAATTCAGCATAAAACCACGCTTGGTCGCTACCTTGGCATACACAGTATCATTTTTTTGGAAAGATCCTGCTAATGCTAAGATGATGGTGGATAGAATTCAATCCAAATTTGCCAGCTGGAAGGCCCAAACTTTATCTAGGGCGGGGCGGCTCACACTAATCAAGGCTAGTGTTTCGGGTGTCCCCAACCACACTCTGTCGTGTTTCAAGTGCCCTAAAGTAGTCAGTAAGGAAATGAATTCAATCTATAGACGTTTCTTCTGGGGCCACAACATTAAAGTTCCCCCTGTGGCCTGGAAAGACATTTGCTTGCCTCAAAGTATGGGAGGCCTTGGGGTCAGATCTGCTTCTCTTTTCAACAAAGCGGCATTAGCAAAACTAGGTTGGATCTACTTAACTGATTCCTCCAATTGGTGGGCTCAAATTATGGTGGAGAAGTACTTGAAGAAGGAGGGTTTTCTTGTGACTGCTAAAAAAACTTCGCATTCCTCGACTTGGAAAGCCATCCTTGAGGCACGTTCTGTGCTTCACAAAGGTATAAGGTGGATTGTTGGTAATGGGCAATCCATTCCTTTCTGGAGTGCTAATTGGGTTTTTCCTTTTTCTTTGTTAGATCTAATTCCTGTCTTCCTTAGAAATAATCTTAATTTAAATGCTAAAGTGTCTTCCATGCCCTGCAGGTTGAGACCACCGCCAGAAAAGCCTCCACCTCATCACGGATAGACCCCTTGGTGTGGAAAAATATTTGGAAAGCTGAGGTCCCGCCAAAGATAAAAAACTTCCTATGGCGTGCGACCCATGATAGGCTACCTACAGCGATGGCTCTCCACAAACGCAAAATTGCTCGAACCCCATTATGTCCTATATGCCAAGCTCATGAGGAATCTATTGAGCATTTGCTCCTCTTTTGCCCGTGGGTCGAATTGATTTGGTTTGGAGGCCCTCTTAATTATAAAATTGACAAGCAGGGAATTACCACCTTTGACCAATGGTTGCTGAAATGTACCATGGATGGGCTCCAATCTAAGGAGGAGAAAAGGCGCATATCTTGCATTATTGCTGTTACTTGCTGGATTATTTGGAAATCAAGGAACCGTTTTGTCTTTGATCAATGCAAACCACAACCCCTCTTGGCCATCAAAACCATTCTTTCTCAAGTGGAGGAGCTGGCTGCGTTGAATAACAAAAGGAATGTGAGGAGGCTTTACGAAGGACCCTCTCCAAATCCTACCTCTTGGACAACCCCGGATGCCCATGTCATTAAAGTTAACTTTGATGCTACTTGGTTGGCATCCTCTGGCAAAGCAGGAGCAGGTCTTATTGCACGAAATGCTAATGGTGAGTTCGTGGGAGCGAAATGCCTATCCTTTCAAGCGGAATCTGCGATCATGGCTGAGGCAATTGCTGGTTTGGAAGGTTGCAAATGGGCATCTGAGCTGGGCTTATCTGAGGTTTGCTTTGAATTTGACTCCAAAGAGCTGGTTGAGAGCGTGAAAGGAAACATAAAACGTGGAAGATGGAATCTATACCCACTTATATCAAGGATTCGTGAATGCAACTCCATCTTCTCAAACTGTAACTGGGCATGGACTGGTAGGAAAAACAATGAAGCGGCAGATCATCTTGCGTCGCTGGCACTATCGAGGTCGAGTCCGGAAGTCTGGGTATCCAGGCCCCCCACCTCTCTTGTGCATATCTTAAATCGTGACGGTCTTCCCTGCCCTCCTCGAGCCTCCACATAGCTTGCGCTGTTTCAAGTTGGCCATGACTCTCTGATTTTGGATTGTCGTACCATTCCCATTTCGTGGGGCTCTTTCTTGTAGCAGCTTGTATGAGGTTCTTTGAGTTTATGGCTTTACATGCACTTCTATTCTGTTGCATGGTTTGGTTTTTTCCTTGTTCTTTGAGTTGTAATTTGTTTGGTTTGCTCTCCTGCTAATGAAAGTTTCTTTCTGACCAAAAAAAAAGTGTCTGACTTTATTCAGAATCAGACTTGGAATTATGACAAGCTTTCTCAAGTAATTGATGATGATGTTATAGGGAAAATTCTAACCATTCCTTTGCCCTTATCTCCTCTTCCTGATAAATTGAGCTGGGGGCCTGCCCCTAATGGGAATTTCTCTATAAAATCTACTTACAATTTACAATTGCAGGATGAACAAAGTCACCCAAAAGCCCCCCTTTTGAAGAAAATGTGGAGTTTAACTCTCCCCCCTAAAGTTAAGCTATTCTCGTGGCTTCTCGTTCGGAAAAGACTGCAAGTTAGAAGCCACCTTTACAAATTTTTACCTAATATCAATCCAGAATGCCTTATGTGTAAGAATCATATGGAGACTACTAACCACTTATTTTTTGAGTGTCAGTTTGTTGTTAATATATGGAGGTGCACATATTTTTTCCCTAATTATATTCAGCAGAATTTTGATGGCATTGAGTGGCTGGCTTCGCTACCTCATACCAAGGCTGCTGATGGCCCAAATGCTCTTTCCAAAGCTCTTCTTCTATGCTGGCAGATCTGGGAAGCCAGGAACAACTGCATTTTTAAAGACATCAATCCACACCCAGTTAGAGTGCTAAATGTGGCTGGTCGCATTGGGCTAGATTATTGGAAAATTAACTCTTGCCCTCCTCAAAAATCTATTGGAAAGGTTAACATCAAGTGGGAACCACCGCCGCTGGACTAGGTTAAAGTGAATTTTGATGGTTCAGTGCGTGGGAATCTAGCTGCTACTGGTTTTGTGATTCGTGACTGGAATGGTAATGTTCGTTTAGCTGGCGGTAAAAACTCTGGTCAAGTTTCTATTACAGTCGCAGAGTGTTTGGCTCTTCGGGATGGTCTGGCGCATGCTAATTGTTAGTATGAAATTTGTATTGTCATTTCCTAGACTCTAGCATAGGTTGGGAGTTAGTGTGTAAATATCGTTTACTAGACGTTTTGGCGCAACACATTCAATCCCAGGTTTCCAAAGCATGACTTGACCGATATGAGGAATCTGATTTCAGGTAAATCATGACATAATCATGCATTCATTATAGGATTCCTAGTTGAAATTATTTTCACTCAAGTATTTTTATGCTAATTCTATTTTTAATAGGATTATATTTTATCTCTTAAGATTACTTTCCTAGTTGGACTCTATTTTGATTTAGATCAAAATATTATGTTTTCATTATCTTGGACTTGGAAAGGATGTTTTAATTAATATCCTATTTGGTTTCGTGTTTACATCTTGATATATATTGTTTAATTGGATAAACAAATGATGGTAGTGCAATGGAGAATATGACGAAATCATATAGGATTCTAAGACTATCAAATTGAATGCATGGCAAGATATTGTGTTGTGATTGTGGGCCTTCACGTGGATTGTGGAGAATAAGTTTTGTATAAATCTTTGTGTGCATCTCTTTAGTTTCGTAGAGTTTTCATATAGTTGGTTTGAGCATCTAAAATTCCAAGAAAGCTGTTGTGCATATATTTGAGATAAATCATCAAGTGTTCCATGTTTACTTGGTGATTTATCAAATCCTTTCTTCATTCATATTGTATACATATGCATGTCGGTGACTCATACGGTTGAGGGCACCAAGACCGTGGTGGCGGTTTTCCTCCGGCGAGCTTGAAGCAATCGTGACCAGTATTGTGTTCAACATAAGGAGTGTCGAAGATCATCCCGTGACAGAAGTTGAGTTACGAAGAAGTCGGTAAACATTATCTAGAATGTGTCTAGGATAAGTGTGTGAGTACTTCTTGTAATTATCGTTCTATAGTGGATTTGTGTTGGACTGAGGAGTCCCGTGGATTTTCCCCAGAGGTGGGGTTTTACCACGTAAAATAATTCTCTGCGTGTTCTTTTATTTTATGCCCAGCACGTTACAGGATTGATAAGCCATATCAATCCTGCTACCGAAGTTTATTTTTATTTATTTGATTAGAATCTTAAATTGGCCTATTCACCCTCCTCTAGGCATTTTGAGTCATCCTGCAAGTATTTTCAATTGGCATCAGAGCAGGTTGCTGGACATACTCAGCAAGATCTAACATACCTTAGGATGGATCGTGCCTCGGGCTCAATTGCACATCCACCATATTTCGATGGCAACAACTATGGCGCTTGGAAGGCCAAAATGAAGTCGTTTCTTTGGTCCTTAGATGAACGTGTATGGAGCACAGTGGTTCATGGATTTCCTAAACCCACAAAGACGATTGGAAAAGGAGATGAAGAAACCACAGTCCTCAAAACTAGAGAGGAGTGGACCACTGCAGACAGTGGCGGATCTAGGAATTTTTCAGGGAAGGGGCAATGTTAAAAGGCTAAAACATCCGAAAAAATAATAATAATAACCAAATAGCCTTACAATTTAAACAACACTAATATTATCCATAATTAAAATAAATAAGAGTTTTACGTCTAAGCCTAATTGACTATAATCTATTTTCTATATAAATTAAATGCACAAAGTTCATGTTACACAATTATTTACCAAAATTAATATCAAATATGAACAAAATGCATGTCAATTACACAATTAGTCTATCAAAATTCATATGAAATCATCCATTAATCTAACCAAAATCAATACCAATTAATCTAACCCAAAGTACATGTGATTTGGAGGTCACAAGATAAAAGTAGATGTGATTATGAGTTTGGTGTATTTTTCGGTGAATTTTTTGGAGAACATATGAATTTTAATGAATTTTTAAATTTGGTCTAATTAAAATTTGACACATGGCGCCCTGATAGTGGACCACATTAAAAAGGAATGCAAGTTGAGAAGCACAGGATTCTAACTACAAACACAAGTCATCTTCTTCTTCGGCTGGTTGTGTCTGCAACTCAAGTGAAAATTTTTCAAAATCTTCTAAAATCTATAACTTTGGTTGTGGAGGTCCAATTGATGAACCGTTTTCTCCTACGTGATCGTGAGATCGAGCTCAACAATCTAAGGTAAATATTCAGGGTCTCACACAGCAGCAACAAAACAGCCTCTTTGAGGCTTTTAATCGAACACTTGGAGGGCACAAGCAAAGGGGCAAATTCCTGCATCTCCAACGCATTTTCCTGCGAGAGGAGGTGCACCTGCACCTCCTTGCACCTCTGTAGATCCGCCACTGACTGCAGAAGTCACACACAGCACTAATAATCAAAAGGGGTTAAATGCTTTATTTACTGCTGTCTCTTCCGATCAATTTGAATATATATCTTCTTGTGATACTTCTAAGGAAGCTTGGGATATTTTGCAGGTTACTCATGAAGGAACAGATACTGTCAAGGGAGCCAAGCTTCAAATGCACACTTTACAATTTGAGACACTTATGATGGATGAGAATGAAACTTTTTCTGAATTTTATGTTAAACTTTGTGTAATTGTGAATGCTTGTTCAGGTTTAGGTGAAAAAATTCCAGAAGATAGAGTTGTGAAAAAGATTTTGAGATCCTTGCCTCAACGGTTTCAACCAAAGATCACGGCTATTGAAGAGATCCGTGACTTGAACACCTTGAAAGTTCAAGAACTCATAGGGTCCATACAAACCTATGAGATGAAACATCTACCTCCTAAAAAGAGCAAAAATGTTGCGTTCAAGGTTGTGAATGAAGAAGATGATGGGCATTCAAATGAAGATTGCAGTGATGAGGAATTAACGATTCTCACAAGAGGATTCATGAACTTTCTCAAGAATCAGGATCCAAGGAGTCGAGATTCAAAAGGTATAAATTCTAAAAATAGGTTTGTTAACTATACTGATGGTGGATCTAAATTTCGCAGGTTAAATGAACGAAAGAATCCAAGAGAAAAGGTCAAATGTTTCGAATGTGAAGGCTATGGACACATATCTTCGGAATGTGCCAACACCTTAAAGAAACAAAAGGATGGCAAGAATAAGGCAATGCATACTACTTGGAGTGATAGTGAATCGGAATGCGAGAATGATGAAAAGACGGTTGCACTTATAACCACAGTTAGCTTGGATGAATCACGTGAGGATGATGATTGTAAAGGTATAAATATTGAGTTTATCATGAACAAATATGATGATTTGTTGGCTGCATCTCAGAAGCTCAGTAAACAAAATAGTGAGCTCGTCAAAGAAGTTGCTGTGCTGAAGCTGGAAAATTGCAGGATTGCAAACGAGTTTCAATCCCCTGATGCAGATTCCGAAAAGGTAAGTGCAGGTATGAACGAAAAATTGATGTTTTTGCAGAAAAAATTGACTGATCAGAATAAATTAATTGCTTCTCTAACTTCTGACAACAAAGCCCTTGAACTTGAACTTAAAAATTCAAAAGAAAAGGATTGTTTCTTTAACCATTGGTGCAGAAAAAATTGACAAGATGATTAGCATGGGACGAAGAGATGGTGACAAACGAGGCTTGGGATTTGAACCAAGTAATAAGTCTTCCGCTGTGTCTAAAACAAAGTTTGTCAAATCCACTTCACCTATTGAACCTTCTGCCTCTCATGAAGTCAAGAAATTTATTCCAATTTGTCACTTTTGTGGAACTCGTGGGCACATAAGACCGAGATGCAATAAGCTTCGAAACGAATTTGTTCGTTCAAATTCTCATGGCATGGGTGGAAAAGTAAGTATCCAACATAAGATTTCAAATCTTATGAAAGAGGTAAACCGCTTATCCAAACTATCTTCTTTTCATTGTTTGCCGTCAACTAAGACAAAGTTAGTTTGGAGGGAAAAAGGAAAATCATAATTGTATGTCTTCCTCCACTAATGTTGTGCATGAACCCGTTGCTTTAGAAAGTTTGGATCTTAAATGTATTGCTGCAAAACCCTTGGATAATCTTCGATTTGACACTCTTAGAAAGTCTTTAGGTATATGTGCTCTAGATTAATTTGGAGTCTATTGCATGCCAAAGCCTCTTTCATGTTTTATGATATTTCAATTAATTTTGTGTTTATAAATCTGTCCAGCTCGTGCAAGGATTGTTAAGGTGTATCAATCCTGTAACTGTCTGAACGTATTTGTTGATCTTAGATTGGGCTCTGACATTGCACTATATTAAGAACTTACACTCTCAGCTTCACACAAAGGTTTCCATTGTCTTGGTGCATTATAAACTTCATTAAATGATCTATCCATCTATTTATTTTTATTTTGCACACCACACTCTTTTCCTTGAAGTCCTTTGAATATCTCTTATCATGCACTTGTCTCTCTTTGGATTGCCATAACACTACTGTGCGTAAGTTCTTGATCTGTTTATAAAATAAATAAATAAAAAAAAGGGTGTCAACCACTCATTGCTCAATAACCGGGCCTCTTGTCTAAACCAACGTCGAGGTTCGAGTCAACAGGTTGTGATGGTTTGCTATCCTTGCTTATCTTTGGAGCCTTCATGATTCGGATCAGTATTTCCCCAGGGGTGCTTCATCACCCAGTTGCCTCCAGTCATCTGACGTAAGCACACTGATTGACCATCCGTTACATGGATCATGTCGAAAGCTAGATAAAGTGAGCCACAAAATTCGTATTAAAAAATATATATATAAATTGATCTTCTTATACTTACTATGCACTTAGTGTTTGTGCAATCTTTGGTGGGATTCGTCTTGTGTGGACATATTTTTTGTGCTTAATTGAAAAAGAGTTCATTTAACACATTTGCTCCTTGATGGTAGACTCATTTGATGCCTTTTTATCTTTCACCATGACTGTGGTATGCCTCTACTGTTCTCTGTGAGTTTGTGAGTCTCGTGTGCTGTCGTGTGTTTGTCCCTGACATGCTTTGCTTCACATGCGTTCAAGACAGCAAAGGGTTTGTTGCTTCTTTCATTCTTTACCCACAAACTTGGCATGTTTATGAATGGAAAATAATTATATCTTCAAGAGAACTTTGGGTCTGCATCTACAGTATGTTTTATGTCTTGATTGTTTTGAGCTTTCTGTCTTGAGTGTATTGCTTTTGTTTTTGTATGTTTTGGTTCTTAACAACTTCTCATTATTCTTTTTAGTTCTCTATTTTCCTGTCGCTTATCCAAAAAAAAAAAAAAAAGAATTTTCTGTTTGTTTTCAAGATAAAGCCTCTTACATGCTTTATTGGTTATTCTCTATGTCTTTATATGTTGGGAATGCAATCTGGTTTTTTTTATTTTTTATTTTTTTTCCCTCTTATATATGCTCCCTTATGTTCATTCTTTGCCCTTTGGATTTCCTGACAAAAAGGGGGAGAGATTGTGTTGTGGAATTAAGGGGGAGAGATTGTGTTATGGAATTAAGGGGGAGTTGTGTTGTAATTCTGCTTTGAATTACATTTCTTCTCCCACATGCTTCACTGGTTTTGTTGTTTCATAATGTGCAGGGATTCAGGGCTTCAAGCTTAGAATAAGAATTCATTTGTTAAATCCCATGTAATTTCTTTTGAGTTGTAATAGGTGTTTTGTCTAGGAAATGCCAAAGGGAGAGATTGTTAGTATGAAATTTGTATTGTCATTTCCTAGACTCTAGCATAGGTTGGGAGTTAGTGTGTGAATATTGTTTACTAGACGTTTTGGCGCAACACATTCAATCCCAGGTTTCCAAAGCATGACTTGACCGATATGAGGAATCTGATTTCAGGTAAATCATGACATAATCATGCATTCATTATAGGATTCCTAGTTGAAATTATTTTCACTCAAGTATTTTTATGCTAATTCTATTTTTAATAGGATTATATTTTATCTCTTGAGATTACTTTCCTAGTTGGACTCTATTTTGATTTAGATCAAAATATTATGTTTTCATTATCTTGGACTTGGAAAGGATGTTTTAATTAATATCCTATTTGGTTTCGTGTTTACATCTTGATATATATTGTTTAATTGGATAAACAATTGATGGTAGTGCAATGGAGAATATGACGAAATCATATAGGATTCTAAGACTATCAAATTGAATGCATGGCAAGATATTGTGTTGTGATTGTGGGCCTTCACGTGGATTGTGGAGAATAAGTTTTGTATAAATCTTTGTGTGCATCTCTTTAGTTTTGTAGAGTTTTCATATAGTTGGTTTGAGCATCTAAAATTCCAAGAAAGCTGTTGTGCATATATTTGAGATAAATCATCAAGTGTTCCATGTTTACTTGGTGATTTATCAAATCCTTTCATCATTCATATTGCATACATATGCATGTCGGTGACTCATACGGTTGAGGGCACCAAGACCGTGGTGGCGGTTTTCCTCCGGCGAGCTTGAAGCAATCGTGACCAGTATTGTGTTCAACATAAGGAGTGTCGAAGATCATCCCGTGACAGAAGTTGAGTTACGAAGAAGTCGGTAAACATTATCTAGAATGTGTCTAGGATAAGTGTGTGAGTACTTCTTGTAATCATCGTTCTATAGTGGATTTGTGTTGGACTGAGGAGTCCCGTGGATTTTCCCCAGAGGTGGGGTTTTACCACGTAAAATAATTCTCTGCGTGTTCTTTTATTTTATGCCCAGCACGTTACAGGATTGATAAGCCATATCAATCCTGCTACCGAAGTTTATTTTTATTTATTTGATTAGAATCTTAAATTGGCCTATTCACCCTCCTCTAGGCATTTTGAGTCATCCTGCAGGTATTTTCACTATTCATAAGGGTTGGCAAAAGATTCTTGTGGAAGGTGACTCAAAGCTTATCATTGATTGTGTTCATAATCTGGTTTCGATTCCCTGGAGCATAAGTATCCTTGTGCAAGACATTCGATTGCTCAGTTCTTGTTGCGAAGAGATTTCTTTTAAGCACATTTTTCGGGAGGCTAACTTTACTATTGATGCTGTTGCTAGCTTAGGCCATAGTCTTACTCCCGGTTGTGGGATAGGGGTCTACTGTTAAGCTGTACTATTCCTTTTATTTTGACTTAATAGGGCCTGCGTGCCCGCGTGATTTCCAGTTGTAATTCATTTTCCTTATTTAAAATATATAAAAAAAACCTATCCATTATATTTTTTAATTATAAAATGAATTTAATTTTTTTTTTAAAAGACCTCTAACTGGTGCGGAAGCGCATGCAAAGAGACAAGTTATAAATTATGGCTGGTTTATGCTAGAGATTTATAGTTGTGATCTCAAAATAACCCAAAGCCCATTTTCAAAACCACCCAAACAAGTTTACAAGTCTGGCACCGGAAACATCCAAACCCTCCCTTCAGCACACAACCCAAAATTCGGGGTCTGATTCTCTCTCCACGATCTGAAACCCACTACACAGTCAACCATCGATCTCCAAACTTACAAGACATTCGAAATGTCAGAAAAAGCATCAAACCAACGCAGAAAGCTACAAAAAGAGCACCATTCATCAACAAAGACGAGAAGGGTAAAATCTCAAAATAAATCTTCCAAAATTCTGATTCTGCTAAATTTTGAAGCTAATCATACTATGCAATAGACTTGCGCAGCAAAACCACAATCTCCGACCAACAAAATTAATTGAAAGATGTTGCATGCAATGTAATGCAATGCAGAGCTTATCTAGATCTGGGTAAATCTTTCATACCTAGGCGCTCTTTGTTTCTCACCCTATACATTGCTATGCTAGCAAACGAATGAGCAAGTGTACCAATGTCATGCACGCCCCGTCTTTCTTCTGCCAAAATAGATGCCCACTATAAAAACATGTTAAATAACTCAATGCTTGATGACTTTCTTCTCCCAGCTATTACCCAGCAACAATAGTACACTGATTTACTACTTGGTTTACTGGATGCCATACAAACAACTCATAAGGCTAAGGTACAAGACCAAAGCAAACAAATCAAAGGCAAAAGAACTCACATCAACAACAGAAAATGAAGAAGAAGAAGACACTACAACACAAGGAGCAGAACAGAACAACCCACCAACACAAAATCCCACAGCCACCAGACATAATTAGTATATTTTCTGCAGTGCATTCACCTTGAGCATTGAAGGCAATCATGGTGTAGAAAGATTACTAATCCATTGTATTCATCCTCTCCAACAGTTGCATGATATCAAGCCAAGTTAGGTGCTTTTCAATTTCAAATTATGTGAAAAAACAGTCTATTAACATTGGTGCACTAATAGTCGAGCAATAACAGTGTAATAGCAGAACTTTGAACAGAACAAAATACATAAATCAATCACATCTCAAGAAACAGAATGGATTTCAAAAACAACATCAATAACACTAAATTGAATAACAACCAGAAACGGTATGTCAAAGATTAATATGCATACCTCAATATGAACTAATACAGTTGAACCAAGAACCTCATTTTTTTCACTTTCTTTTTAATTTTTTCAATCCGAGCTAGAAATTGGGATCCAAATATTTGTACATGCTTACTGATATAAAATCACAAGAAAAATTATAAGTGGCCAATAAATATAAAAAAGCGCATCGTAACAGCAACAAAACATTCCAGGTGAAAGGGAAAAATCAAAATATTGAAATGGGTTAAGAAAACAAAATGTTATCCAATAAACATTGGAACACATCTCCATGGGTTTTAAGGAGAAGGTTCAAGCAGAAAGGATTTTTATTTTGATTTATGCACAAATGTAATCCTGGAAACAATTTTCACAGAGAATAGGTTTCCAAGAAGACCTATGTGCTAGAATATATGCATGGGCAAGAAAAGCTAAAAATGTTAAGACAGAGAGTTAACAAGTTCGCCATACTGACTACCTTAAAAGCTTAATGGTGAATCCTTGATATAAGTTAATATGTAATGGCAGTACCAATTCAATAAAATACAACGCCCAAATCAAAGGTAATTAGCCCATGACTCTAATTTAACAATGTTTTAAATTCATCACCGATAACAGAAACACAAGTATAAAATGTGACTCCACACTAAACTTCGAACTCATGGAAAATCCTTCAAAATCTTTAAGATAAGCAAGCAGCTGGAACTCGACTCGATTCCTTCATTCACTTGTTGATTCCACGGACTCCACAACATCAATCAAAACTAGCATTTAAGAACTTCAGCAGTTCATTCCTTTTGTTTTCAGCCGCTTTGTCCTCCTTTGTCTTCTCAAGTTTCAATAGAATCTGCAACACCAAAGAACAAAATTTCTCTTCTTCTTTTTTATCTAGCCAGCACAAGGGAGGATAGATGGTCGCAGATGCCCCTAACATCTCTTATAAATCTTTGCAAATGGTCAAGATATATATTACCCAAAAAAAATGCTTACCTTTTTGCCAGAGACAGCACTACGACGAACTCCATCATCTTTGTCACGCCCTAAGAACTGTAGAAAGCAAAATATTATTTCACAAAATGAAACATACAGAAAAAGTTGAGAATGTAATTATCAAGAGTTAAATGAAAACCTTGGAAAGCTGAACAGGGCTGCTATTTCTCTCATTCTGCTGCTTCTATATATGGCTCCCATTACCAGGAAAAACACAACCCAGAAACAATATCCAGGCAAGCCAATCAAGCATCCAGTCATCATGCCACAGACCCCAGCTCCAATTTCGAAGAGCCAATCCATAAAACAGGCAGAAAGTACTATAAGCACCTCAGCAATTGATTTATATAAATCATATGCATCCAATGTAAAACATTGTGAATGCAAGAAATTGTGCACGTGTATGTGTCATAGTCTTTTTTTGGTCAATTGTATGTGTCAGTTTAACTAGCATAAATGCATAAGTTCGAAAAAACAAAGAATATATCCATTACGCATCTTTCAAACTTTTTTTAGTCATGCTAAAAAAATTTCACTTTCTGAATCTGGATCAAGATGCACCCATAACAATATTAACAAACACAATAGAGTTACCAACATATATCTTAGTTAAGCCATGGTAACAGCCTTAACACAAATTCTAACAAAAAAATCATATCAAGCCAAGAGAGCTACAAAAAGCATACTGGCCTACCTCTTTGAGTTTACTCCTATGATGTTTACGGCGATGACTCTTGCTCTGGTCCTTTTCCTTGCTCTAGAGGGGAAAGGAGTAATTGAATGAGACAAAACACAAGCAGAAAATGTAATGTTATGTCGTAAAGAATTGCCAAACACCCACCTTCTTCTGTCTGTCACTCTTCTTGCGCTTCTTTGACTGACTAGATGTTTCACGCTCACTGTCTGAAGAACTATCACTGCGACAATAAACAATACACAAAGGATGTTAAAAAAACAGCCATCGACCATTAGCCTATGAACATCTTCTAACTTGCATCTAAACCACATTGCCCAGTAACAGAATGATTTCACATTAAATTTCTAAGAGCAGAAAAACCCATAACAAAACATACAAATCACTTCAGCAACCCAAATGTTTGCTCAATTAGCATATAGTCCTTATCAGTTATGCTGTTTGACGCACCTCACAAGGTCCATACTTCCTCAATACAATCCACTACTTATTCTTTGAAAACTTAAGCTTCCAGATCGAAACCCATGCTACAATTTAATTTATAATCTATTTGAATAAACTGAGACATACATGTTTATATATATAATGAAAAACACGAGAGAACTCAACTTTGAGCTGAAAATAAGCTAATTTTGCCCAGTTGTGTCGTTTCGAAACTTTACAATGTTAGCTACAAAAACTACACAACGCACTAATTTGCAATAAATTACACATCCATGTTAAACACCGAATAAACCCCAATCGGGGTTACTCAAAATTAGTCAGAATTCAAAACCCTAAAACCTCCTACCCCTTCCAAAGATTAATCCACAATCAAACAGGGGACAAAATTGAAAAGGAAATAAAAGCCACCAGAAATCACAAATATAACATCTCAGCCCAGAAAAATATATATAAAACAAAAGCATTTTCTAAATTTTTGGAGACCTGGAATAGTCCGAAGGAGAGGAGGAAGAGTAAGAATCAGACGAGGAGTGGTGGCGGTGTCTGCGACGTCGTTTAGTGTGGGAGCGAATGGTCTTTTTACGGATCTTCAGGGAATCTCTGTCTTTATCTTTGTCTTTGCCTCGGCGACTACGTTGGTGGCGACGATGTCGGCGGCGAGACGCAGACGAAGACAACGAGGAGTCCGAGGAGTACACGGACAACGATGAGGACGAGGCCACCATGTCTAGAGATTGAGAGAGAGTTTGAGGCGACGAAGGGTTTGACAAACTGGGTTCGGACTACAACAACAAGAAAACTTTTGGTTTAAGTTGTTTTATTGGTTCTTTTCTTTATATTAACGAAAATACTTCCATCATTCCCATGTGTATACGTTTTTCTTTTTGTATTTTTTATAAATTACTTCTGCACATGTATCTCCTTCCAAAACAAGGAGCAAGTAGTAGACTATATTAATATCTTGAGATTTTTTCGTATTTTAACCAAACCACTTGATATTTTTCCAACTAAAAATTGTTGATATCATCAATAGAATTTCTTTAAATGACAAATTTAACTCTTGAAGCCTCATTGCCAACCGGGTTCATAGTTCAGTGGTAAGAGATTTATACTCTAATAACACCTCATTCTAAGTATAAAAATAAAAAATAAAAAATAAACTTACTTATAATGGGCGTAGCAAAAAGAGTCATCCGCACTACATAAGAGTTTCTCTCCTTCTTAAGGGTGGGCATGGATTGGGTTAGGTTAGTTTTGGTCCGCAACTTGTAACTCAACCCGATATATAATAGTTTATGATTTCTTGAATCTAGGACTCGCTCATCGTTAGATCAACCCAACCCAAACCAACCCTTATATGAACTTAGTGGGCGGTTCGGTCGAGTTAACTCATAATTCAAACTTATACAAAGCAGTTTATGATTTTTTGAACTTAAAAATCGCTCATTATTAGGCCAATCCAACCCTCTAATATCGAGTTGGATGGTTCGATCAGGTTGACCCGACACAGTGCCCACCCCTCCTCCCTCGCCCTTCCAAACTTGGACACAAAAAAACTCCTCAAGTCTAATCATTACAGTTAATCTTGTAATTTGAAGATTTTTTAATTTTTTTTTAATGAAATCATCTATTTTTTAACGAAAAATTAAAAGAACGGATTTTGTAAAACAATTTGAAACCTCAAAGGGTGTTAGTGTAATTTCCAAAAACTTAGAGTACTTTGTCAAAACACAACCTTTAGGAGATGTTAGTGTAAGTAATCCTTTTTTTAACAAATTTGGTTAATTAATTAATAAAAATAACAAATTTGGTTTGTAACTTTAGTAGTAGAAACTAGAAAGCATGTACCCTCTTATTAAGGCATAAGGTTCGAAGCTAAGATAAAGTATCTCAAATGATTCTATCCTACATGGTACTTTTCTTGTGCCAGTGTCATTGTCTGATTCTAACATTTTTGCCGTTTAATGTACTAAAATAAGAAAATTGGCACACCAAATCAAATGGCATGAAAGCATTGAAGATGAGATAGGATGAGGGGTTCGGGTACTAAAAACTAAAAAAATCGGAGGAAGAAAACAGGAGTCAGCAAAACAGGGATTTAATCTGAGCGTGCAACATAATGAAGTAGGAATTTAACCGCGAAAAAGCCGACATCTAGTGGCCCTGAAACCTCATGTACAGAGTTCAAAAAGAAGCTACAACATGATGCACAATGCAAGAAATCTGAAGTCCTGAATGGGGGAGAAAATACTAGTGCAAGGATCTTGATGATGTTTTGGACAGGCTTTCTCCTTGTAGATCTATTTACCACTGGAAAGCAAACAGATAATGGCACATATGATCCAACTGATCACATTGAACCTAAGATAAGATCATAATTAGCCCAGATAAACCAAATCCACTACTTTTCAAGTCAAGACTGATTTGGATTGGTTTCAGACCATTACACACAATTCCAAACCATCCAATGCATTCAAGCAACTAGGAACCAACTCCTACAAGCAGGATGAAAACAAACTAAAAACATGATACTTTTGGGAAGAAAAGAGGCAAAACACGTTTGTTATAACAAATTGTACAGCTTGGCAACATAATTATACAACTTGGCAACACCAGAATTCTTATGATTAAGAATTTAAAAAGATATTTTGTTTTAAAACAATTAACAAGAAAGAAAACAGCACCTATTCATGGGACTAGCACAGAGATTTTGCTCAGACATAGCTGTCAATCAATGATTTCCTCATTTCATCCACAATGGCACTAGGTTGAGCTTCCCTCAACTTGAAAACACTTTCAATAACTGAGAGTTCTGTGGCAGTGGTGTCTGATCCGCAGAATGCTGTCCAGTCATTCACTGTCATGCCTGCAGCTATCACTTCACTGCCACGATTGACTGTTCCAGCAACCAGAGGAACCTGTAGAAGCGTTGAAAGCTCGTCCAAGTCTTCAACAGATGTGTGGGGATGAACCTGCACAAGTGTTTTCAAAATTAGGATTTAGAGTGGAACCAAAGGAAAAAAGAAAAACAAAAGATGACACAAGAAATAAAAAGATCTTCAACAAAAGATGCCTCAGAAACACCAGCCCAAGAAAAACATGTTCTTACCATGCCACCTCTGTTGGTGAAGGCACAGTAACTGCCCACAAGGATATTACCAGCAATTGTCTGCCTAAAAACTTCCACGCCAAGTACATCTGCAATCATCTCCTCAGTTTCCTGAGTAAAACAACAAATAAATACATTAACAAATGCAGAGCCAATCTTAAATTTACTTGAATTCAAAAGGTTTATGTCATCTTCTAAATGGAAAAGGGTGGTTGCACAGTTGCACTGCAGCTTTGTTTACTTATCAAGATCTTGAGTTTCTGTTTAATTGGTGTTCATGGCTCTAAGTACATATGAGAACCAAAGTCTGCTTGCAACAAGCACATGAAACACCGCTTGCCACATATCCATATGATATCAGTCAAAACATACAAACAACCCAAATATAGCTTGAGAACCTCACCTTAGAACATTTCCAAAGAATTGGTTCTACAGTCAAAATGCCAAAAAAAGCTTTTAAAGTCTTAGAATTTGGAAGGTTTAAATGGCTTTGGTGGAGGAACCAAAATTGTATCGCCTATTCAATTCCTCTTTAACAAGCAAAGTTACATATTGCTTCTGAACCAAATTCAAACTTTTGCTGAATAGTCATGTATAACACAATATAATCACTCTCAATAGTTACATACAAGTCTATATAGCATAAAAAAAGTAGGAAGCCCAATGGCCCATGACATGTGCACGTGAGATGAACCAAATCCTCATCGAGTTTTAATTTTCCTGTATGAGATGAACCAAATCCTCATACAAGTCTACACAGGGTTGATTTTAGGATAGATGTATGATGCCTTCCAATTTTCCTATGATTCCAAAAAGGTTGGAGTTGCTTTGAATCCACAGAAAAACTCTGCTTCTTTCCTTTTTTGCAAGGGAAAGTAAACGCTAAACAGGAAATAACCAAAAAAAAATCTTCGGATAAAGTTAAAAAAATACTCTGTCAAGATCAGTGTGTGTAAGAGCAACATGATCATTGCAAGCAATACAGTTTCCAAGAGCAGATAGTCTCTCTTCAATGCGCTGAACAACAACATGATCAGGTAAACTGTTCCTCAAGTGCTGGAGTTCTTGATTTTCAATAAAAACAGAAGCTCAATAAGTCAAAACAGCAAACAAAAAAACCATCAAACAGAAATACCCAAAAGAAAAAGAAAGAGGAAGACACAAAGATTAAAACAAAAACCTTGGTCTGTGGTCGTGTGAGGCAAAAGAAGCCCGTTTTTGTTTCCTGCAATTTAAATTTAAATACTTTTTTTCAATATCCATAAATTTTAATTCTAGAATAATACCAAATAGGAAGCACATCAAAAGAAATTGAAACGAAACGAATACCAGCACAGAGGCGGCCAATGATGCGAGTGCCGCCAATGGAGGTTTTAACGACAGGGATGACATCTGCCAACTCGGCCTCGAATGTGCTGTAGAAATTCTCAGAGCCTCCGATGGAAACCAAACAGTAGGCATTCGTCAGCTTCGAGAACACCCCAACCTCGCACGAGTTCTCGAATTGCAATCCTTCATAGCCCCAATTAATTTTTCATTATTTATTATTAGGAACAAATATAAGAACAATATTCGCAGAACGATGATAAAGAAAAGAAAGACTTACTGGTAGCCATGGATTCAAGGAACGCCTGAGGTATGAGTTTGTTATGAGCTAGGGTTTTGGAGGGAGGAGGAAAATTAGGGTTTTTTATGTGTATAAGTAGGGCACCCAATAAAACCAAAGACAGGCTAATTATATTTTCTTCCATAAAAAGAAAAAGTTAATTATATTTTGATTGCAACAATTAAAAGTTGAATTTCACTAGATTTCCAAATAAAACTAAAGCGTTAAAAATAGTAAATAATAAAATGAAATAAAAGGAGTTTAATTAAGAAAAGAAATAAGTTTTAAAAAAACTTAGATGTTGGTTTAGTGATATATCTCGTTATAATGTATGAAAATTATATTGGTAACCAAAATTACATCCACCACTCCCATTTTGCGGGGTTAGACATGAAAAAATTATTTTCAAAAAATTCAATCTGCGAATCAAACAAACCCTGAAAATAGGTGTTTCGGCCCTTTAATATTGGGCAATAAAACAATAAAAATATTTTAAAAATTAACGTGGAAAAACAGCCAACCTAAGGCCATCTCCAACTATGAGGGCCAAACCCAAATTTTAGGATTATAGCCCCAAAAACCGAGTGCTTCTATAGTGAGTGGAAAGTTATAAGGGGTTTTTTTTGAGGGGTATGTAAGAGCCGTTGGATTTCATCCAACGGTGAGTTTTTAAAAGAGGGTGCATGTAGAACCGGGTTGAAATCTGACCCGTTTGGAAACCCAACTTCAGCTGAAGATTTTTCCCCTCTTTGTGGAAAACTCAAGAACACAATCCTCTCTTTTTTAATGTAATGCAAATCCACAATTAGAAAGATCCAAAGCTCCCAAACTCTATAATCGCTCCATTGTCATCAGCTCCTTGGGAGGCCTGCGATCTATGGTATCCTCGGTATGATGATTAATGGCTTTTACCTAGCTATTGCCCTGTTTTGATTCTATGATTGAAGTGAAAACCCCTTCTCTTTTCGTTCAGCAGAAGAGATTCCAGATGAAAGCAAAGTAGCATATCTCTTTTTCGTGCTGCTGCAGTTGTTCCTGGATTTTGGTAGAGATGGAGTCTCCACTACGAAAGAATCCTCTCTAATGTCCACCACATTCTTTGAAGCTGACTGAGTTCGGAACTCCCGATTGACTTTGAGAGGTAAGTTCACTGTTGCTGGATTGATTTTGTTGGGTTTGATTTGTTTTTTGTGAGGGTGAGAAATTTGTCATTTGTGGCATCAATAATGCGTCATTTGCTCTGCTATCAATAATGCGTCATTTGACTTTGAGAGGTAAGTTCACTCTTGCTGGATTGATTTTGCTGGGTTTGATTTGTTTTTTATGAGGGTGAGAAATTTGTCATTTGCGGCATCAATAATGCGTCATTTGCTCTGCTATCAATAATGCGTCATTTCCTTATGAATATTCAATATACTTAGTTGATTATTTTTGTTTGGAGGGGGATTGGAAAATTATGAAATGTAGGTAAAAGATCCTAAACTTAGGCTTAATGGCATTAGAAGTAAGCATTTGGAGAGGATATTGGGTGAAGTTCTGTAATTGCTGGTTTGAATTACATTTGAGTTCTTAGTTGAACATGTTGGTTCTAAGGTTATTTTTTCCAGATTATTTCACAAGAGATGACGTAACTATTATTAAATTTTGCTTGTGTTTTCTGTAATCAGAATCCAACAAGCTAAGCTATGCGTGTATTGTGTCAATTTGGGCAATGTTTTGTGTAAGTGGAATGCATTGATAAGTTGTGATGCAGTAATGATTGATTAATGAATTAACATTTGCTATGCAGTAATATAGAAGTAGATCATAATATACGTGGATAAAATGTCTGGGGGCTCAGAGAGTGATGACTCTGTAATAGCTAATGGGAGGGTTTACATTCCTGAAGTAAGAAATGAGGAAACACCAGCAGTTGGGATGAAGTTCGACTCGCTTGACCTCGTTTATAATTTCTATAATAGATATGCATTCTTGGCTGGCTTTGGTATTCGACTTCATTCCAGCTTTTGGGGGAAAAATAAGAAAGAGATTCTGAGAAAAGAATTTGTATGTTGCAAACAAGGTGCATACCGGAATGATGAAACTCGGGAGAGAAAAAGACAGCGGGGAATAAGTAGATGCAATTGCAAAGCTAAGATTGTGGTTGTGAAGACACATGGGAGCAAGAAGTATACCATCTCTCTTTTTGCAGAGGGACACAATCATAAGATGACACCCTCAGGAAGAATGCATTTACTGAGATCACACCGTCGTATTTCAGATTCTACAAAAGTACTTACAAAACAGTTGGGTTCGGTTAATATTCCCATTAATCAGAAGGTAAGTATTTTCGAGGTGCAATCCGGAGGAATGGATAAAATTGGTTTTATCAAAAAGGATATGTACAATCTTGAATGTAGTGTGAATGAGAAGCTGAGGAACCACGATGTTGAACTAGTGACCGAGTATTTTATGGCTGAACAGAAAAAAAATGAGGCTTTTTATTTCAAGATTGAGGGAGATGGCGATAACAGGTTTAGTCGATGTTTTTGGGCAGATGCAACTTCTAGACGGGCGTACGGGTTTTATGGAGATGTTGTTGTATTCGATACCACATTCAACACGAATAGATACGACTTGACATTTGCACCAATGTTGGGAGTTAATAACCATGGTCAAACAATTGTCCTAGCATGCGCATTTTTGAGCAAGGAAACGACTGAGTCGTTTATTTGGATGTTTGAGGAGTTTAAGAAAGCCATGCCAGGTGGCGAACCTAAAACGATCATCACAGATCAAGATGCGGCAATGAGCAGAGCGATTTCAATAGCCTTCCCGACTACATTTCATCGACTTTGCATATGGCACATCACATCAAAGTTCTCTGTTAAGTTACCACATTCTGCTTATAAGGAGTATTGGGGTGAATTCCAGAAAGCCATATGGGATACTGACAATAAGGATGAGTTTGATGCAAAATGGAATATTGTGGTTACAAAGGCTGGTTTGACTGACCATCCATGGCTAAGTTCAATGTTTGATTTAAGGGAATCTTGGGTTCCAGCCTACGCACGACACTTTTTTGCCGCTGGAATGTCAAGCAGCCAAAGAGCTGAATGTTCTCATGGTTTCTTCAAGCAATACATATCAAGGAAAAATTCGTTGATGGATTTCATAATAAGATTTGAGAGGGCACTTTCTCATCAACGTCAAAAAGAGTTAGTTGCTGATCACGTAGATGCATTTGAAGTGGCTCAATGTATTCTACCGATGCCAATGAACAAACAAATGGCTACCTTGTACACAAGGACAATGTTTCAAAAGTTTGAGCAAGAACTAATACAAAGTACAGCATGTTTCCTAGAGCTGAAAACAGAGGATGCTTCTAAAGTTGTCTTTAATGTGAGCGAAAGGAAAAATTGGGAAACAAGAGTGGCAGAAGTCGTATATGTCAAAGATTCTGACCACGCATCGTGTAGCTGCAAAAGATTTGAATTTGTTGGAATTATTTGCAAGCACATCCTAGCATTGTTCAGAAGGGACCAGATTGAATATATGCCCGATAAATACATTTTGAAGAGGTGGAAGAAAACTGCGAAATTTGGATTGGTGTCAGATGCAAATGGCAACGAAATTAAAGACTCTGCAGATCCTGGTCTTTTTATAAAGCGGAGTACAATGTCCCGACTTGCTTCAGATGTGGTTGAGGATGCATTAATGTGTGAAGAAGGATGTGAGGTACTGTCAGAGACTCTAAAAAGTTTGCAGGTGAAGTTGAAGTTGTTGAAGGATGGACCAAGTAATAACGAAGTTGGAGGGTCCAGCTCTCAAACACAATATATGAAAGACCCTAAGAGAGTAAGGTGCAATGGAGGGTCGAAACGAGTAACGGGAGCAAAGGAAAAGGCAATGAAGCGAGGGATTAGACACTGTCGGGAGTGTGGACACATTGGTCATGATAGAAGACAATGCCCAAGAAATTTGAACACACCGTAAGATGTTAACACTATTTATAATAAGACCTAAAATTTGAATAGGTAAAGTTCTTATGTGCTTCTGTTTGATGTTTATGCAGGACATCACCGTCGAACAATGACGAATCAACTCCAATAGATCTTAGTGACCCATTATTTGACGAATTTTACAGGATGCACGGACCAACTCAATGATTTAGGTTTCTATTATACGAAGCCCGGTTATTATGAAGACTAATGATCAGGTGAAGTTTTGTAGATGCAGTTTTATTATTATTAATTTGTTGTTCATGTCCACCGATGAGCTCTGACTATGTCCATTGATAATTAAAATGAAAATTTGCTTGGTTTCATTCTTGCATGAAATTTGGACACATGTTAATTTTACGTCTTCTCCCTATTTAGAAATTTTCATGGACATTAGATAAAGCATCAAATTTTGATTTATGTGAACAAGCAATGACTTTTACCTTGTAAAATGGGTAGTTTATGGTGAATTATGTTTGAATAGAGATTTATTGATTATATGACAGGCTAATGCAGCATTTCCAGCAGCCAGCTATTGTTTCCATTACCAGTAATGATTTCCAGCAGCACGCATCATTTGTAGCAGCACCCACTTTTTGCGAATGTTATGTTCTAGTGTTTTACTGGTGATTAAGATCTGAGCTGGACTGGTTATTAGGTGCACGATTTTGCAAACATTCGTAGCTGAAGGATACTTGAAGCACTTTGTTGGAACAGAAATATTAGAAAGCAACGTGTAAAAAAGTACATTGCAGCTAATCACATTTCGAATGGTTGGGTAATATTAAAGGGTACACTAACATTTGAACTACTCATAATTCCACACACAAAAGAAAATTTGATTGCAAAGCATTTTATGTGCTCCCTCTTAGCAATAGCACGATCTCCCCAATAAACTGAACAACGGTAGCCACAATCACTAGGTCGTATTGGTCAGCTTCTTCTTAGCAGGTCTCGCGTGCTTATGGTCACTCATGTCCCCAGTGATTTAGACAAAATAAATATTCAGCAATATTTGGAATTTTATTAT